AGAATTTATATAAGGAGAAATAATAAACTATTTATTAATATTTAATATAATACTTGGAAATAATATATATCAATACCCAAATTAAATTCTGGAATGTGTTAACTAAGGCGGCATTATTTTGAATAAATACCGAATAAATGTATTATTTATGTATTGTTGGCTGAATACTGCAGATAGAATGAAATAAAGTAGAGATAGTTTGAAATTTTTGTAATCATTCATGATTACATTATATTAAATTACATGAAATATACTGAAAAGATAACATGCTTTATCTCGACAGCAATTATTCAATACAAATATTTATTAATATACTAACATTAACATAAAAAAAAAATTCAAGCTCCTTCCAAATTTTATTGACATCTGATATGTTAAGAAAATCGACCGATTAATTTTGCTCCAAGGTTCGACATTGTTTCCCTTTGATTGATTTCTTTATTGAAATTTTTTTAATGGAGTCAATTGAAATTGATTTTTATTGAAATTTTTAAATTGAATTTGTGTATTTCCCATAATGGTTTAAGAATGTACTTTCACAATATGCAATTAAATTAACATTCAGTTATTAAAAGTTAAAAATATTTTTATAAAGATGCCATTATAAAATATAGTTATATATATTATATTTATATATAAATAGAATCCTGATATACAATATAAATAAAAAATGAAATATTTTTAAATTCTACAATATTTATACACTTTCGTTAAATCTCTTAACATTCTTTTAACAAGAATAAAATATAAATAAATGTTCCAATTCATCAGCAGTTTGAATTGTGCCTACTAATATCTTATGTTGATATTTAAGTTTTCTTTTTAAACATTTTAAAAAAATAATAAATTAAAAACTTTAAATAAATTTATTGAAAAACAATAAAATTACTGTAAAAAATTACGCATAAATTAAATGACGAGAAAATTTTTTTTATTTTTCTTAAAATATTTATATCATTTATACTTATATTGATGTTGGTGAATATTACAAGGGATATTTTAAATGGGAAGTTCTAGCACAAACTATTGATACATGATTCTCAAAAATATTATAAATAATTTGATAACTTATAATATACTTACAAAAAATTATATTGTATTAAACTTCAGAGTAATTTATATGTTTACTTTTTCAAAAACTATAAACAATTTAATTAAACGTATTAATCCTATTTAATTGATTTATACATTCATTTCCTCTTATTCTAGCCTTATATAAAAGATTCTTAAATGAATATGCTTAATTTATATAAAAAATTTTATCTATTCAAATAAAACGTAAATACCATAATCAAACACTTTATGTCAATACTAATTAAACTATTAATAAATAAAACTAAATAATTTAGAACATCATATAAATTTAATCGCATAATACTTTTATATGCACTAAGTTTTAAACGAATTCATAAGTTTATAACACCATTCAAAGTAGCTTGTAACTGAAATTACAGATAAAAACATATTATAAAATTTTGTTTTGACCGTCAAATTTTGAATACCTAATTTTGGTATACTAATTTAGCACTATAATGAATTTTAAAAATGTATGTAATATATAGCTTACACATTGTGGAGTGCATCACATCAGCGTATAAACATAAAAAGACTTTAAAAAAAGAAATACTAAAAAAAAAATTTGTCTTTGTTATATTTGCATATATTTTATCGAAGCTAGAAGCTGTGTATTAATATTCATAAACGTGAGCTTCTTTGGTCTTATTTTATTATTTTGTTAAATCACTTTTTATTTGTTTATTTGTCTATTATAAGGCAGGCTCAAATGAATAAATCTGATTTTTGCATTAGTGAAATGTTTATATACGATAACTACCGTTGAAATTAACTAACAGTGGCTTATTAATGATAATACCAATATTTGTGATTACTTTAATATTTTACTTATTTTTGTCAAATTTTAATTAATATTACTTAATTAATATTACAGAAGATTAATAATACATTAATAAATATCAAGATGCAGCAAATAAAAGAAAGAAAATTTTATTAATTATTTTTTAAGATATTTTATAATGCATATTATTTTACTTTTTATTTTAAAAACATTGATAAATATTTTCAAAAAAAGATAATTTTTTTATTAATTCCAACATGCACGTAATATTATATAAAAACAATATGTTTATAGTGCAAAAAATTTCATAAATTTATTAACTAATATTTTAAACTAAAAATCCAAAAACTACTGTATGTAAAATAAGCCATACGTCGATATATTTAAAATAGATCCAAATGTTAAGAATTACATGTGCATTTATAAAATAAATATATGAACCAAATACTACCCATAATAAATCTCGTCTAAATTTCAAAATGTAATACTTTAATGACGAAAATTGATTTATACGTAATGAATAGGAAATCGAGGTTATTGATTTATTTCATATGATTTAATTAAAGTACTTTAAACTTCACATATTCACGTGTAATGAAATATAATGAAATCAATTCTTTAATTATAAGATTTGAAAAAATGTCTATTAATTTTATTATCAATGTCTTAAAAAGTATAAAAATTGAGTGAATCAAAGCCGTAGAATATGTTATTTTATAAAAGCAATTATGCGAAAAACTTGAAAATACCTGTTATTTAAAATACAATATATGACATTAATATTTGTTTGATTAGCAAAAATAAATCATACCACTAAATACTGAACACTAATACACGCGTGTCGTTAATAAAAAAAAGGTTGACGAGGATGTTATCAATCGTATGAGAAATTTATAACGCATCCCGGCAAAATTAGTGCTACTACCATGGCGCTTATCTATTATCTATTGTCCATACACGTGGACAACACAGGACAGTGACGCTACGCGCACGCCACCTACTGGAGGTCAACTTCCGAGCTGTCGCGACGTTGCCACGTTGAGAACATGGTTCTACTCACAAATATGAATCGATGAACTGCTATGGAGGGGGTAGAGGCGAAGTACGAGGACTGCCGCTGACGTATTAAATGACAAAGGGTGTAAGCAAGGAGGGAAAAATAACATACGCAAATACGACGCTCAATTTGGATAAAAGTAAACACCGGATATTGGTGGGGGTAAGGCGTTTGTTTTGAGGCTGATTAAATCCTTCCCAACCCATTTCATCTCGTATTTTACAAAAAATATCTAAAAACAAATTGCAGTATTTGAACAATAATAAATATTCGAGATCATTATTCTATCTTAATAAATATAAAAACTATTATATTTTAAATTACGAGTGCCATCGTACTTGCCCTATCAAAGTATTAGGCCATAAAATTAAGAAAAAACTCAAAATAATTTAGAACTTACAATATTAGCTTAACATACCATATATTTTTTAGAAGGTACTTTAAAAACAACTGAACGCTTAAAAAAGTATGTTCTTTCGTTAATTTTCTTATTAAATATCTGTACAATATTAAACAATATTTCTAACTATACTACAATTACTTTTATTGCAATTAATATTGACGAACATTCAACATGTAATTGAATTATTAATACACGACTGTTTTTAAATATATTGTATTATTATAAGGGATAACAATCTTTTTCCAATTCATTTTTTTTTTTTATAATTATTATCATCTAATGCAATTATTGCACTTTTGTATTACAAATAAATAAAGTTAAAATTATAGACCAACAAATTGATTGTAAAAATATTAGCATTAAAATGGAAACAAGTGATCAATTATAGAATTATCTATAATAGATTTTATCAATTATGAAATCAAATACTTAGATAAAAAAACTTTAAGTTGGTTTTAGAAAATTAAAGGAATGCATTATTTTTAAATTTATTGCAGAATATTTTAACATTCAAAACTTGAAAAAATTAAATATAAATGCAATATTTAATCATTATGTTAATTTATTAAAGTCGGTTTTTATGAAATTCTAGAAAACCATATAGTTAACAATACAATTATACTCTATCTCTTATCATTATTTATATAAATTAATTAATTTATGAGCATACTAAATTCTGAAAGAAAGCTATTTTTAAATAGAATCAAAACGAAGTTTCATTATTAAATTTAATAATTTTGCAATCTATAATTTCTAAAATTCATATAAAGGAAAATTATTAATAAATTCCATTTGATAATATAAGACTTTCCTAATTAACATTATAAAACTTATTAAGCATATTTGTATTATTATAAATTGTATTGACATAAACTATATTAAGAGTATTTTTTAATTAAATCTAAGTAAGAATTATAAGTAATAAAGGTATGAGGTATCTTTATTTAAAAAATGATAAAATAATTCAGGTACAAATAGATTATGCATCGAATGAAGAATGTATGGAACGAAGTATGAACGAAATTATTATTATGAAATGAATAATGAATTTTCTTCGTAGTGAATGTATTAAACGTAAAATTGCTAAATTATGAAGCAGAACATGGCTGAACTGTTAAGAATCCTTTATGGATGAAAGAAAGCAAATTCTATTGAAAATGCTTCGTCTACCATTTCAAATTTCGTTTATTTCGCTAGAAAAATTACAAACTTGATACATCGATAGAATTTTTGTCTTCTCGTAATTACAAAAGCACCTGAATCTCAAGAATAACTATGTTTAAAAGATATTAGAAATTTAGATAATCTCGTTAAAAAAATATAAAAAAAAACAGTCCAAAGAATGACAATGCGATTCGCGTATAAGCACTCGGGTCGAATGAGTAGTTCTCGAATCTTTAGCGAAAGTAAAAAGCACAGCCAGTTCACCACGCGATTTCCAGAGCTGCGCAAGGAAGGGAGCTAACCGTAGTTGTGCCGATGGGGGGAAGTTAGCGGACCAACCGGGTCGCTTCGCTCCTGCAGCCGCGCGCTCTAGTCTCTTTCTCTCTCTCTCGAAGCAGTAGCAACACAGCAGCAGCGGTCACCAGTCGTCAGTTCTCGCATCGTACGCGCGTTAGTCGGAGGCTTTGCAATTGTCACAGCACACTTTACGCTCGTCTTACTAATTATATATACGCACGCACGCACGTACACAAAGAAATTAGCGGTGACAGCGAACAGTACTGCAGGCTCATGGCGAGATGAGGAAGTAATGCTGCTCATGTCCGTCAGTTATTCCGCGAAAGCGGTGTCGGCAACTCCCCAACTTCGATCTCTTCGTCGCGCTCGACTATAGTAATGGCGGCGACGATTAATAGCCGAGCGGAAGCGGCGGTAGCAACAACAGCTAATACCTACAAAAGCTGTCGTTGTGTCGTGACACAATCACGACCACTATTACGCACCAGTGCCGGCGACTGACCTGCCAATGTTCACCGGGCAACGTTCGCGTATTCTCGAGCCCGAATTAGGTACGTGTCACATCGTCAGTGGCAGCGACTCCATTTTCAAGGCAACGTATAGCTCAGCAATTCATGCATGCCTTGCGAGAATGATTATACCGAGCGACAGTGTTCTACCCTTAAAACCTAGCCCCTTCGACAAAAATGTTGTGGCTTATTACCTACTATTATCAAGGAAAGCAGCACCTGGTGTATAACGTGGGATTTATGGCCATATTTTCGCTTAAAGCGATTATACTATCCGAATGATGACTAAATTGTGATTTACTCAAGCGACACAGAATACATTGGGACACGTAGACATTGAAAATACAGAACAATAGTAATAAAATGAATTCACTTTTGCGCAATCTAGTTAATAGATAAGTTAGCCAATGATTTACCTTCCTACTCGTTCTCATTCATTGCCGAGTTTTAATGCGATATCTATACTTCTATAATTGCTACATCAGAAAACATCGTGTTTATTAATAAAATATTTAACAAACTACGCGATTGCTTCCTATAAATGAGCAGAGAGAATGAAATGCTGAGACGAAAGAAAAAAATCGCGAGTCGGGAATGTTTCCTTTGTTCTTAAAGCAGATGCGACAAGTGCTTGTACATTCACTTCTGTCATTTTATGAGGTGTGCGTTTGAAAATGCACACAATCCTTGATTACTTTGTAATTTTCCATTCATCAACAATGGTTTATATTTACTGTTTAATACATAATGCACAGGAGTTTTTATGTTTTTTCTTTTTAAATTTGCTGCTTATAATTTTTTGAAAAACCTATACGAAGACTTGTTTATTCCCTAATATTATATATTTCAATAATATTATTAATGCTAACTTTCATTTAATTGTAAACTTTTATATATCATTTGATTAACATATTTTAATTATTATCAATGAATTTGTATTAATCCTTTTTTTTTTTTTTTTTTTTTTAATATATATATTAACTAATAGAAACTTTGTCTTACTCTAATTAATTCTTATACAATGAAATATGATGATATTCACATACAAAAACATGTAAGTTAAAATATACCACTTGTAAGAAAAATATAATATTATGTCCACTGCAATTAATTTAATGCTTTTAAAAATTATTGGATAGACGTGCTCTTGAGACATTAATATATAACTTTCTTTATCAGTTTGAAAATTCGTTATGAAAAACATACAACTTTAGTGATAATTGCATGTGTGATATCGTCAAATATATTTCGCAAAGAATTGATCACAATTTTGTTTATTGAAGTAGCAATGTTTAACTTAAAATATTGAATATTTCATATTATAACATTTTTATGGAGTCGAAATTGCTTGCACATCTTAAATTTAAATAAATTTTCTGGTGGCAATTAGAAACATGCAGGCGTATTTTTAATTTGGTTTGTCTTCAATAATACGTTCGTAATTGAACAATTTTGTTAATTGAGATTCGTTCTTAGTGTTGAATAATTAATTATTTTCAATTAGGGTGTCGATTATTCGTATAACGCTATTCCATTTGGGTATGGATTTCAGGTTTGATTTTCTAAGTTTTAGAACAATTTACTAAAGTGTGTTGGAAATTTTATGCAATAAATATCATGGCACTATAATGAGCTTATTGCAATAGTTACAGTTACGTAGCATATTTTAACAAATTTATAACCTCAAATTTCTCGTACTCTTTAAGGCGTAATATTTAATATTTAAATAAAACTATATTAATTTCATCTAATTATTTATAGTTACAATTATGTCATAATAAGTAAACGAATGTTTTATGATTTTCTAAAGGATGCGTGATTATTTTGTTGAATAAGAGGAAATAATATATTTAAATAATCATTATTATCTTTCAAGACAAACTAATTATTGCACGCTTAATTTGCAGAAATAATAAATTTAAAAAATATTGCCAACGGGACAAGCTCTTTGTTAATAATTTTATTTGATTAAAAAAACAAATCCATTCTAATCCCCACAATTGCTTCTCTTTCCTTAACGCAGGTTTTAGGAATGAGGGTGGCTCGGTGGCCTGCTGCCCTCCATTTATATTTGGTCATCTTAGTGGCCGTCGTCGACCGGTCGTGCGTCGGTGGTTCCGCGACATGTCCACGGAACTGCAACTGCGACGATGGGACTACGCGTCTTCATTGCCAAGGTCGCGATTACTCCGGCCTCGAACTCCAATCGGAGCTCTTGGAACTCGCTTTGCACGATGTCCCTGTGGCGGAGCTGTCAGGGGCAGTTCTCGGGATCTGCACCCGCCTGCGTCACCTCACCTGGACGGCCAGTGGCATCGAGCGTCTTCGACCACGCAGTTTCTTAGCGAACTCTCAGCTGGAGAGTCTCAATTTAGGTGACAACCGGATCAGCAAACTCCCCGCAGAGGCATTCATCGGCCTCACCGAACTCCGATTGCTAAATCTTTCCGGTAACGCCCTCACTAGCCTGCCTCGTGACCTACTCCAAAGTCTGGAGGCTCTTGAAATGCTCTTTCTAACTGACAACAGTATCAGTGTACTACATTTCCAAGCATTCGAAGCAGCACGACGACTCATGCGCCTCGACCTCACCGGCAACTTACTCGTTTCTCTACCGGATCACAGTTTCCGGCCAAATCGGGCCCTACGTGAACTTACCCTCGCGTCCAATCGCCTTACCAAAATCCCTTCACAACTCTTTTCAGGCTTGACCGGACTACGCGTTCTCGAGCTCACTGATAACGAGATCGATATACTTCCTCGAGGTCTTTTTGCTGAGCTCTCAAAGCTTGAACGTCTCGATCTTGGCGGTAATCCTCTAAGTCGTGATGGGCGGCCTAGTACTACCGCCCTCGCTGGTTTATCCAGCCTTCAGTGGCTAAGTCTTAGCGGCTCAAGGATCGACAGTCTGCCTCCGGGACTTTGGACGTCCACACCAGGGCTTAAGGTTCTCCGGCTAGCGGGCACGCGCCTCGAAAGTCTCGAAGATGGTGATTTCGCCCATCTGCGCGAGCTTCAGAGTCTCGAACTTGGAAACGGACTACTACGTGAGATTGGACCTCGAGTGTTCGAAGACACCCCAGCCCTTCGCCAATTGAGCTTACGCGATAACGATCTGACTTTCCTACCAGCGAGCTTGGCACGGCTCAAACATCTTGATCAATTACAACTACAGGGTAATCCTTGGGCTTGCGACTGCCGCATGTTTTGGTTCGTACGCTGGACTGAAAAGCAACTGCATCGTGCGGCTTTTGACAGTGGTTTGCGCTGTGGGCACGAGGCAGCGTCCGTCGATACTATTCAGGCACTAAGGTACTTGAACTGTACACCCCCAAGTGTCAGTCGAGTTTCGCCAATGGAAAAGTGGCGAATACGAAGCGAAGCGCTTCTTGATTGTGAATTCATGGGCAATCCTCTACCATCCGTTACTTGGCTTACCCCGGGTCAGCGCGTCTTTCATTGGAATCCCGATCCCTCGTTCCCAGATGCGTTCGCACGCCACGCCCGGACGCACGAGCTCGGAGATTGGAAAATCCACGAGCCTAACGATGATCGGATTAAACTCCTTGAGAATGGTTCGCTCTACATTAGTCAGTTGCACCGCGAAGATGTAGGTGTGTACGAGTGTTTCGCTGTAAATCCAATTGCCAACATGACAGCTTATGTAACATTGCGCATGGATCCTGTCACCTATCGCACCATTAAACTCGTTAGCATCGCTGTGGGCGCGGCTAGTGCGGCTGGCTTTCTTCTGCTCACCCTTTTCGTACAGCTAATGCGCTATCTATTCGTCAGGTAAGTTAATATATTGTTTTACGATGGTAGCATAAGACGAATCATCTTTTTATATAACGCTTTGTACTCTTAATTTTATGTTTTTTGTTTTTCATAAATGATTTTACTTTTTTTTTATCGTTAATACTTTATATTTATATTTTATGTTAGTCGATTACATTATGACAATACTTTCTACTTTTATCCGTATGTGCGACCAATCCTACTTCTATTGCTATCTTTTATTTAAGTATTTTTTAATTGTCTATTTAGTGCATAAAGTAACTTTTATTTTATTGATTCGTGATCCAATGCATCACACTAACAGTCATAATTTTATTATTCAAAAAAAGCAAATCCATTTATTAAAAATCCTAGGTGTGGTTGTCAAAAGTGGTGTCTCTGCTGCCGACATGTGGGTGTCACACCACGTGCTAAACAGATATATCAAATGCTGGACAACATTGAAAATTACAAAAGTCAGCAGCTCGAGCGACTTCGTGAAAATTACACACAGCAAGTGCATCGCATTAAATATAATTGTGCCCAACAAGTTGAATGGATAAGGGACAGTTATGAGGGACAAATGCGCCATATAAGGGACATCCGGGATTATGGGACTAGTCACCTTACTACTTTGCGTGATCAGTATTATGATCAGGTACATAATTTTACGATTCAAGTTAAATAAAAAACAGTGGAGTTTAACCATCTTATAGAATATTTCTTTAAAAAAGTTTAAAAAAAAATTAAAAAAAAAAATAATAAAAAACTTTCTATTTAAATAATTATGCACGATATTTATTTATTTATAGCTTATGTAACTTTGTAGTGCGTAAACTTATATTTTACTGCTTTCAAGTTAAAAATACATCACCGTTTGATTTTGGTATTAAATAATTGAAAATCATAATTAAATTTTTTTTAAAATAATAACCTTAATACACGAATGTTCTTATATATCATACATAAGTGAAATGGAATTTGTTACTAAATACATCGCTTGTTTTTTAAAAAAAATAAAATCCTGTTTTCATTATTAAAAAATATACCTTTACACAGTTAAAAACTGATCATATTAATTTATATATTTTACCATTTTAATCGTAAACAATTTGTAAAATTTATAAAATCATGTATTTCAATGTAAGCTGTTTATTAAAAATTTTAATTTTAATATTTTCATAAAAAAGTTTACTCTAGCAACACGATTTCTACGGATTACATTAATTATTGAATGAGCTAATAATGCAGGACTGAAAAACTCTTATTAACTAACGAGTTTTTCTTCATTTAACGGACCCACTTGTTCTGTGCAGGTGAAACGCGTAAGAGACTATTCGACGAGTCAGCTGAATTGGGTGCGCGAAAATTACGTCTTCCAGCGCAATAAAATTCGCAAATTTAGCGCCCATCAGGTTCTCCGACTCCGCGAGTCCTATAAGTATCAGCAGCAGACTCTCAATAAAGTTCTTGAGAATTTACCTAGTTTATATCTCGACAATTGCCGGAGTGGTTCTTGCGGGCGCTCGGATTCGGCCGTTTTCGACCCCAAGGACCTCGTGGACGGTACGAGTACCAACAACGTGGATACCTATTTCAAAGCCAAAATCGATGACATGGTAGCAGCTTACACTTCCAGTCTTGATGATATTAACAGTGAGTACTACACACCGACCGAACTCTCTTCAAACAGTCCACGAGCAACTGGTGCTCCAAATGCATTTATGCATCTCGAAGGCGTCCAAGTGATTAATTATATCGACGACAGACCACCGCCACCGCGTCCGCTTATTACCATGGTGAGACCAGGCTGCTTGCAGATGGGCCCGGCCTTCTTACAAAAGATCGATGAATTCGGTAGCTCGTCAACGGTGGCAAGTACCTCCGATCAACCAGTTTTTCGAGGTGTGAGCGCAGAGACCTTAGCAGGTGATACACGAGGTACCCCGGAAATTCTAGGTTTATTGGTTCCTAGTGCAAGTCTACCTGAGCTACCACGTGAGACCAGTCTCTAAAGGAGTAAAGCATTTCACGAAAATTGCTTAAATAGTTTGGTTTTTCTATTTTCAAATGTGTTTAACTCGTTTTTTATATGATTAGTACCAAGCGTGGCTTGAAAGTGTGCAACAAGAACAGATTTCAAGGATATCATGTACCTGAGATAAAGTGTATAAAAAAAAGCAAAATTATCGAATATATTGTGTGGCAATGGTAAGGATGAACATCATTACAGTGATACGGTATTTTTTTATGCTATGCTTTGGTTTTTTTTCAATGGTAATTGGGATTGTGCAACACGAACATTTAATTTTGCAATTTTTCTTATTGAATTGAGTTATTTTCGTTGGCGAATTAGCGCATCAATGAGAGAATAATGAAACCTACATTAGGTGTCAATTTTAATCGATTTCTACTAAAGCAGATGTGGAATGTTAATGTTATATTATATGTCGGGTCTTATAATTATCAATAATTAGCCGATAAATAGCATTGAATAATTAGAAATAAAGTATAACGAAGTAAAACGATGAGACAACACGCGGAGTTGTATATTATTATAGAAGACTGAATCAAGACACCGCGAACTTACGTAGAATACATTGTAAGACGCAATGTGCGTGTGTATGCGTGTGCGCTGTCTAATAGTATTTGTTAGATTTTTGAGTAACTGAAACGAGGACGCGATAAATAATCAATGGGCTGTCGTATCTTATGCTTGTTGTATTTGCAATCACTGCTCTGCTACATACAAACAGATTAAAAATAAAAGCAATGTTTTATAGTGAGTGCAAAGAACTGTACCATGAATATTTAGTTATTATCGAGTTAGGATGTAAAGAAAGGTACGTTGGAGAAGAGAAAATGATGCGAATGTATTGATATATTGATATCTTTGGAAAGTGCATGAAGAATGAAAGAATTTCAAATTTCCAACTTATTTTTATCGAATTAAATACAAGGAAACGTCAAATGCATAAATTTTTATCAAAATTTAATCCCAGCTAATGCTTTTACCATCCAAATTATGTCATATTAAAGCTGTTCACTTCTTAGCACATAAAACAGATTCTTAATTTCGGACGAAAATAAATAAGTTTATAATTGAAATATAAAGATAATATGGATATGATAAATATAAATTACCGTAAACGCATGGATATGATAAAAATATATATAATTTAATAATTTAATAAAATAAAGTAGTACAATTCAGTTCTTTATTTTTAATATATAATGTAATTATGATGACTATATTTAAAATGTAAATACTATTGTTCTCTATTTTTGAATTCGATAAAGGGATTCATACGAATTCATTGATTTTATATGTTAATATTTTCAATTCCTTTTTAATATTAGAATTAAAAAAATCATTGTGATTGTAATCATTGGTTGTTGGTTAATAAATCAATCCCTTCGTTAAAATTAAACTAAATTTAGAAAATTAAAGATAAATTTGCTTTATAATTTAAATAACAGAAGAAATCTTGTTGATTATATTTAAAATTTTTTTATATCATTACAAATTTTTGTAACACCGGTGTTTCACAAAATTAAAAATTATTGAGGTATTATATGGTACATTTAAAACAAGCAAGTAAATCAAGAGAAATAAAAAGTATCAGATATGAAACAGGATCCTATTAATAAAAATTGATCGCTTGATAGAAGACTCGTACTTATGCTTCCTTTGTATTACATATATATTTTTATACGATATTTTATCATATAATTAATAGGAAATAATTCCTTCTTTCTATTTATATATCTATCTATCTATCTATCTATCTATCTATCTATATCTATATATATATACGCATATACACACGAAATTTCTCGAGACTGCTGAAGTTCCATTTATCGATCGGACAGCTTTTTATGATTTTCTTTCACAAGATATTATATTTACATGTTCTAACATTTTATTATTAAACAAAATAATACAACTTCATATGAATAATTTTATTCTTGTAATATAATTTATAAAAACTAAAAAAAGAAAAAATTTAGAAAAAAAGGTTTGTTTATAGACTTTCATTTAATTATGCGAACATAAATTATGTTCTTTTAATAACTATGTGAGTGATATATTTTTAAGAAATAAATAAGAAGTACTACTTTATCTTAAACAAAATTAATTCTTTTTTATTCAAAACCCCTTTAACATATTTAAAAACAATTTATTTTATTTTAAAGATTATAATACAATTCAAAGTTTTACGAAAAATAAAACCTATGTGATAATATACTTAAAACTAGTAAGCAAGAAAAATAAATCACGAAGCAGTTAAAGAGAATGTCAAGAAATTTTTTGTAAAATTAATAAACAGGTGAAACGAAAAAATATTAAAATGAACAATACTTTAAACTATTAAAAATATATATACTCGATGCATTTAGTTAAAAAAAAAAACAACTAGAAAATCTACATTTCAATAGTAATTTTTTATAATTATAATATCAGGTATTTCATATATTTTTGAATTAGTATTCAAAATCTAATATTTTCCTTTAAAATTAAAGCATAAACAATTGCCAAAACATTTCTTAAGTATAATATGATATAGATATATTGACAAATATATTCGTAGTTTCATGATGGAAAATGATAATAACGAAACAAATTATAATTTGCAACTTTAAAATTTAACGAATAGCTCCTAAATATAATTAAATATTTATATGTTTAATTAAATTGCTCAAATTTTTTTTTTACTTATTCAAAAAGTATTTTTCATTTAAGTATAAACAACAAAAGTTCGGTAAAAAATAAACGCTTTTTTATATTTCATATAAATATTTATATTTCATTGATTGTCAGTTAACTATTAAATTATCAAACAAAGATAATAAAAATAATAAAACCACATAAGATGTCTAAATATGAAAAAAAAAACAGAAACAAATTGATAGCATGGAAAATAGTTTTAGTTTATATATATATTGAAAAAGAATTTCAAACACAATAATGTCCAGATATCATAGCTTGTCAAGATTCTCATTATCTTATTATACCAAATAAATGATTGTAACAATTAAAAAGAAATCTATAAATGCCTTATATTTATATATTTGCTGTTATAATTTCAATTATTAAATATATCTCATGTAAATATTAAGATATTTTTTATGCTATTCTTATACTGTTTATGCTATACAAAGAATCAGAAATACTTAGTATTTTGTTTCTAAAAATAGTAAAAATATAATTTTTTTATTTATTAACTTATTGTTATTTATCACAAATTTTTATTTTATTGTTTAATTAGATATTTATTATACCATTACTATATCTAAAATATATTATTTTACTTTTACATCATGTTACATTAGTACTTGAATCAATGTTATTCAATATTTTTTTAAACTTTTATTCTCATTGCTTTCATAATTTTTTATACTTACATTTCCAAATTCAATAAAATATAAATTTAATATAATATATAACTAAAATAGGTAATGTCTTTAAAATATAGAAAAAAAATAAAATAAAATTACTATATCTGAATTAATTAATTACTTTATTACTATACTTTAATTATAATTTTTTAATTTAATGAAGTATTTACTAAATGCATAAAAAATTATCTTATTTTAATTTTTAAAATCAATATTTAATATGAAAATAACAGTAAACAATGATTAAAAGGACAATTAATACAATTATTTGATATTTAATTATTTAATTCAAGTATAAAACAATTTTTTGTATTTAGATTTCATGTCAAACAAATTTATTTCAAATTGTTGAAGTTAAACAAAGCATGTACTTGTCAATCAAATCACTATGGACTTGTTAATAAGATTTATATAATTTATTCATTTTTAAATTTACACGTAGAATTTTATCTATTAACTTTGTCTGATTTTAACAAATTATTATTTATTAATTTTTGTCAATGATCTTTATTAATTTGCATTACTTATTTATGTGAAAATCAAAATTTAAGTATTCAAGGAAATATGGCGGAAATAAACATTAATTTTTAAATAGAACTTTTTTTAAATATAGGACATTCTTAATAACTGAAATAATAAATAATTATCAATTCTTATGTTAAAGAAACTATTTGCATTTATCATCGAATAAATTGAATGTGAATATATGGAAGATTTATTATAATATATATCTAATTGTAAAAATTATGATTATATATATATATTAAGTTGATTTAAGTAGCTTTTTTATAAAATCATACATTTTAATGGATTATAAAATATTTAAGAAGGTAAATTCTGACATCTTTTAATTACTAATAAATTAAAAATAATGATGAATTTGTATTTTAAGGATTATATAGTTAATTTACAATGTGCCTAAAAGTAACATTCGTTCTAGAAAAATATTAACATTAGATACTTAATTGGTATTAATACACACACATATATATGTGTTTTAATATAATGAAAAAATATATAATCCTTTGTAAATCACATATTTACTGTATTAAACAAAATTTAAATCTTTTTATGTCATTATCGATATCATTATAATTTTATCCTCAAAACTTTGACCGTGACGTATAATTAACTATTTAAATTGGAATAAAAAAAACTTATCTATAAAAGTGAAAACTTCGTTATCTATTTCTCAAATTTCAACATGAACATAATATTATCTTTTCTTAAATTAAAATATCTCAAATTAACATTATGAATATTACATACATAACTAATTTAATTATATATCCTTTACATGGGTCATGCTTCAGTTACCATTTGTATGGCAAAATTTTGAAATATAATTTATTTTGTCCATAATTTTACATCAATTCATCATTCATATAATTAATTTCACATATATCAATCATATATCAATTTAGGAACAATAAATACATTTATTATAATCTATCAAACTTGAAATATTGGACACTTTATTATATAAACACATAAATAATTTACATTGTACTTTATGTTTAATGTTTACTATATTCATTTATGTATAATATATGATAAAGTTATTGTACGAAATATCTATATTTTTTTATTGCAAATTAATATTTATAATGTTTTTATACTTAATAATTTATACAAAATAAATATATGCACGTCTCCCCCTTCCTGATTTCACGTTTTCCTATATTTAAATACATCGCGCGTATAGATAAAATCAAAATTATAGAACTCAACCGATTAAATAAATTCAATAATTTTTTTTATTATCACTATGTTGATTAAAGTTGGATAACTTTAATTTAATTAAAATGATGCAATAAGATTTTAAATAACTCAATAAAATAAATAAAAAAATCGATGCAATTAATTTATATTATCATGATTTGAAAAAAATAAATTATGATTCATTAAATTACTCAAAGAATAATTTTATACAATTTATGACAAATATAATAATCATTCTTAAAAAATTATATAATTACAAAAAAATAAAATGTACATACCTTTTCCTGTGTCCTATTCCAAACAATAACTTTATGTCCACTGTTGAGTAAATTCTTTACAATTCCACTGCCCATAATACCAAGGCCAAGGAACCCAAATTTTAAGCTTGAAGCATGAATATTTTTATTTTTTAGAGTCTGAGAAAGCGTTTCCACATCCAATGGTGGAGTAACCTGTAAATATTTAAAATTTTTACTTCAACAAGTTTTTTTTATTAAGGCTGTTCTACAGATGATAAATATCTAAATTTTGTAAATTAAAAAATATTTTAATAAATTTTAAAAATTAAATAGCTTAATATGCTTATATTTGTGTATTTAAATAACAAAAGAAATAAATAATGATATATATACATACTGGTCTAGCGATATTTGCAGGTCTATCTAAAAGAGAACCACTTTTTCTTAATGGTGTAGAATGATTTAAAGCTGGACTTAAACTGCCAAGGCGATTGTTACTACTTGCATTTGAGTCTGTTCTTTGCTTTTTAGCTGGACGTCGTTCGCTACTACCACCACTACTATCTCTCTTTATTTTCGGAGTTTCCTGCAAAGTGATGTATGTTTTTAACTAAAATAAATAAGAATGATTTATTTATTCTGAATTTAAAGCAAGTCTATTAACATTAGGGTATTACATTGACAAATACAGCATTGTAAAATATTAATTTTATTAATATTAATTCAAATCAATATGCGTTAAAATTTACTTACAATTATTTTTGATATTCAAATAATTATTTTAAATAATATAATATATATAAATAAACTTACTTTTTTTGGTTTTATCTTTGGAGTCTTCTTTTCAATTGTGGAAATACTATCTTCTTTGAGTTTGTCAAATAGAGAATCTGGATCTAATCCATCTTCAAAAATCTATTGAAAATTTTAATATTAATCATATTTTACAAAGAATTTATTAAAAAATTATAGCTCTATTAAAATAATAGAATTGTAATAAACATACTTCTCCTTTTGCAATAAATTCTTCAATAGCTTCACAGGCTTCTTTAAATCCTGAATTTTTGCATAGCTTTATACAAGTCTCTTTATGCTCCTGATAATGTTTTATATTCGCTTCATCAATCCAACCACTATATATATTTAACTTAATTATTAATTCTTCAATTGAATTACAAATATTAAACTTGTTCAAAATAAACTTACTAGTTATTTGTTCCAAAGAAAAATATACAATGAATTGGACCCTTCTTTGGATTGGCTGGTTTTTTCATATCCTTCGTTGGATTAGATACCTTTGAATTTAATTTTAAATTTTAAAAACGTAAAAATATAATTATTTATATTTTATAATATAAAATCAATACAGATTTTACCAAGCTATTACTCATCAATATTTATTACAGTTTATTACAAACATTATTATTGGAACAAATAAAACAAACTAAAAAGTAAATAAAATTTTCTTGTAAAGCTAATGAAGTTCCAAAAAAAGATTGTATAAATTAAAAATATTATCTACAAATATATATAAAAGGAGTTTGTTATAAATTAAGATTAATTGAGAAATACAAATTTTAAATAATCATTAATTAGTTGATTAATTAATTAAAATATTTTATATTTTTACTGTAGCAGTATTACTATATGAGCTATCAAAATCTTTCATTTCAAGAAACAAAATAAATGTAAGTAGAAGGTAACAGATTTCTTTTAATATAATTGTGTAAAGTATTTCTTAGAATCAACCTTTATTAGATTTTACAGATTAAATAATTACTCAGGTCCAATGCATATATTAAATATTTATATTTTTAATATTTTTCTATATGAATACTTCATACAGTGCTAACATTAAATCGAGCAATTTAAAATAATTTTTATTAAAATTTCACTGCACGATATTAAAAATATTTTAAAACTTATTTTTTGTTTAAGAAACCTTAATGATAAGTAATGAAACAAAAATAAAAAATTGTCAAACAAACCAATATCGTAATATTTATTACATTTTGATATAAATATTATATATTTTTATTATTAAATAATCAATTGTGAAATAATAATATTTCATGTTTTGCACTAATTAATGATTTTATCAAATTATATATATTATGATAAACATAAAATAAAATTGTATTTTATAATTTATTACATCATACTTAATCACTTTCTTAGCTTTAATATATGAAATATTTTATATAAAAAGTAATTATTAATATATAGATTGAGAAAGGGGATAATTTTAAATTTAAAATAATTTGTTTGAAAATTTTAGTTAAAAATTTGCTTAAATTACTTTTTTTTTTTAATATGACTAGAATAAATAAAGTATAAGTCATTAATATTTACTTACAAATGAATATTCATTAAATAAAATTGTATTATTATAAAGTTTGTTTTTAAATAAAAGTAGAACAAAAAAAAATAAATAAGAAAAAAATTTACCAACAGTTCAATATTATAATGTTTTAAAATATTGTACAAAATAAAACTATGGATTTTAAGAAATGATTAGAGATAAAGCCATTTTCTATAATGACTAAAGTTTTACATTGATATGTGCATTTCAAAAAGGGTAAACACAGGGTGTAAACACGATTGAATTTAGGTTATAATGACCCTGATCTGCGCGCCAATTCGAATTGAAAGCGGGTGTGGCGGGAGAAATAGGATATGCCAAGTCAATAAGATTTTTTAGCTGTATTAAAAATTTCCAAAAATTCATAATCCTATACTCAACATTTGATACAATAAATAAGAAAAACAATTCTTATTCGTCTTTCAGAAGCACCAATAATAGATTACACATCGTCAAGAAAAATGTCATTAAATGTCTTAAACTCCGTTTCTTTCAAAAAGAAAAAATATCTCAAAAGTATTATATGTGCTATATAATTTATCAAATTTAAAGTTTAAACGACTGAGCAATAATTCATTGAAGGAAAAATATTAAGTACATTATGAGACTAACGTAACCGATCGCGAAAGGTAGAAGATATATAGATTTATCGGAAAATAAATGAGTTGTCGATAAAATAATAGAAAGCAATGAGAGATTAAACGTGCGAAATTTTTTGCATGCCGGGTACATCTGTGATGATAAAGCGGACTCACCCGGCCGGGCCACGGAGAGAATCCCTTCATCTTCGCCCTGCAACAGAGAGAGACAGACAGAGCGTCAGTTTGAAAATCATCACACGCATAGGTTATGTTTATCGCCTCGGCGGGCGTTCAGCGCGACACAATCCTCTCATTATCTCTTATTATATACTCGCAAGGCCCACACCGAGGCAATGCTATAATCATTTCAAACGATAATGTTGAAACGTTAATACGCACCACACCAGATCGCCGAGTTTGAAAACTTCCGACATGGTTGTTCGTTGGCAGATTCACACGCAACTAGAATGGGGGCTCTTATTTGCCAAAAAAATATTCACTTAAACCACACTCGACTGGCGTTCGGCGAGCGACTGACGGAGCGCGAGAATGTGAATTGCGAGATGCTGATGAGAAGCGGCGCGCGTCCTTTACGTCTACCCGTTTACTATACTAGTCGAACTAGAGACTCTAACGGCTGTTTGCCGGGGTACTGTTCAGTCAAATGAGCGAACGCTCATAGGCTTAGGGGCTTTTCGCAATTGATATGAGAGTATCGTTATGTTCATCGGTAGAGAAAATTTTCATTGGCTGCTTAGTTCACGCGCCATAATTATTGTATAAGAATAAAATACGAATGCTTCCCCGGCATTCGAATTATATTTGGTCTCTATATGCTCTTGTTCCTTTTCAAAATTGTTAAATAGTTATTAAAATTGTTAAATTAACCATAAATTCATTCATCGCACAACAAGAGTGATCATAGAATTTGTAGTCGAGTAAACTGAATTGGAAAAATATACATATTAATTTCCAAAAAATATTAAGCTTTAACTGCACATTCATAAATAAGAAACAATATTTTGTTTTTTTCTTTATTTTTGTTTTATTTAAAAATTTTTAATCGCGATGTCTAAAAAGTAATTCATTCTCTAACGATCTGCATTAGAAATAAAGTGATTGTTATTAAGCGCAATTTCATTTTAGAAATTATTTTCCTTTAAGAAAAAATGCTTATAAGTGTGTTTTACATCTATATACTTTTAGTTGCTAGATAATAATTATTGATCACATAGCGAATGATCAATATAAGAAATATATTTGTGATATTATAAATGTATTTATAATTTATAATGAATAAAATTTAAAAAACTTGTTTTATTATTTATTTGTCATTTCTATGATCGGTTTTTCAAAATTAAATATATAGATATGTAAACAAATATGCATGAGAATAATATTCCATGAATAATAATATTACTGATTTGATACGTAAGGGAACTCGGACTAATAAGCTAATTTCAATGAAATCAAAACATGAGTATTTGTACAAACTTTTCTATATTTATTTTGTCGAAGTGGTATATTTAACGTTGGTCAAGCATTTGATAATTTTAATAATAAATTTATATTAGTAAATCCAATTTGTTATATAATTTTTTTGGTTTATTATTTATTAAGCTTAAAAACTACCTCTATATTATATAAAGATATAATAACATCAATCCTTAATATTTAAATAAAATATTTTTTCATTGAAAAAAATTAAAAAGATAAAAACAGAAAAACTTATAGAAAAAATATAAGGTTATGCGAAATTAAAAAGGACAACTTTTGAAAAAATATTCCATGACAAACGGCAGGAATAAACGTTCGATATATATATTAATTTTCACTTATGTTTTCAAATTAATTAATTTAATTTAATTTAATTAATTTAAAGAAAATAAATTAATATATAATATTAAGATTTATAACTCAATATTAATATGTTTGAAATATCAACATTTAATGAAATTTTTGCTGTTATAATTATAATTATAACAATCAAGTATGATAAATGAAATTTTAAAGTATTAATTCATTTATCTTTTTATCCAGTTGTGAACTTCATTTTTTGATATATTTTCAATTTAATAATATTAACGAGAGTCACAATTTATAAATTTAAAGAAAAATAAGGAACTATGTTAAACTATTTTATTAAATAATAATGAATGTTTAAAGAGATAAGAAATTTTAATTTAAATGATTACCATTAATATTGTGTATTATTATATGAATTTGTATTATTTTGCAATATTATAATTTATGAAAATTTATAGACACTTATATAAGATATAAAATATTCAAAGTATTTATGCAATTTCAATATTAAATTAATTTTTTATATCAGCCTATAATTAATAAAATACTAATTCGTATTATCATAAAATTTATTTGCCATAAAATGATTTTGATTTCAGAGAAATATTTATTTTCCAAGTCTAGTAGTAAATATTCTGGAAATATAGAAAGTCAAGTGCTTGTTAATGCTATTGTGAATTAAGCCTAATCGTGTTCTTTGGAATGTCGTCCATTATTCTTTCTTATTTCAAAATATTAAATATGTATTTCTTAATTTGAATGATTTAGAGGTTTTTACTTATTCGTTTTATTAAATTATATTTCATTTCGGTAATCATTGAATAAATATTTGATTTTCACTTCCGTTTCCAGGAGATCGACCATAATAATTAAACAGCAGCCAATAAGATAGCGTGTTAAGTACTATCGTATACATTGATTGGTCTTTGCTTAAAGAAAGAAGTTTACATTTGAAATGAATATTCGTATTCTAAATACGCATGAAATAGTAAATGTATTAACTATTATTAGCGGTAACAATTTATCCTTTTTATTATATTGTATGTATATTTTTAATCATTAATCACTTTATTATTATGGATTAATCATAAATGTATGCTTTCATCTAGATTATAATTATTCTAATGAAATAAAAATATATTTTTAAGAATAATTTTATATTTTTTCAATAATTACATTTCATTAATTTAAAATTTAAATTTAATTACTCTAAGAATTAATAATAAAAACTATCAATTGTAATTATTATGATCTTGATAATATACATCAACAATATCGTTGTTTAGATTACTTTATTTCTTATAATTTTATATATAAAGTATTTAAATATTAAAAGAATAAATATATATAGATATAGATTTAATACTTTTTATGAAAATCATATCTAATTAATATATTGGTTTATTCGATAATAATAGAATTACTAAGATAATTATTTTTTTATTATGTAATATACATACAACTCAGTCGTCGATGTATATATATATAAGTTAAAAAATGAAAAAATAACGATGATTTAAAATAAAACAAACATCATTAAAAAATTATATATTCCCAACTTTGTAGACAATTATAAAAGATAAACTCCGTTTTTGCATTTTTAAACATCCAATGTACGTATTTATTCTTTAATAAATGTTAGACACTGTAATATTTTTAATAAATATATTAAAACAGCTTTATAAACTGACTGAATTGTTATAATTCGATATTTGCCACTTTTTAAAAGATAATTAAGTACTTATGATCGGCTGGTAATATTGCCCTTTAGGATTAAGATAAAGAAATGTTAAAAAAAATATTGAATAAAAATGGAGAGTATTTTAATATGGCGATGTATTCCTGAAACTCTTAATTAAATATCTCTACTTTTTGCGTTGCAATAATATATATAATATATATATATTCATAGAATAGTACACATTTAAATCGATCATCCCATCGATTATGTAGTGATTTTAATTCTCCGTCTTTCATAACTACTGCTAGTGCGCATACTTGCATACAGAACGAATCAAAAAATTATATATATGCATATATATCGAGTGAAACGGTAAAGAGAGTGAGAGAAGGGGAGAGAGAGAGAGAGAGAGAGAGAGAGAGAGAGAGAAGAATGAGAGCAAGAGTAAGAGAAGAAAAAAGAGACAAGAGATTAGGAGCGAATGATATAGAACTGGGAGTGAGAGTAGCATAACGAGTACTCAACATAACATTGTTAAAAAAAAGTGGCAGTGGCAGTAGGCGTTGACGTTTCGCTCATCCGATGAGCGCCGAACGCCAAACATTAAATTATTCCCTATCGTTATTGCACGAAAATTTTCCGCACTGTACAGATCAAAAACATAAGCAGCAAGACAGAGAGAAGAATCTAGTAACAGTGAAAATTTGAAGCCCAATGTCAATGGTCAACGACGACCGCTCCAATATGGTAATTTTTGTTTTTTAATCCTTTTGCTTTTAATTACCGACCACGATATGTTAACGTGTCGGTATATACGTACATTAGTATATATGCATCATAGCATACAAGAACGTTATGCATGAGCAGGGCATTTGTTGCCTGCCAAGTGTTTTTTCTTCTTTTATTGCTGCATTGGTGGACATTTTTTTTTTTATCTTAAATACTACTACTTACTACTTTATTCGAATGCTAGACTTTATTTATTCAAGTTTTCATTTATTATTACGAGCTGCTTTTTGATGCTCTATATAAATTCACATATGTATGTGACAAAACTGAGGTTTTGTTTATCAATGAAAGCTAAACAGAGTTTATTCGATACCCATTATTATTAGTTTTGATATTTTTAACTAATATGACGTTAAAATAATTGAATGCAAAATTGTAAGTTTCTGAATGTTGATCATTTTGTTTTCTTAGTTATATTTAATTTAAATATTTATTTTTATTAATCTTTAATTATATTAAATATGTTATTATTTATCGTTGAAAAAAGACTTTAATTTTAGTAAATGCATTTAATAGTATTTAATGTTAGTCTTCTTATTTTTATTTTTTTGCCCTAAATTTATTAAAACTTACACTATAAATGTCACATGTATTATGTTTACTAATTAAATTTGATTTTATTAATGGTTTTATTGAATTTGTATTTCATGATAATATACATTTTACAATTATAATTAACATCTGAAATCAATTTAAATAAAAAAAAATATTAATAATTAAACGATTATATAATTATAATTTTCAGCTTTATATCTATCTATTGAGTATTCGATAACACTTATGGTATTATATTAATTATAATATTAATTTTATTTTTTATATCTATTAGCTATTTATATTTAGTTTATTATGTTTATAAGTTGTTGATTAGAGCATTACTTAATCAAATCAATTATCGTTTAGATCAATTTTTTTAATATAAAAATATATATTATAATATTAATTTTCCTTAATAATTCTGACAACAACTCAAGTATTCATTAAGTAAAAAATTGTTTAAAATTGTATTTAATATGTTTTGTATAAAATTAACTCGTATTTTAATAATGTTTATTATAATTTTTGTATTCAGAAATGTTCGGTAAAATATGTACAGTTTTTATGACATAATATAATTATTATTATTACAAAACTAGTAAATACTATCTTATTTATCTCATTTATGTGATAGTATTTAGCTATATTCATAAATTTAATTGTGTTTATAAATCGTTTGTCATAGTCACAACAGCCACAAACATCAGCAGAGGACAATACAAATTTATCAGGTGCACATTCCACATTTTCTGGAGATAATGAATCAAACCAAAATGGAAATACAAATGAAAGCAATGAAATAATTCAACAGGAACAAATAACCTCAAGAGCTCAGGCTACAATAATGACAGAATTAGTAAATAAATTAATTTTATTGTTGAAATAAAACATTATTTTATATATATATATATATATATATATATATAATTTATTTTTTAATTATGATAAATTTGCATTAATGTGTTAATTTATATTGGTAAAGAAATTAGAAACTCGATAAGAAAGTGAAATTGATTAGTTTATCTGAAAAATATCAATGTAAGATATGAAATGTAATATTCTAAATTTTTAGTATTCTTGTAAATAGTTTAGTTTGATTAGTTTTTATAAAGTATATTGAAATTTATTAATATTATTATTAAAGCTATTATTCACAATTGTTATTTATTATTATTATATAATTACTATAAATTATAATTTTGTAGAAAAGTAGTATTTCTAATTAATCTTTGAATAATTGTTTTTACATTTACAGGGTAGCGAAGAAATTCCTCCTCCAAAATTAGACTTTTCTGCTCCACCACCATATGAAGTTGCAACAAAATTACCAAGTTATGAAGAAGTCGAACGTGAAAAAACCCTTCAAGGAGAAACAACACCACAAGCTCATCCTCAAATTCATTTAGTAAGTTTCAGTTTTGTGTTTCTAAGCTGTAATTTTAATATAAATGCAATAATTAATTTACTTTTTCTTTAATTCAAGTCCAATGGTGTAAGAACACCCCAACAGCCATTGACTATTTTAGCTATAGACACAGATGGTGTTGAAGGTGATCCAGAAAATCGAATGTTGGGAACAGATTTTATGTTCTTTACTGCTTTCTTAGGTATAAAGTAAAAAAAATTTTAATTATATTTTATATTTTACATTTTAAATCTTTTATAAAATAGTTTTTCATATATTTTTTTGTACGAATATGCATGGATTTATATTCTAGCCCAAAACTCCTCTAGAGTAGTACGAAACTATTCTAAGAAATGTTGAAGTTATTCTATGAGATACTCTTTCCATCAACTCAAATAGCTCAACTCAAATTGTTACCTTCTTGTGTTTAATTTTTTTTTTCATAACAAATTTTGTTAAAACTTTTGAAGTTAAAATTGAAATCTATTATCTACATCTATTTCTGATCTATTCTTTTACTTGAATCATATAGTGCTATCAAAAATTCAACTCTAATGCTTGATAGTACTTGTTCAAGTGCTAATTATTAAAATTACTGTTTATGGTATATTTTTACTGATTTTCCAATCTGTCTATTCAAATAATATTTTTGTATGTTTTCTTACATTATTATCAATGAATGCTCCGTTATTAGTAATCGATTTAAGTTCTGCTATATGCTACTCATAAATCCAATTATGACCTATGTAGTTTTATATTATGTTCTATTTACTACAAAGATCATACTCAAATGTGATAATATAGAAATATTAAAATCATCAAAATAACGTTTCAGTTGCATTTCTATTTAATTGGATTGGCTTTTTGCTATTGATGTGTTTCTGTCACACAATAGCTTCTCGATATGGAGCACTATCTGGTTTTGGACTTTCCTTAACCAAATGGACTTTAATTGTTAAACATTCAACTGATCTTGCATCCCGTGAGAACTCTTGGCTGTGGTGGCTGATTATGGCTTTTGGTAATTCTATATATATTTTGTCGAATTATTATTAAAAATTTTAGATAAAAAAAGATTAGTAAAATGTTAAAATACTTGTATGATAAATACAACTTAATTAGTAAAATGTTAATTTCACTTTTAAACATGCTAAATTGTTTTATACGAATTACAAGTAAAAGATATTTTCAATTTTCTTAAAACAATTATACTTCTGGGTATTGTTATTTATTTTCAAAATTTAATGATATAATAACATTGATGTAAATAAACTTATATATGTAAGCGTCAACGTTATTATAATTTTAAGCATTCTACTTTTAACAATAAAAATGTTCAATTTTTGTTATTGATGAATTTGTCTTGATAATAATAACATTTATTTTTCGTGTTTATTATCACAACATATAAATTATATATATATATAATTATACATTATATTTAAATAATATAAATTTATATATATTAAAATGTATATATTTCTTTTTGCAAATCTAATAGGTTTGTTGATTTGCGTTCGTGCTATTATTCAATATTTAAACATCAAACGAGGATGGCGACTTTTGTCTGGCAGTGCTCAAGAGCGGCTACTTTTCTATTACTGAGCTACGCATGTAAATGTCAAAACTATTTCTTTTGTATCAAAAAGAAATTTTTCAAGACAAAATACAAAAATAAGAAAGATAAATGAAAAAAATTCATAATGTTATATCTATCTTTATTTTTTGTTATAAAACACGATCGAATACATAAAATAGACCTGTAATTGTATCAATTATAAGAATTTCTTGCAGCAGTCCATCTTATGAAATTATGAAAATCGGGTGTGATAATTGTTATTTTTAAGCAAGTATTAATTACTGTTATTCTATGAAGTCTTCAAATAATAAATGAAGACGAAAATTTCAGTATTGTTATGTAAAAGAATATTAGTGATATTGCAAAAAAGAAAACTCTGTTAAATGAAAAATAACAAAACTATCAGACTTTTTAATAAATGGACTGTAATAAGCAAGTATAAACGTAAAAATAATAAAAATTAATAATGAATGAAATTAATGCTTGTTTATATGTTATAATTATAATTTATATATGTAAAGTTTTTAAAATTTTAATATTATTAATATTAATTTTATCATGATATAATATTCAAACAGTGCTATTTGATAAAAACAAAAAATTAATAATAATAATAATCATTGTAGTAACAATAATCATAAAATATATTAATTACAATTATAATTTTCAATACTTATTGTTATAGTCACTATTATTACTATCATCATTGTTGCTGTTATTATTATTATTATTATTATTATTATTATTATTATTATTATTATTATTAGTATTACTGGAAATTTCAAAAATATTTTTTTATTGTCTGCAGTGAAAATTAGGAAATTTCTAAATTTGAAATAAGCTACTATTATAGCAAATTATTTACAATTCTTTATTTTGAAATTGTAAAAATTAGTTTTACAATTTTCATATCTTTCCAATTGTAAGCTAGAAATATTTATGTAAATAAAATTTGAAAATCTTTAATACTCTACTTAATGTTGTTTTGACTATTAGTACTTTATTTTCTTAAAGTCTACTTACTTCCTATTTAAATATAAATCAATTTTTAATTGTCATTCCTGATGCAGATAAGTATTGTTTATTTTTCATTTACATTTTACAATTCTAATTGTATACAAATCAAAATTATTATTTCAAGAGCATTATTACTTTATATCACATTCGTAATTATAAATATGTTCATAATTTTTTATTTGTATTGTTTATAAATAAGAGTTCATCGTGAAAATATTCTTTAGCTAATAAAATTTGTATTCTTTCATTGATTTAATAGCTCTGTATTTATATTAATAGTTGCACATTAATTTTTCTTACATGCTCTTTTAAACTAAAATTATTATACATTTCAACTTTCATAAAATCATTAAACTATTATTCATATAAAAATTATATTCATTATTTAAATACAAATTTATTGTAAATTCTAAGTACATTAAAATTACATTTTTATACAGTACAAAAGAATAATCGTGTTTAAAAATTACTAGTATATTAAAATAATCTTCAACTATAAGCGATTGTTATTAAATAAAAGAACTCAAGTAAATGAATTTAAAATAAAATATTTGATTACAGCATTTATTAACAAAGGAACTGTTTGTTAACAACTAATAAGTCAGTTTTTAATTGCAATAACAAAAATTTTGTATTTAGATGAAAGCTTAAATTTTAAAATCAATACTAAATAACTAATTTTAAAATCAATAATAAGGTCGTATTAATAAAATTTGATTATAAGTAATAAAATTATATTCAATGAAAGAAAAAGAACTTTTTTATATACAATATTGATATTTATTAATCATAATAAATATTTATGCTAATAAGTAATAATAATTGTAAGTTTGTAATACCAACGGTCAATCAGAAATAATGTAAATTATAAATTAAATCATAGTAATTTGTTTTCTTATTTATTATTTATTTATAGTGAAGTATTTTTAAATAAAATTTGAAATTACTTAACTGCCTGACCGAACTATAAATGTAATATATTTATAATTGTACAGTTATGTACATTTATAGAACTATGAATAAAATGGATATATATGTAATAATTACATTGCGTTATAAAATCTTTATAATTAAAATTATTCATCAGATTATTATTTCGATTGATTTTTTATTTGTTAAAGAAATGTAAAGACTATTATTCTGTTAATTTTTATACTTATAAGAGAAAATAATTTTAAGTTACAACGATCAAAAAAGGTTCAAAATATAATTATAAAATTTTAATTTTTGCTATTTTTTATAATATTAAAATTCTTTAATATTATGTACACTTAGATAAATGAAGGTCTCATGGTGTAATGGTTAGCACTCTGGACTCTGAATCCAGCGATCCGAGTTCAAATCTCGGTGAGACCTTTTTAAGTCAATAATGAATTATTTTTTGTAATAATAATTACATTTTTAAATCGTCGTAAATATAAAGAAAAAACAGAAGGCGTTAACAACATATTTTATAACATATTTTATGAATTATAAATTGGGGTTCATCTGTGTTTGTGTCCCTTATATGTATATATATATATATATATATATATATATTAAGAGAATTTTATTACAATTTAGATCTACTTGTAGTATATATGTTATACTTAATCATTATGCGCAATTGGAGTAGGATGTGTAATTTAATATATTCTGATAAAGAATAGTAATTTTTAGATAGACATAATAAAAAATGTAATTATTATAAACAATTTTAAGTTTTAAGATACGTATAATTAAAATATAATATTTGATCAACTAAGTAGTACGTGGATAATATGTATCTAACACTTTTAATAAATTTCATGAAATATGCAGTAATATTTCGAATATAATTTATAACACATTAATTTTAACAATATTTCTATTATCATATATTCCTTTTTTATGAATCTATATATATGAAATATTAACATATTATCTTTTACTAATTTTTTTATTACGTTTTTAGTTTGTTAATATTAAATTTATAAAATGAATATATAAAATATAATTCAATAAAGCTTTCTTTTTATATAAGTAAAGACTGATTTTTTTAGGGATCGTACATAAAAAAAAGTCTTTTAAAATAATTAAAATAATTAAATGTTTATTCTTTATGGAAACGATATTTCTACTATTAAAGATAGTTAAAAAAAAAAAAAAAAAAAAAAAAAAAAAAAAATGTAAATGTAATTGATGCCAAGCATTAATCTGATCATTACAGAAAATTCATCTTTATTCAAGAAAGCATAATAATATTGAGTACATTAAAATATTAAAAATACTATATATGTCACAGAAGCAAGTTAAATAAATGAAAACTTTAAGTCTGCAAAATGATGGCAACGCCGGCGAGGGTCCACTTGGTAGACTTTACTTTTGTTTTAAGATTGAAAGTCCAGACATAAGTAGGTCCCCTAGATCTTGTCTTGTACACTGGACATTCATACATGTTCTTTAATTCCTGCTTATCCTGTGTGATGGCTTTAATATAGATGACCGGCATTTGGGGAAACAGCTCCTTCGGTAGGGACTCGGCGATAGAGCCGATACTCATATCCCAGCGCGCCCCTTCCATAAACAAACCGTTTATATATGCACCTTCTCTGGGCGGCGCACTGGTTAATACATTTATATAAACATGCATTATTATATGTGTACACTACAGGTTGCCTTAAATTATTTGTATTATTTTTATTTACATTTGTATTATTATTAATATTATTATATCATTTATTATTTATATTATTATTATTATTTGTAGTTAAACATGTTTGTAAAAAGTAAGATGGTTGTGTTTAATTAGCTGTGTACGATAAACTTTCATACAAATATTTAAACAAGTGTTAATTCAATTATCAATACTATAGATTTTCTACTATAGATATTTCAATTTAATTTAATATAAACTAATGAGCCGATCCTTCTTTTTTTAATTAAATTGAAACTCGTTTCTTACAATTAAAAACAACATTGATTACTAACTTGATTTCAGTTTTCGGCTTTTTAGTTACATCGCAATAAAGACACATTTTATCCAAGGGCCATTCGTTTTTACGTGCCGTCTGTTGCATTATCGCGGTAAGAAAAGATTGAGGGTTAAAAAATCCAGCCAACCAAATTGATGATGGAAGCTAATGATATAAAAACCGTACAATGTAATATTTCTAAGTTTTTTTAAGGGCTTGGAACTATTTGATATATTAATTTATATATTGAAATTAATTGAATAAATTATTTCCTCTTATAATGTGAAATTCGTCTTCTGCGTTTTAATTTCATTTTGCAACAAAATATTTTTATAAAAATAATTATTATCAATTTACTCATTAATATTATGATCTTATTATCTGATTTGAAATGAATTTTTTTAATAAAGATTTAAATCGAATATTAAAAAAAAAAATTATTAAACTATAATTAATGCTACAAAAATGCATCCTTCTTTTTTAAAACTGATAAATTTATAAGTTTCAAAGCTATTGAAATATTGGCTTAATCTTTTGTTGATATTTTTCATACAAAACATTTATTAGTAGTGTATGTATTTTTTTTTCAAAAATTTACAGCTGCATCATTTAATCTTTCGTGTAGAATACTATTTTTTTCAACCTAAAAACTAATTACCGAAAAATCATTACTCCAAGCTTGCAATTCAGTATATCTAATTAGTAGATCAGCAAACCAATTCGTCAAACCAAGATTTGAGGGATACGCTTTCCTAGTCCACGTAGGCGGAACCATATCCAAGTACAAATAGTTTTGGAGTTCTTCCATGTCGGCGTTAACTGTTAATTCTCCCTATGTGGCACATTTAAATTATATGTTAATTTTAATTTTTAATATAGTATGTAGTTTAAATTTTCATTTTATAAACTTTTAATCCAAGTTCTAATTCTATCAGTGATCTTCGAAGTTCCCCACATAAAATATTCATTCTTTCGCACTCTTGGAAAGCGACGATGACATATGGAGTTCGATTTGAAACCTAAATATATATTAAAATACATAAATGTAATATTATCAATAAAATATTACATATTTATTATGTTAGTATATCAGATAAAAATTAATGTTAAAACAAATAATTGAAACTCATTGATTTAAAAATAAATTTTTTTTTGTGATATATCGTTTCGTGTATCGAGATTGGGTTTCACAGCTTTTTTCAAAGTCATTAAGAAGTACCGCATATTAATGTACCGTTTTAAATAATCTCTAATACATATTTATAAAAAGTTATAAAAAAATTAATTAATAATGACATAATACGATAACAAAGTATTAAAATTTCTTATTAAAATAAAAAAAAAGATGTTATCAGTGTTACGTATTATATGAATATTCTATAAATTATTTTATATTCGTTCATAACTTGTATTTAATATGTTTGATATAGAATGTACCTTATTCATTAATTCAGGGAGATTAAATTCATTTGGTAATTTATCCATTATATCTTCAATAATATTTTTTACTTTCTCCTCCCGTGACATTCCTTCACCCGATTGATTACTAGCGTCTCGAGGTTGCATTTCTAAAACTGCGTGGAAAAGATTTTCAGCAATTACGGTCAAAAAACCTGGAAACAAATAATTACTTAGCATTTACATTATCATTATAAATATACATGTATAATAGTTTTTTTTTTATTTATCGCAATATTATGAACAAAATAAATAGAAATAAATGAATAAATAAATTAATTATATATATATATATATTTGTGTGTATGTGCGTGTATGCATATGCATTTGCATATACATATTTTTATATTAAGACAAAATAATAGTATGCTAAATCGTGGAATAAAATTATGAATTTAAATTTCTTAAAGGTCTAATATAAACTACAATGATAAAAACTATAGAAGTTTTATAGATTAAGACATAAGATTAAATAAATAAAAAAATATTAATAATATTTCTTTTTTTAAAAGAAATGTATAAGTTTAACGTTTAAAAAATATGTAAGAATTTGCTTACCAATTTCAGCATTGGAATGCAACCCATATAATATGGGACTCTCAGCTGGCAAGTAATCATCGACATACTCGTGATAAGCTATATAATCATTACTGGGTGGTCCTGGAAAGTTGGGCGCTAAATTCAAATCTCCATCGACGAGTTCTGGTTTCAGATACTCCAAGAGATATGTCTGACAAAGCCTTCGGTCCCAGTCATCAGTAATATGACCTCCATACATTATCTCACCGAAAAGATAACGCAGATCTTCCCAAGGTACAGAGTTGTTGCTCTCCAAATAGTTAAGTAACACATACACACTTATTGTGAGATCGCCAAAATTGAACGGATAAATCTGTACAGATAATTTAATAAATTGGAATTTTTATGTTTGTGCTTCTCATGTGCCAAGATGTTTAACCACTATTAGTTAGGTAAAATGAATCAAAATTTTGTATAAGTTATTTTGTATAAATTGATGGGTCTAGAAAAAAAGGGTTTTTTAATACTGATAACTTACGTAATTTATAGAATTATAACCTTTTTTTTTTTTTTTTTTTTTTTTTTACATCTAACTGCAATATTTTTAACAAATATCTTAATAATTGGATTTATACAGAAATGGAAATTAAATTTCCTTAACTTTATATATCCTATCATTTCCATTAAACATAGTATACATTTCCTTCCTAATATTTATTTCTCTATTCATGTAAATATATTAAATTATAATACTACTATACGCATACATTTATTTTTATAATTATTATAATAGACGAAGCCTTACCCTGTTCCAACCCTGAGGACCAAATCTTCGTCTCTCAGCAACAACGGCATGATAATAACAAAGGGCAAAAAGAATAGCTCTAAACTCGGCTTCTTTCGTACACGATTCTAATGTTTCTTGATTAAAGTTATCAAGAGCTTTATGTATATTAGCTTGCATTCCTGTAGGTGGTTCGTTGGTTATTTTTATTGCCGATTCCAAAATTCCCTGTTAAAAACAATAATTATTAAACTCTCTCATAAATGTGTATATGAAGAATTAATAAAAATTTTAATAACGAAAATTAATTTATAGCTCCCTCTTAACTATTTAACTTGAATTTTGTTAAATTTATGAAAATATGATAGAAATTGTTTGAACATTATAAGCAATTTAAACTAAAGAAAAATTATAAAAGTGTAATAAAAGAAAATTAAATTAAATTGTTAATTAATGGATCTTATTTATTTTAAATTATTTTATTATTTGCATATTTAATAACATTTTAAACACTTAAAAAGTGAGTAAAATATACAACAATTTACTCAACTGCTGCATTTTATAAAAAATTTTTTATTGGTAATATAATAATCTAAGCATTTTTTAACGAAGCGAAGTATTTAATTTAAATAATTTTTGGCAATAACTAATAGATATTTTTATTATTTTTATCTCTGATATGTATATATTTATATAACTGAGTAAGAATATATGCACCTGTGGAATAATCGATTCATGAGGATCACTGCTTGGCTCAGCACTGATGAATAATCGATAGTCTTCATGTGGATTTTCAGACAACTGTTCCAATTTTTTTTCCAAATTTCCCAGCCAGTTTTTCACAAGATGAATATTTTGTAGAATAACCCAATGACCTTCTTCCGAAGCCAAATCCATTGCTTTTTCGGCTATCACTTCCTGACCTTGACCCAGTGATACATTATGAAATTTTTGTGCCTCCGAAGTAAAACCTAGTTTTTGACCCAACTTCTCCACATCCTATTTAAAAGATATCATTCCCTTAAAATTAATTGAACTGAATAGGTATTGAATTGTTATTAGTAACATTTTAGAATTACACATTTAATTTAAAGCCTGAAATAAAAGCAATACTTTTCACTTTATACTTGCAAAGAGTTTGCAAAAAAAAAGAAGTTTCTATTTCTATTTAAACATTTTCATAATAGTTTCAGAGATTTTTAATAAAATCGTTATTCGCATAAATTTGCATAAATTACTTTAAGTGGATCAACCCCTGGTGATAAAATGAAAAAAACTGGCGTAATTGAACTAGTTTCCTCGAACGATTTTGTGAAAGGTGGTGATCGCGATTCGATATATTTTGGTCCTAATTTTTCTTCTACAAAGCATCTGTTTAACATATTAAATTTATTTAAAGATATTATACATAAAAATAATCAGATTATAATAATAATATAATCGAGTTTTTTCAATACCATTCATTTAGAATCTGTGAATATCAAAGTTTTGATAATTTTTTGCAAATTTTTTCATAAATAAAATATAACTTCTACAAAAATAATTAGATTTGATAATTTTATGGTTAATATAGTGCAAAGGGCATAATACTGAGTGTACTATTTTAAAAAATATATACTTTTAAAAAACAGTATTTAAACTACATGAATTAATTTTATAATATAAACATATTTTATAAATAGTTATATACCTAACGGCATAAGTCATACGATCAACTCGCAGACAACGCATCATGCAGAGTCTCTGAAAAGCCGTCTTATTCTTCCACTCTTGAGGAAACTTTTCCTTTTCCGGTTTTTCTGAATCAACGAATGACTTCCACCTTTTAGCTGCACCTTCAATATCCTTATCAAGATTCGTGAAATTCTCTTGAGAACTAAGCAGTTTAATACCAGCCCAACTGGAATTGCTTAAGAATTCTATAGGACTAATGATGTTCGGGTTACATGGATAACGAAGAAGAAAATCTACCTCACGTCTATCAATTTCCTTTGTTTGTAGAAAAATCTGTAATATAAACAAAAATTTGATATATAAATTTAATAATGTAATCAATAATATTATGCAACATAAATTTGAATAATAATATAGTTAATAACTTATTTTAACATTTATATAAACGAGCAAGTAATAGATTTCTTATATAATTATTTATGTTATCATTTTCAAAATTAAATGTAATATCAGTGGAAGATAAGTTGATACTTATTTTAATGGTACATTTTTATTTGGCTGTATAAATAAAAATGTTTTAGTCAACAATATTAAAAATATAAACCTGAATAGTCATTTGACATAAAAACATTATCTTGTCAGTTTCAAAAAGTCCTCTGCTGGTATAAACAAATACCATGTAAGTAATTCCTTCGATTAAATTATTAACACGTTCTTCAATTTCCTCTGATTCAATAGCAAATCTGTATTCGATAAAAATAAAAAATAAAATTAAAAAACAATAAAAAGATAAGAATTCAACTGGCGACAGTGTTTTAATTTTAGTACATGTATTTTAATATTGATAAGATTTCTTCTTTATAATATTTAATTGAATATTACATAGCTAATTTTATAAATTCTAATAAAATATTTACATTTTACTCTTTTCCATAATACAAAGAATTAATATTTCAGTGTATCGAGAATACAATTTTATGAAATAAAAACGATTTCTTTATGAATTAAACTTCATTAATAAATAATATGAAATATCGAGATTTTTATTCTTTATTTTCATTGAAAGATAACAGAGGTTTCCTTATTTAAGATACTTAGGTTTTTGATAAAAACTTTTCATTAAATAAATAGGGATCTTCGATTGAAAAAATATTTGAAAATTCATACCCTAATATATTCATTTACTATAATATTTTTTATTTCTAATAATTAATTAATATTCACAATACTACTGCCAATCTTCTTGAAACCTCAGTATTAACTGGTAGTGCATGTGTGAGTGCGTGAGTTGCGTGAGGGTAGTGCATGTGTGAGTGCGTGAGTGCTTGCGTGAGTGCTTGCCTTGCGTAAGCTACATGCGTGTATATTAACCTGATGGCATTTTGAAAGACAACACTGAATGCTTTCAATGAGAATTGATAAAGCATGTTAATCTTGCAGAGATCGTTGAGAATGAAATAGAGAAGACTGGCACGTGAGGCAACTGGTCGGTATAATTCACGAGCATCGTCGATCCGTGCTGATGTTATCTTGGCTTCTGCAACTTTAATTTCAATCTCTGCTGCTGTGCGTTTCGTTTTTTCAAGATTCTCTACCAAAGCTACGTCGCTTAATACGTTTGGCCCAGCTGACGATAGTCTGTAAAATAATACTTTTATTTTAACATGCAAAATATAAATTTATTTCTAAACCATGAAATTATAAAATCTTTCTTAAACCCTAAAATATAGAAAAATAATTAAAACAGTAGATGGTTTAACCAAATATATATGTTTTGAACATACAATTATTCTCTAATTTTAATTATTTTTTGTACGTATACATGATAAATGTATTGATTTTAATTTAATAATTTAATTTTTAATTAAGTTCTTTTAATTGTTTCTATCATTAAACAAATATTAGCGAATGAGTGCATATTCAATAGCACTCTTTTTCTTTTCTTTAATTTATAAAATATTTACAATTTACGGATAATTGTAATTAAATGTTCAGAGGATATCAAACCTAAGCAACAGATCGTCTTCCAAGGTTTTAAGTGTAATCTTAAATATGTTCTGTTGTTTAGTGAGTTCGGACTTAGTTGATTCAAGATCTGGTCTCTCAACTTTAACCACCTCTCCAAGAAGCTGTTCCTCTAAACCATCCTGCGTAACCGTAAAATTTATCAGCGTGGTTTGTGCCTGCATTTCTGGTTTATAATGCGGATTAGCTAATTTCGTTTGAAGGAGAAGCCGAAAATTGGAATTGTAGTCGACTTCTTTGTCACCAATTCTCACGGCTCTAGCATAAAAATAGAATAATTAATTTTTAAATATAGTTTTAATATTTATGCATATTAAATTTTACGTTTTTATTATCTATCAATTGTTTTAATGTAAACATAGATTTAAAAAAAAATTTATACTGTAAAATATTTATTAAAACAATGTCATGAATATTATTTAAATTTTTATACTGACGTTCCCTTTTTTATTAAAACTCGTCCCAAAATAGGATCTAGAACTGCGTCGACAGTTTCCATAATGTTTTCCAGCAGCAAAACTTCACCATTAAAAATTGCAAGTTCGATATTATCGAGATAATTACGATGTGTCAATCTCAGAATTTTCATATTTTCACCATACTTATTCTTGATCCATTTCAAACCTTGCAACTGGGGATCGATCATGAGAGGCCATCTGGCAGAATTAGTTAATATTGTCGCGTTTTCAGCTGACATTCGATCAGTTGGTAAACCTTTCAATGTTCACAAATAGTTTATTTATTAAAAAAATAAATAATTTATATGAGTGATTTTATTCAAATTAAAATACATAGTAATCCTTTTTAAACTTAAAATTGGGTTATATAATAACCTTCGTTATTCCACTGAGCAACTTGTGCATCGTCTGTTAACAGTGTCAGAGGATCTAAACCTTCGGTTGTGGGTATTGATGGATTTAGCTCTTTTAAGTATGGTAACCAATGAATGTTCATTAAATCCAACCGATACTTGCGTCCAAAACAACCCACATATGATATGAAGGCTGTAACCAGCAAAATATCACCTGGGATCTTTTCACCCGATGTTTTCAGCCTAAAATAAATATTTACGAAAAATTAATAAAAAATAATACACATTAATTATACATTAATTATTATTAGAAAAAAATACATTAACGATTTATTATCAATGTATTGTTTATAAACTACTTTTCAACAGTTTCCGCCCAACGAATTTTTTCTGAACCAAGCCCATTCACAAGTCTGTTTGCTAAATCAATCGCTATCGCAGTGGCGTCTGCTTCGTCTTGACACTTCTTTTTATCAGCCATTGCAACGTCCATTTTCAAACCTAATACATCGAGCATCTTTTGTAATTCCTAGAACACCAAATTTCAATTGTTAAATATTTTTTTTTTAATTACTTTTAATTATGTATTAAGTTTTTGGTAAATTTTTACATTACAATTGCTTTACTTAAATTTCAATTAAACGCAGAAAATTACGTACTCCTAAACGTGTTTGCAATGTAATTAGTTTATCCATTGCAGCTTTCAGCTCTGCATTCGCCTGCACTAAAGCCTGCCTCAACGGTTTTACGGTCTCATTTATGGAGTAAAAAACCATGATGTTTATTACCCAACTACATAAGCCAGCAGCTGCGTTGGACTTCGAGCGAATAAATTCCGGATCAAATTCTTGAAAAGATATATAATTATCAAGACTGCTATAACTTCATGGATAAAAACGAAAAATAATTATAATTATAATAAATTAGTATTAAGCTAAATGATACCTTTTACACTAAATCATTGAATAATGCGAATTTTGTATGACTAACTTAGAGAAACTTATAATATAGTTATAAATTTTATAAATAAAGATAAACAAATTAAATAAAAAAAATTATTTTGATAAATATATTTTTTGTCTTGCTGCAAACCTTTGTCCTCGATGTAAGGTTTAATGGCTTTAATAACTTCAGGATGAATATTTCCCTTGTCATAGTTTCTAAGATTTGAAAGAAACTGATCGACTCTACCCATCATAATTTTGCAAGCTTTCCAAGATCTGTCTTTGGGAACTTTGCCCTTAGGTGAAAAAAGAACCAGAACTGCTTGTGCTACTTTCGCAACCGCTAGTGGTGGTGATGCAAAGGCTTTCAATTCCGTTAAGTTATTCTATTAAAATTACTGAATATTATTATATAATAAATAGTAATAATCGTTACATAATATTATGTATTATTAGAGTGAATTTAAAAGAATTAAAATGATATCGATTTTATAATATTACTTGAAATATAATTGTTACATTAAAATAGTTTTTATATATTCATTTTTTTCGATTTTTTAAGATAAACATTAACATTAAACTTTGTTTTACATATTACAATATTATATGTGGATTATGCAATTATATTTTATAGTTATTTCAATATCATTTTTAATAATTAATTTTTTTATTGTAATTACAAAAACCTTATGATAAAATTAAAAAAAATATATCCATGCAATTTTAAACCTTATTTAAAGTATTCAAAGCTTCTTCAGCTGATCGAACTGCAGGCTCAGCTTTTGCTAAATCTTCATCGCATCTTCTTTGGTTTTGTAAAACATTTTCTTTGATATCCGCAACTTTAAACTCTTCCTCGGATACTAAGAAATAAATCTCGTTATTATTATTGTTCAAATAAAACTTAAATATTTATTTGTTAATTACCAAAAGCCTTTTCAACTTCTGCTTTCGTATTTTCAGCTGTAACCTCTGATAAAATTTTATCAGCTTCGTCATTTTTTTTTTTTAGATCAACTTCTTGTATAGCTAAAACCTCTTTTAATTCATCAACCTAAAATCAATTTATATGATATATGCTATTATTCATGATATAATACAATTAAATTTTTATAGATTATATTTACTTGTCCAGCACAAGAATCGAGCTTTTCCAAACCATTTACTAATCTTTCGATCATAGATTGTAAATCAAACGTTTTCTCATTTAATAGTTTGGAATATAAGGCAATTTGTTCCAGAAATGATTTGGGCGTTGTATAGTTATATCTCCTTTCATTATGAAGATAAAGTTTGGAAATTTCATTGACACTCGTGTGCGCGTATGACATAAATAAAGAAACTTGATTACGACTTTCCGCAGGCAGTGCATTAAGTTCCTAAGATTAAATAAATGCAATAAAACTTTTCTATATTTTGTTATTATAAAATTACTAAAATAAAATTTTTTAATTATATTTAAGAAAATTACATTGTAGTAATATATATTTTACTTTATTTGCAAAATTTTCGATTTGATTATTAAAGAAATCAAAGTTTCATTTGTACTAATTATTATTATATTAATTATCAACTATTCTAGTATATTTTATTATTATATTTTATATTTTCCTATTCTACATTTTACTTTATTGGTATAAAATATACCAAATTAATAGTAACATGCTTGTAGAAATGTGTATAATTTGTTGATAAAACTATTCGCAGTTATAGAATGAGTATTAAATTATATTTTTTAGTAAATAACATAATATAAAACAGATTTACGGAGAGGAATTGTAAAGACACTGATTCTAATGCTGACTGTGGCCAATCTTGAAACCAGTTGATCGATGTGCAATTGACTATAGCTGGAAATTGTCTGGCTCTTTTACGTAATGTCGCACCGACTGGAGAAAAACAGAGAATGCATTTTAATAGCCTTCGGACTTTTTCTATGAAGAATTTCCAGCAATTCTCTTTAGAGTCCGGTATTCCCGCCTGCTTAACCTAATTATATAAATAAATTACACGAGTATTTATATTAGAATATTGTAACATTAAATAAATATTTTGTAATAAGTGATTACATTTATAAACTGTTAATATATAACAAGGTTATTATCTTAATAGTATTTCGATGAGAAATAGCTAATTGAAGTAAATAAAAAATTTTTTCGTGAGTACAAAATTTTTTTAATAAGTTATTGATAAATAATTTTATCCATTATGTGTTAATAATATTAATTAAATTATTAATATTAGTATTATGAATGGATACATTTTTTAATAGCGTTTTAATTAATGAATGCATTATAACAAACTTTTTATTTATGTATTATTTTTCTTAAAAATTATTTACAAGAATTAAATAATGAATGTAAACATGCATTAGACTAGAAATCTAAATAATAAATTACAAAATATATTTTATATAATACTACTACATAATGTCAATTAATTTCGTATTGGTGTAAAACAACTTTTTACCTCATTTTTCATTGCACCGATTATACCCTCGATTTGATCATCTGGAAAGAGATCTACAATTTCTCCAGAAGCCAACATATCGTTCACAACAACCAAAAACTTTTCTTGCGCAACTTGTGAATCTGTCATTAGGAATGTTATGCCAATGTTCTTCACACCAGCTTTTAAGTAAAGAAGAGACAAATCTGCTTTAAGATCATTCATAGAGTACCCCTTTCTTAATTGTATTTGAAAAACCTATTGAATTTAGACAGCCTTACATCAATATTTGAAAACAATGTCAAACTGAAATCATATGTCAACTAATTAAGGCCTAATTTTACAAATTATTAAACACACGAATGATTACTTGTAAAGTGGAAATATATGAAGATAGTCGTGATAGAGATTGCTTTCCGCTACCACCGACGCCAACTAGTAACGCGTTACCCCTTGGAGATTCCAGAATTCTATTTATTCGACAAACATGATACATAGCATCTTCAAACATTACTAAACTCATTGCAGCCACCTATAGATAATTGTTGAATAAATTTGTTTCATATTATAGAACTTCAGACTAAATTAAATAGTATTTTTAATTATATTATAATCGAATTGTAAATAATTAAATAACAAAATTGTTCTATTGTATTTTTAAAAATATAATATATGATAATAATATAATAATATTATAATAATATAATAATTAAAAAAAAATTTTAATACATCTTATCCCTTATTGAAATACGTTAATTAAAATTTTATAATTATTATATAAATTTTGAAATACTATAAAATAAATTTTAGTTTATGGAACCATTGTATTTGTATATTTATTTGAAATTTTTACATTAGATATAATGTGTAAAATTAAAAGAAACTTCACATATTTATATGTATTAATCAATTTGCATAAAAATACTATTATGAATAAAAATATATCGAATGATATTTCTAATAAAGTTTTGAAATAGAAGTTTGTACCAATTCATTATAACTCGTAAGAGCATCGTTCAATAATTTTTTAAGATGACGCCAGTCTTGTATTGCCATATATTTTGGATCGCCGATACCGCCAGCAAAATGACAGAATATTAGAGGCTCAGTAAAAATTAAATTTTCATCGAATGCCTAATAAATAAGTAAATATGATTGTAATTTTTAATAGTATTAGTCACTGATAATTTATAATAATATCAATAACGAAATTCAAGTGAAATATTATTATTGACAATGAAATGAAAGTAGTAAACTTACGGGTAAATTTTTTCGCAAAGCTTCACGAATAAGGTTGTCAAAAAGATTTTTATCTTCCAAATCAACTAATTTATCAGAATAAACTCGAGAAGCCTCATGAATAAAAAGACGATAAAAAGCCTCAATGTGCGGTATTGTGTTATCATTTGCAAATAAAATACCCTATAATACAAATATATAATAAAAATATTATTTTATAAAAAAAAAGTTTAATAACTTAAATTAAAGTAAACATATTTATACATAACACATAAACACATAAAAAAAATATATATATACATATAACATTTACCAAAATATTTAAAACATTTACTGTTGTCTTTTTCAAATTGAATCGCATAAAAAATATTATTGAATTTAAAAAAAGGGAAATTTATTTAAAAACAACATTTAATTTAAATTTGAATTAAAAATAAATTTAAACAAAAAAGGCTAATTATGTAAATGTCGAAATTTTTTTTTTAATATAATCAAGTATTAAAAAAAATCTTTAATATTTAGAATAAATTTAAAAGTAATAATTATAACTAATGTACTTGGAAGATATTTGAAAGATCTCTTAAATTGAAGACATAATGAAATTTTGTAGCTGTTGGCAAGAAATTCACAGTGACTTTGTCATGAAGATACATAGCACATGCTATTAATTGATCAGTTACTTTATTTATGGCTGGAGATATTTTGTTAAATGGATTTGTCAAATGTTGTTCCAAAATCTGACTATAGATTGTAATAAGTGCATTTTTACCGGGAAAGCTATAATATAAAAAAATATTTATAATATTGTTCCATATAAATATAAAATAAAAATATAAATTACATATAATTTAAAATACATATGATTGAAAATTGTACTATATTCAAAATTATTTGTAAGTTACCTTACAGCAAAAGCAGCAAAGTGACGCTGTAATCTTGGATCAATAGTAAAAGCACCAGCTGTTGGATTCATGCACGAAATATATTGAGTATTACTAACATCTTTTAATACAAATTTCTGTCTATCATACCTGTATATAAATAAAGAAAAAATTCCATGTACATTGTCATACATAAAAAATAGTAAATACGAAATACCAATGATTATAATCCATGTGTTGACGAATTATAGTATGTGGTTGAACAGTTCCATACGTATCTACTTCCGGCATGTTCATATCGTCAATGAAATAAATTAATGATTTCCCGGCTGGAGGACCATAATTATGACCAGCTTTCTTCTCAAGCGGTTTTTCTAAAATTCTTTGCAACATTTCTATAAAATATAATATTTATATTAATTATATTAAATATTGTTAAATATTGTCGATAAAGATATCTTTCGTTAAATAAACAATTGTATTAAGTAATATTTATTCAACCGAATGTTTGTGAACCAATTCAATAATATTATAATTTTTAAAAATTAAATTTTTAAAATTCTGAAAAAATTTATTGATTTAATAACAGTATTTATAAATTCAAAAAATTTATAAAACTCTAAACATTCTAAGTTGTATAGTTTTGTTATTTGCTTTACTATTATTATTTAGAACGTATTCTAAAAAGAAAATTAATTATTTTATCTAAATATGTTATAAAGTTCCAAGGCGAAACAAATTAAATGTATAACGAAGTTTTGTATCAACTCAAAAAATTACAATTCTCATATATTATTTAAAGACAATTACAATAATAAACTTTAACTAAGAAATAAATTTTAAATTTTCATGGAGGTAAATAAAGATATCATTACCTGACGTTGTGTAAAAATTGAAGGGTACATTTGCTATGCAGTAGTTTTCTGATAGACTAGATAGTTTATCAGCGACCATAACGCTTTTACCAGTTCCGGCGTTGCCAATCAACATCACCGGAACATTGCGTGCCATTAGCATGTCCATGAAAAATCGTATGCGTACAGTCTCAGCTGTTGGCACCAGCATTGACTACATATAAGTATATTTCTTATGAAAACTATTTTAGAGAATCTATTTACATGTAATACATTTTTATGTTAATATTGAGTGTGTAGTGTGTACAGTTTGGAGGCTATCAAAAAATTAAAACAAAAAAAACAAAAAAACAAAAAACAAAAAACAATAATAATCAATAAATTAAGAACATAAATTCATTCTAAAATAAATGTCATTTCAGATTATTAATGTACGCTTTACAACGATAAATTGAAATAAATAATACAATGATAAATTCGGCGTAAATTTGAAAAAAAAAGCATTAATAGATATTATAATATATCGGATGTATACATGTATTTTTTTTTATAACTTATTTTTGCATATATAACAATAAAATAACAAATATTATTCATCCATTGTAAAGATAATATCCATAATTTAAAAAGAATTGGCATGAAATATTACTTTCATAAAATTGAAAGCAAAACAATATTTAAAGACAAATTTTCTGTATTATTTTCTACATTAAAAATTTGATTTATATAAGTAAGATTATTAATAGACAATTTTTTTAAATATTAACTTATTTTTATGATAAACTCTTCTTTAATAATGAAATTTTTTAAAAATGAATAACAAAACATATTTAAAATAATAAAATAATATAAAATTATAAGATAAATCAAAATAATTAATAACCTGCAGTGGTGTATCCGGATCGAGTTCAAATTTCCCAACAATTTCTTCCCAAAGCAATAATTTTTTCGTTTTTTGATCAATAAAATAGTTGAAAATATTACTACCCGATGGAAATTTGACAACTTTAAATTCTGTCACCCACCATTTGCTGAATTCATTACGCCAGTCAACTAACTGGTCTTGAAATAATGTCGATCCAAAAGCCCAAATGCAAGCAAAAGTGAAATATAACTCATACCTATATAAAAAAAATATGATTATGATAATCAAAATTTTTTATTATATTTTTCTTGGATATTTATTATTAAGTTATTCACTATCGTTGGTAATTTTATTCTCAAACTTACACATTCTTATATACGAGTTAAAAAAAATTTTAATATGAAATAAATATATATCCAATTATTTTAATATTTAAAAACGAAATTATGTTTTCATTTTCTGGACTAAATAGGATTATTTTTAAAATAAATTTTAGTCTTTTTTTTAATTACGAACGTTAAAAAGCAACACTTCTAATAATTAACATAAATAATTTGAGAATAAAATCAGTTTTGCAATTACCATTCCTTTGGACAATCAGGAGGTACATTTTCTTTGGTTAAAAAGCAATCTAATAAATTACAAAGCATTTCAAGATGACAGATTTCAGGAATTGGAGTAATTTTTTTGAATTTTGATTTCATTACATCAAGTAATATTGGTATATATTTCTCAAAAAGTATCATAAGATTTGCTCGTTCACCAGAGTCTCGAGTATCAATCCAACTTTGGATAAATCTAAAAGAATTTTTATATATTATTTCGAATTCCGAATAAATGTAAATATTATAATTTTCTTTTTAATTAAAAATTATGTAATAATCACTTTTATAATATTCTAAGAAGAATATAATTTAATCATTACTCAATCTTTAATTTATACAATTAGAAATATTAGGAACTGAGTAAATAAATTGTATATATAGAGTGTATAATTAATAATAAAATAATTCATTAAATTATTAATTAGATATTTCAAATATTATTTATACTTACGGACTCCATCCTAGATCTTGTGGGTTGATATAGAGAATTCCAGCTCTTGAAACGGTAGCTGGAGTAGCCGTTCTAAAAAAATATTATTTGTCATACAAACACTTATAATCCGTTATATTATATGCAATAATAAATTTGAATTTTTATAAATACGTATTAAAAGCATGTCAACATTGTTGGTAATGCAAAATATTATGAATTATACAGTTTTCAAACAAAATCATGTTCTCATAAATAATAATATCTTTGATAAATTCTTAATAAGTCGGATGGTAAAAATAAAAGTTTGATAAAAAAAATAAAAATAAAAATAAAGAAATATTTATTTTTATAAAAATAGAACAAATGATTATTGTATAAGAAATATTTTGTTTAATAGTTTCACAAACATTAAAAATCTATTTTTGTAATAAATAATATGTATGAAATATTTAAAAACTATCTCAACTCCAGTATTTTTAAACTTAAATTTAGTATCAAAAAAGGAAATTTTTAATATTATTTTTAATCTCATTAATCATATTTAATTTAATTTCAGAAAATTGAAAGTTAATAATTTAATTATAATATTTAAATTATAATATTTAAATAATAATTTCAGAAAAGGATCACCATTGATACTATCATTCTAAACTCCATTCTAATGAGTAAACAAAGTTTATTGACATTAATAGCTACTCTTTCAATTAAAGCTAGATTCTATTTTTTTAAGTGTTCTACAAAAATTAATATTTATTCAAAATTTAAAAAATAATTTTTTTATTAATAATTTGTTATAAATTAATGATAACGTTTTTTTATTCTAAGTGTATAATTATGATATAATTTATTTACGAATTTCTAAATTTATATAATATGGAAAGCGGAATAATTCATACTAGAAATTTTTTTACACGCCAATATTTATTTGATAGCTTTTTAAGCAATTATTATTTAATTATTATAATTATTATAAATATAGCATATATCTTGTAGAAATTAGAAAATTTAATTAATTTATGAATTTTACATTGTGTTGTCAAATATATGTATTTGCATATATTGAATATTCTACATTTTAAAATGTATATTTACAAGTTTGTCGCAATATGAAAAATGTATAATACAACGACAGTCGATTCGTTATGAAAAAGAGATGATTTTAAAGCTAACTATACAGACAATAAAGATGAGGATTTTTAAAAATAATTTTAATTTTATAATACATATAATTAAGATCTGGAATAAAAACATAATTTTTTTTGGTAACGAAATGTATAGTTGGTTAATTAATTTATTGTATTAAAAAAAAAAAAATATATATATATATATATATCAACGTTCGCCATCGAATGATAAACAGTTAAATAGTTACTATAGCAAATAAATTACATCATATTATCATGATATAATAAGTATAAAAAAAAATGTAGACTTAATTTGCGGAAGTGAACGATGAAGTTCATTTCCTATTTTCCGTGATTTACAATTTTTCTTTTTAATAAGTATCAAATATAATTTATTAAAATTAACAAAAAGAGGATGGTTGCGTTATTTCGAGATCATGCCTTTGGAGACTCATACTACTAAAAAAGAATGAACTAGATAGCTTTTATCCGGACAAAATATTTTAATTTTATCGAATGATTTTTTTTTATTTATATTTTAATTAAATATATTCTGAACAATGCAATTAATAGTTTTCTATTTTAAAATTGGAAAATATGATTAAAAGCAGTTTTAAAGAAAATATCTTTGTAATACAAATTTAATTTAGAATACTTTAAAATATATTTGAAAAGTTTCTGAAACCTTAAGTTTGATATTTCGAAAAGAAGCCTCATTTGCTTAGTGAGAGCAATTCGTTCATTGCTGGCTAAAGTCAAAACTTTGTTGTCGTCCATGACTGTATTAAGTGATTCAATCCACATAGGATCGATATCTCCGTCAAAGATTATCCACTTCGGTCCATCGCCTTGCATATTTGCTTGATCACGCATCAGTATGGACACCAAACTGAAGAGCCAACAGAAAATTTGTTGAATTTTCGATAATTCAAAGATCATTTTACACAAGATCATTTTACAAAATATATACTAGTTGATTATTTTACTTAGTTCTAAGATAAAAACAATTAAAATATTTATTTTAATTATTATTGTGCATACCCATCTTTCCATTCTCTAGTTGCTGGATTAATAATTCCAAAAAGTTCATCATTCGTTACAGCTTTTGGATCCAAATCATTAAAATAAGGTTTCAGTTTATTATTTTGATATGTTTTATAAAGTGTTTTCCAAACTTGTGATTTACCCGTTCCAGCAAAACCAACGATAAAGACGGAATGACGAACATATAATAATTCTTCAAGTTGTACAATCTAAAATTAAAATAATATTTCCAAATATTTAGTAAAATCATAAACCAATATATAACCACTTTTACGTAATTCATTTGAAGTTTTCATATTTTGAGTTCAAATTACAATCTTTAATCAAAACATTAATTTAATGTTTTTAAATAAAATTAGTAGTAAACAAAAAAAATACTTTATTAAAAAAAAAAATCATCAATATAAAGACATTAAATAGACACTTAGCCTTACCAAAAAAATAAAATTAGTTTTTATATATTATAATTAATAAAATTAAATATAATAAAATGAGAAATAATAAAAAATTTACTTTATTCAATTCGTACTTTTAATATAAAACCATCTTCAGGTTGTAAATTCAAATCTAAAGTAGCTTCTCTAACTTTCTTTTCAAAATCGAGATCACGTTTTCTTGGCACATCTAAAGCAGGGAACAAATCACCTGCATAATATAATATATTTTAATCGACTGCAATATAATTTTTATAATTTGTATTACGTTACAAAATATAAAATAAAAATTATAATTAAAACTTGTACTTGGAGTATTATTCATCAGTAGTAATTATTGATTACAAACTTTATTAATGTATTGTCAAATATTGTTTTAAAAGGTAAACCTTATATATTAGATACAAATCAAACGTAATAAAGTATAGAATTAATTTCAAAATAATAAAATTCATTTCAATTAATTTCAATGAACAAAGATACTATATGTACAATATAGATGGTTATAAATTATTAATTATTTTAATTGTATAAGTAATTATTAAAATGAATAAAATGAAGATTGAAAAATTTTAGAATTAATAAGAATTGAGAAACTTTAATTGAATTCATTTTTAATAAGTAAAAATGGGAAGATCATAAACACGGTGCAAAAACAGTGCACACGGTTTGCAAATTTACCGATAAGACCCATAAAAATTGGCACGTCGTCAGTGACGATCTTGGGCGTATTGAAGTCTCGGAGAGCGCGCATAAGGACCTGATCTTCGGGCCTAAGATGATCATCTCTCTTCAGCTTACCCGCTACTACAAGCACGGATTTTATAGCTCTGAGACCCCAATCATAATGATCTTGTTTAGACAATAGTTCTCGGCATAGTGTGTAAAGAGTGATAAACTTGCGGGCAAGTAATCGTGCCTCTTGAAAGCCTTCGGCTACCAACATGATCTCGCAAATCAATTCAAAATCGGGTACTACCATAGCGCAAGGCCTAGCAAAGTTTATTAATAAATATATTTAAATTATGTGTTGGGAATACATTGTTTTTATATCTTAAAAAATTGTTTTAGAAAAAAATAATAAAAAAAAAATAACACTGATAATGCAGCATTATTATTGAAATTAATAATGTTTAATATAAAGTAGTTAATCAGTAAAACAGACTATGTAATTCTATAATAAAATAAGATAATAAGATGACGACTAGTGCATGATTTTTTACCTAAAAAGTGCTTTCAAATTTTCAGGCAGTTCTGTTCTACCTGCATATCCAGGATTCATAGTAATAAACATGCCAACAGTTGAAATGAGGTTTAGTTCTTGTCCAAAGAACATAAAAGTTTTCTTGTGGTTCTTTATACCATCCAATACGCATTTTACCTGAACTGATACTACGGAAAGTACCTCTACGCTGATGCGATTGAATTCGTCAAAACAACCCCAAGCACCGGTTTGGGCAAGGCCCTTATAAATGTTTCCGCAAGACTAAAAAAATCAACCATTTTCAAATATAATATAAATATTTTTAATTAAAGAACATTGAATGACATTACCGAGAACTTAAAATTCCCAATTAATTAGCATGTTCGAAAATAAAATTACACTAATAATAATTCAAATAGAAATTTAATAATTTAATATTTATCATGTATAAAAGAAAAATATAATTATTATCAATTTTCTCATCACTAATTATAATGCAATAGTTCAGTTTCTATTCAATAATGTTAAATGTGATATTATAACGTAAAATCTATCGTTTTTATTTTTGATAAACATTTAAAAAGATCGTAAATATTTATTTATTATATATTGAATTATTATATATTGAATATCAAAATATTTCTTGCTGGAATTCAATATTAATAACCTTATAATCCATTTGTTCAGAGCAATTGAAAACGTAAACCATCTGTCCTAATGCTCGGCCAAGATCTTTGGTTGTCTCAGTTTTACCAGTACCAGCTGGTCCTGCGGGTGCTCCTCCCATTATCAAGTGCAATGATTGTGTTAATGTAATGTAACAGCGATCAGTAAGCGGTGTTATAACGAGGCGAGGTGTATTGCCAAGATACTCATAACAATAACCGAAGCACGCGTCACAAATATTTGCAAAACAGTCACCAAGTTTATTGTCCCATCTAAGAAATTACGGAAAAATGAATGTTCGCCCTATTCATACTTCTCCTAATATTTTGTTTTACTAAAACAATAATAATAATAAAATACAGATAATAATTATATTATTAATAATAAATAATAAAAGTGACAATTTTTTGTAATGATTTTCTCATTGAATATACAAGTTTTATAATTTTTATAAAAAAAAAAAAAATTAACTAATTTCCAATATCTTATTTTAATAACCTTATACATGATTAATAAGTATATAGCGATATACATTGGTGCAAAACAATTAAGATTAAGAAAAAGAATTAAATATCCAACCGATGTCTTAATTGTGATTGCCATTGAAAACTTGAAGCCGTCTCAGCTTTCATTGTAATCAACTTGGCAACAACATCCCTAGCATGGACATCTATTGTACAAATTGTCATGATCTTTTGTCTATCATTTTCTGTTAGATTCCCGATTAGCAATGAAATCAGAACATTTAATTGAACACTCTGTTTCTTCTGATAATCTTGATTTAAAAAAAGTTTCTTGTTTTATTATTTATTTAATATGTATTAAAATATTATTATGGTATCCTGCTTTATATAATTATAGCTATTCATTAATGACTAAAGCGTTTTCAATTATCGAAATTAAAATTATTGACAAGATAAAAAATAAATATATACTTTTAAAAGAGTAATATTTTACTAATGTATTTTATAGAAAAATTAAATTTCAAATGTCCAGATTTTCTTTTTACATTTACTACTTAAATAATTTAATACACACAAACAAACAATGATATTGATATATTGATTGATATTAAATTGATATTAAAGTTTTAAAAGTTTTAATATTTAGTTCATACCTTTTAAAGAATTTTCAAAACCCTCTTCCAATCTGGCAAATGCCATGTTTACTTCACTAGTCCACCAAATTTGCGTACCACAAAGTGCTGGTTGAGCTTCATAATCAAATAACCACTCATCTCGAGGTTTTTGAACATAAGAGTTTACAGCTTGACTAAAGTGAAATCTTACTGTGCGTTTCATTGACTCTGTGACTCGATTTAACCATACTTCTACCTGCATTTGATAAGATTATAAATTAATATACGTGTAGTTCTATTAAAGATTTTGAATACTCATCAATTTAAAAAAAAAATTTTAATAAAGAAAATCATTATATAATAACAAGGAAAAATAATTAAAATATTAATTATGAAATAAATAATACAGATATAAAATTATTTAATAATAATGTACTTACTTTATTATTATATTTACATTAAATAAATATTAATTAAAATAAAATAAATTTATATTAATAAATTAATTTTAATTTAATTTTAATTATGGAATAATATTTAATAAAAATAATAATGTGCAATTATAGTATGAAAATTTTACTAAAATGAGACGTACATAGTTGTAATTTAATGATTGATTAACAATTGAATTACAAAAAAAAAGGAAATAAATATAATACAAAGTATTTGTAATATAAGTTATTTGTAATCTTATCAAAGGTTTTATTTATCTTTTGAATAAATTCATTATTACCTATTTCATTAATGAATACTAAGATAATTATTTAAAAATGATAAAGATATTTTGATTAGAAGGACAATATAAAATTTCTAATCAGAAAAAAAATCATTTAAATTTGTATTTAATTTTTATTCTTTCTTATAACGAAAGAACATTTATACTTGAAAATACCAAAATAAAATTTTTAATAATACTGTTAGGAAAACTTCAATTTATGCATCATGAAGTTCAAGTACTTATATTCACAGTAGTTTCAAATAAATAAAATTGTTTTAATATTAAATTTACTTATTCTAATGTATGTTACGCGCATATGTACACCTACGTTATACATATTGCATATATGCATCTATATTTTTTAAACTTAAACCTTTTTTTTTTATTAATAAATAAATAAAAAATTCATAGACTTACTTGAAAAAGTAAATAATATCAAGAAATACTATATACTAAAATATTTATTTACTGATGTTAAATAAGAATTTAATGTTACTCTTACTTTTCCACTACAGTCACATAATCCATACATCTTCATATTTTCTCCATCTTTCGCAATAAATTCATACGCTGAGAATAGAAAAGAAACGTAATTTTTATGGATATTATCAAAAACGTATTATGATGACAAAATGTTTATCCTTGCAAGCACAAAATTATATAATATGCTAAAATTTAATATTAATTCAATCCCTTATCATTATTATGTAATAATGGTTTTGAAATTTTACCTATCTTAGTATATTTTCCATTTTCCACTTTCCATGTTAAATTAGCAATGGAATCGTATAATTTTGATAAATGCTTACAAACTAATTCAGGATGATTTCCTAAGAATGAACAATTTTAAATAAAGAATCATACAATAATTATAATAATATCTTATTTTATTTAATAGTTTATATTGACCATTGCTCAAAATATCAAGTAGATCTGCAGGAGAAATAAAATAAAATCTTGGATAAATCAGCCTCTTTGTTTCTAGATAATCAGCAAGTGCTTTTTCACACAAATTTAATTGCTTTTCTAACTCTTCGAGTTTTTCAAGTAAATATGGTTTATTCGTTGCCTTAACTATATTCAAATTTAATGACATATCTCGTAGCAAATCCTGAAGAAATAATTTGATAAAAAATTTATTTTATATTATGAAATACATTAGAACTAAGAAAATTTGTTAATCGCATACAATCTTATTAATAAAATACTTAAGCCTATTTTTATTTTTTTATTTATAATTTTCATAAAAAATCGTCATTTTATTTCAATCATAATTTTCAGAGACTGTAATGATATTATTTAAATGTATTTATTATATTTATTAAATATATTAAATTTATAAAAGAATCGATGCAATTAAAAAATAGATTTTTTGAAAAATATAAACTTGCTGCTTTCAATATTTGATTTTAAATGTATTATAGCACCCTTTCTTTATATAACGGTCGATTAATTTTTCAAAATTTTAAATTAATATATTTGAATTAACTTAAATATAATAAAGAATATTGTTTAATATGTTTTTATTAAATATTTTAACACTTTTATACTTTAATTTTTATTATATTTTTATCATTTTCAAAAAAATTTGCTGTACATTATTTCGTTAAAATTGTGTTATTAATCAATTTTAGAAAGATCTTAATTAAAAATATTATTTTAATAGTAAAATAATATAATCAATAATATGTAACAAAGAATTTCAATAAATGAAGATTCATATATGTACATATATTATGTATGTTTGCATATAGATTCTATTGTTATTCATATATTGGAAACAATAACATTTATTTGTTAAAGAAATTGTTTTAAAATATTTTATTCCTCGTAAGTTTACTAATTAAAAGAAATTTTTTAATACTTTGAAATCTCGATCAATTTTTTCAAATCGCTTCGAATCCTCGGGCAATTGGTTTCTAATATCCTCAGAACCGATGAAAATACTTTCTAAATGCACCCATGCTCTTTGCACCTCAAACCAAATATTAATGACTGCATCTGCTTTAGATAATTTTTCTTGCCAAACTGATACTTCTTTTAAAAAGTAGCCAATAAACTTTGAAGCTAGCATATTTTGCAGTTGTACCTAATATATAACATTTCTTAGAATAAAGATAATATAGGAGATCATAACAATACAATAATTATTGAGAATTCTTATTGTATACATATATATATATATATATATATATCGTAAAGATAATATTGACAAAACCAAATTTTACTTATACAAATTGCTTTGTTTCATTTTTTAAATATAATTATAATTAAAACCAATTACTTGATTTTCCTCTAATATATCTATTGTCTCTTCATTAATTCGTAAAATATATAATTTTGTTCTGTCATAGAAATCTCTTTCAAATTCTAGTTGATTCCATACACTATTCAATTCATTTAATATCTTGTCCATTGCCATTTCTTTAACAGCTTTATCAACGACATTTTTCACTTCTTCTTCATATTTATGCAAATCAAGTTTTAATAGATCAGCGAGCGTTGTTTTATCGTTCATTGTAAATTTCACCTACATAAGAATATAAAAACATAAGCGTTAAATAATAATTTACGCGGATTAATATATTTAATAATAAATAATTGCCTTAGTTTCAGCCATCAATTGTTGCCAATGTCTCTCCTTAATTGCTGAATTTTGCAATTCTGAAACAGATCTTAAAGATGACATCATGTTTCGTAACTGATTTTCAATGAACCGATACAATTCCCAAGACTTTACTTCTTTATCTAAAACTGTGTACAGAAATATATAAGTACTCTGATTACTATTCAATATAAAAATAAAATTAAGTATGAGATACATATTAAAATAATTCTTTTTAATCAAATTAAATGTTTATAATTTCTTATAAATATTATAAGAATATTAATGATAAAAGAAACTTTAGAAAACTAACGTCTTAATTCCCTTGTGAATTTTTTGCATTCAATATCAATGCCTTCTATATCTAACTTCTTCCATATAGTTTTCTTGCATTCGTCTAGATTCGAAACAATTACATTTATGTAGTCCCACAGTTTCTTCAACATTTTTATTTCTCGACGAACCTGCTCAATTTCCTTGAATTCGGGCATTGGTTGTTCAAATATTTCCGAAGTTCGAGTCATCTCCTGTAGTTCTTCTAATAACTCGAATACATGCAAATTCATGACGTCAAGAACTGTATATGTATCTTCGCATTCAGGACTTTATAGGTAAAAGAGAAATGAACTTTAATAAGATAATTTGAACTTTGATAATTATATTATATTATAATCGGTGTTTGTTATATTCTATATCTCATATTAAAACGTATCAAATAAAAAACTAATTATATTTTTAATATAATATATATTTGAAAAAATAAATAAATAAATAAAACGAAAATATGAAAATATTAAAATTAAAAGTCAGTATTTATATGTGTTTAATAGTTATTCGTATTAAAAAATATATATATTCGTAATAATAATTGCATTTTTTTAGGTAATTAATTTTAATCAAACATTAATTGGATTACTTAAAGGCTTCGTTGCTGTGAAATTTTACTAATAATTTTCGTTGGCGATAATCGAAGTACGTAAGTTTTTTCTTTAGCCAATCAACTTGTGCGGTAAACAGAGGTGCAACTATTTGTTTAACTTGTGATGCCATTTTCTTTATTGAGGTCCAATACTCTGGTAGTTCTATTAAAGAATTATGAGTTTCTTCATTAAATTCCACTTGATATTCATATAATAATTGAATGGTATCCTTAAATAAAATATGTGAAAAATTTATATAAATTTTTTACTTATGCGTACTGCGTTCATTTAGTATATTAAAGTTTTATGCAACAATTAAATATTGAATTTTGTTGTTGTATACATATATATATAAATAATATTTATTTTTTTTTTATAAAAGTTTTTTATTTATAATACTGATTACATATATTAATAATTTTATCAAATATTTTATGAAAAAATACTGTTGTTTATAGCAAACATATATGTTATATAATTAAATTTATATAAATATATATTAAAACATATTATTATTACTAGTAAAATATTAAAAAGAAATCAGAAATGTAAGTAAAATTTACTTTAATAGGTATAAATATATGGTCAATTTCATATGTACGATCTCTAACTTCCTTCAAATAATAAATTGTGTTAAGAAGGCCGTCATAATCGTCTTTTTCTACAGGTTGTACAAATCGTGTATGAGCTTGCTTGAAAAATTCTGTCAAGTCTTCCAAACTAAAAATTATTTCAAATTAACTTATTTATAAAATTTAAAAGTAACTTAATGTCAGAGAATGTACTCCATATTGCATTACAAATTTATAAAAACATAGTATGTGATGTAATATTCTTAATGATAAAATAAAGATGTTTATTAATATATAAAATATTAATATATGTACAGATATGAGTTTTCATACAATCCGTTATGAAAATTAGAATTTTTAATCAAAGTAAATTTGGTTTATAATAGCATTAAGCCTCTTATTATAAGAATAAATACAATCGGTTTGATTAAATGAAATGTAAGCAAATATATTTCAAAGCATATAAAAAGTTGTACTCATTACGTGTTTTTATATTCAATTATTTTTGATAATTTGGTGACTTTATTCATTTTTTTAATGTTGCAGTTTATTATTATATAGTATATCTAAATAATTTATATATACATTATTTTTTGTTAAGGACAAGATATTGTCACAAATTAGTACGGAGATAAAATTCTTTTTATTGAAATTTAAAAAAAATATTTCTCATGTAAATAATTTATAAATATTCTAAGTTAAATAAGAATATAAAATTAATATGTTTTAAACACCTTCTATTAACACGATTAACTAAGTGTTGTTTCAGTATGTTCGACCACTTGCAAATGGTATTAAGAAAACCCTGCTTCATTGCCGCTAAATTAACCCTCAACCATTTATTGAAAATTCTTGTATTCTCAATTGTATTGCATGTATTGTATAGATCTAAAAATCTATCCAATTCGCTTTTGAAATCCCCTAGTTCTGGCTTATGAAAAGATTGTGAATTCAACGTTTCAAAATTTCCAGTTTGAGCCACATGGATTTTTTCGTCTTCAGTGGGAGTACGAGCAAAGTGCAAAAAAAACTCTAAGTACAAATCCGTGTCATCTAGCCAAAGCCACGAATATTCTTCGAATCTCTACACAAAATATGTAATACTGTAGAAAAAATTCATAAATTTCACGACATTCTATTAAATTTTAGTTTAAAAAGTAAAAGAATTAAAATGAATCTGTAGATAAATACAGTATGTGGTCCTTAAACGAATAATTTAAAAAATTTTTATTTTGTACATTATGATCGGTGTGTAAAGAAAAAGTTGTATTTTCTATTTCAACATTTTTTCTAATATTTAATAAACAAAATTTTAACTTGGTCAATAATGTATTTTCTTAGTAATTAATATTAGAGATTTTGAACGAACGGCTAATTTATATAAACTTTTATTAATAATAAATATCATTTAATTCAAGTTGTATTTATAATGAAACTAATGAAGAATTAATGACAAAATTTAATTTTGTAAAGAGATAATTAATAATGTATGTTTATTTATTATTAATTATAATCTCTTGTTTAAGTATATTTAATAACAGTATATTCAGTAATTTTATATTAATTCACAGGTGATCTTCATATTAAGCAAATGAAATAAATCTTATATTAAAAATAAAAATTATATTACATTAAATACAATAGATTTTTCTTTATTAATCCAATTTTAAAATGTGAAAACTGCACCTTTAAAAAATAAAAAAATTAATGTAGGTAAATACTTTTGCAAAATTATTTAAATTTAATTCACTGCAAATGAAGATATAATTGATAGATATTATATGCAGAAAAAATGCTATCTCAAAAAAATGTTAGATGAATTTTCTTACATACATTACTCATAAAAAATATAGAATAATTAAAAATACATATACACTTTTAAAAGAATCGTGCAACATGATAAAAATTAGCGTATCAATGTGGAGTTCGAAATGGAATGATTGTTTGTCTACAGCAATGATTACATATTTATTTACATATCCTGCTTTTATTCGACATTAAGTGGATAATTCAAGACTTTATAATTCCAGTAAATTTCATAAAGTTATAGTAAATTAAAAACCTTCTGTCGTTCAACATAAAAAATTCATCAAAATAGATGTTTTTCTATTTATAATCACGTTTGTTAATATTGTTTTTATATTGTTATAAAAATGTATTATATCTTTATATTCACCTTTGCATATTCTTTAGCTTGTCTTGATACTTTTTTAAACCGAGTTGCAGTATCTTCAAGAATTACTATTATCTCTTCGTTTTCAGCCATGTCAATCTAGATAATTAAAGTATCAAGTTTAATTAATAAATGTAATTATTAGTTTGAATGACGTACTATATTATTCAAAAGTAATATCAATTTTACATGAATTTAAATAAGTATATAGGTCTGCATATGTAAATCAAATGTAATTACAACAAATTGCAATTAATTAATTAAATCCGTAAAATCTCATCGGTAAAGTATTTTAACTTTCTTACGTTAACTGTATTTTAATTTTTCGCCGAATATTACACATTCAAGACTTTCTTAAATATATGTATATATGCTGCAGAAAAATTAAAAATTAAAAATTACTAACTAAAATTACATACTGTATAAAACTCGCGATCAGGTATCAGTTTGGAATCAATTCTTGGTATTAAAGTAGCCATTCTCATAATATCAAGCATAATATCCTCGTAAAGGGCGTAAAAACTCGATGAATCATTGATATCTACGGATGGATCATATACGATACCCCAGGGCTCTAGTAAAAGCTGTATCTCAAATAGAGGTTTTATGTCTGCCATCTCATCCGTTTCATTGATTATATAACGAATACTAAATATAATATTGTACTATTTTCATTTAAACCAATTGAAATTATTATTCATCTATATATATATATATATATATATATATATATATATTATAAGAGATAATATATTAAATGTTTTTGTAACTTTTGTTTATTTAATATAATTGTAACATTCTGTGTATATGAGGTCCAACTTCTTTTTAAATAAAATGAAAATTTTAGATTTATATGACTCTGATTTAAAATAATATGTAACAATTATTAATGGGAGTTAATCGTTGAATTTTTTAATTTTAACAATATATTTCTAAAATGTTTCAACAACAATACATATTCTAAAATTACTCAACCTGGTTGTAATGGCTTGAATAAGGACTTTGACGACGAGTTCATCAACATATGTTAAGTACATTTTCCATTTTTCTCGATGTTGCTCTTCGAGCTCAGCTTCCATAGCCGACACTTCTTCACGACGAAGTTTCTCAGAAGGTGATAGGGACACTTCAGATACTTCTTCCATTTCTGTTTTTTCTTCAGTTTCCGTAATTGTATCGCTTACTGTCTCTGTTTTTTCTTCCCTCATACTAAAATTATCATTTTTACATAAAAATTAAATTATATTTGATTAATTTAGAGTAACTTCAAAGAGGATTATATATATATATATATATATATATATATATATACTTGAAATTTTTGTCGTGAATTTTAAATTTATATTTAAATTTATACACGATGTAGTTTATATCACATTAAATTTAATAATTATTATAAGAAAATTTTTGTACGATTGAAACTACGACATAAAAATTAAAAATACTTAGATTTTTATTGTAAATGATAATAATATCTAATACATTACCTGCGTTCTTCCTCCTCTTCATTTACTGAAACTTCTTTCCTCAAAATAAAACGAAAATTGGTAATGAAATTAATATTTTAATTAAATAAATAGTATTATTGTATGAATGTGATAAAAAACATAAATATTTATATTTTTATAAATATAAAGTCTTTTTTTTAATTACTAATATAAATAATATTACTATAATTATAACTGTTTATTTAAAAATCGAAAAATATTTCATTAATTTTATTATGCAGCCAAGTTTTAAGACAGTTTCTAATATAAAATGATTCTCTTATTTATTCTAATAAATATTCATCTAAAATTAAAATAAGAAAAAAGAATAGAGAACAAATATTTCTCTAATATATTGTTTTAATATTATTATTTTCGTTAAAATCGGTATGCGTTACATTGCCAATACAGATATTAAAATTCATTGAACATACAATTTGTAAAAATCAAATATAATAAATGATAGTATTTCGTGATTTAACATTACCATTAGCTTCATATAATTCTATTCGATCAGGGATCAAATCGAAATATAGTTTGTAGTTTAATTCGAGGACCCGATCAATTTCTTCCGCATCGGATGATATCAAATCATACCTCTTCTTAAATATTTCCTTTCTATCACCAATAGCTAATAACTTGTTGACCTTATTGTCCTTTCGCTTGATAACTGGAGTTTTTGCCCAGCTATTAAGTCGTGAAAACAATTTTGCTAGATTATCTTGAGCGAGGAAAATTCGTTGATGGAGCGTTGTAACTATATCATGCAACTTCTCTACATATTCAGCTACATCTTTGTTAAGAACAAAATTCATACAATTTTTATAAGAATGAAAGTTCGTATTATACATAAATACTTTTATGTTTTTTTTTCAACTATTTTAATATTTAAATAATTCTTTTAAAATCTTTTACTACAAAAACAATTGTTAAAATATTATATTTAAAAGCAATTACTAAAATATTATAAGTTTTTAAATATTATATCACATATAATTGTAATACAAATTTTAGTTTGAGTTTTGGGTATTGATTTAATTTTTTTATATTTAATTTTTTTATTTTCAATTTATTTATTTTTTTTTTTATCACGTTTTCAATGTGGAATAACATAAGCAATATTACCAGGTGTATTCCAAGTATAATTTTCTTGAGCATAATCTAGCAGCTCATTAATTGTTCGCATTTCATCATTAATTAAAAATGTTTCAATTTCAGATGTTGAGTTATTTATTTGATTGTACCTAATATAAAAATCTCATTTTTAAGAGAAATTAAAAATATAAAATTTATTATGTTAACCAAAAATGAAAATCAGTTTTGAATAGAATTTCTTTTTTTGATTGTACTTTAATATTTATTACATAAGATAATATTACAAGTATTAAAAAGATTACTCACCGTTTTGCAATATTATTAACCTTTAAACTGCTATCATAAAAAAAGGTAGCCCTCTCAAAAATATCTAAAGCTTCAATCGGTAAATCTGTTATGTCCAAAATCATTATCATAAATTTTGCTTCACGTATAATTGTTCCCAAATTTTCGTCAAAATTGCTTGCTAATTGTTCATCCTCTTCTTTAAGAAATAAAGTTTTTAATAACCCAATTTCACATAATTCCGGTACTTTTTCTGCCCATTGTACAAAAATTTCTTCTTCTTTCTCATTTATTAATTTCTTTATAATTTACAATAAAATAATTTTTAAAAAATTATAAGTCTACATGTAGAATATAATAAAAAATTAATATCTTACAAGAAGTTCATTATATTTTTCCATAGCAAATATCATGGAATTAGAATGTATAATTGGATGTTCTATGGTTTTAGTCCATTCGATTGCATTCCCAATACGAATTTTTAATTTTCTTAAAAAACAAAATTTACTCGCTATTGGAGAAAAATTTTCATCGATATCTATGTAATCGTTATTTTGAAATAATATTACATTTTTATCAAATATCACCTACAAGTTTGAGGGATAATTAGTACATTTAACACAAATTTAACATTTTTATAATAGAATTTGATTTAGATTTGCTTTTTAATTGATGAACACAATTTATTCTATATAGTTTTTTTTTATTTGAAATTGTATTAAAAGAATTTGTAACACAAAAGTACATACTTTTACCGTATCTATTTCTTCGTGTAATTTAATTAATATCGTTTCATAATACGGCCATAATTGTTGAAAAATAATTGGTTTGTTAACTATTGTTCCAATATTTAAAATAAATTTATTCATGCTTTCTAACGTATGACATTCTGAGAAAGCTTGATAAAAAATCGTACCTAATCTTCTATCAAATTCTTCAATCTATAATCATATTAAATTTTTTTGTTTTGATAGTAATAAAGAATTATTTAAAAATCTTATGAATATTAGTAAATAATTAAAATTATAAATATTTATTATAAATATCTAACAATTGAAAATTCATTATTATGATTCAATTATGAATAAGAATATAATTTATATTTAATTTATAATAATTTATATATAGTGAACATCTTTCTTTTCAACTACATAAGTTTTGATAAACGTTTTTTTCAATAATCAGAATACCTATTATTTATTAAATTAAATATTAGTAAATGTAAATATTTTTCCATTTAATAACCCGCGATATCATTACTGTTATTAGATAAATATATTAATATTAATGCAGATAAGTTTAAAATGAAGATCGCTTTATTATTATAATTTAGTAAATAAAAAATATATGTAATTAACATAATATGATTATTTTTTTAAGTTAAAATATTTTAGCATAGAAATTGTTTATAAAATTTAAAAAACATTTTTGCATTTATTATATTAATTTTTAAATTAATAAAATTTTATCTGGATTACATTGAAATATTAAAAAAAAAATTAGAAATATAAATTTAACTGTAATATATACAGATTAATATACATTGCAAATAGATATTTCAATAAAAAGTATAGTATATTAAGAAAATTATACGTCAGTAATTTACTATTAAGATCTGAAGTATACATAACCACATTAACGATATAACAATGATAAATTAATTTCAATAAATTAATAATTAATCTTGATTTATCACTGGATATATTATTTATTATTAATTTATTTTAATAAAAAACTTTTAAAAATATATATAAATATACCTGAGCGAAAAATGTTTGTAGATCATTATCAAACTTAGAATCTTCAGGTAGTAACATATCGTAGTTGACATTTGAAAAATTACTGTAAAACTTTATAAAACTTTCATAAATCTCTAAAACCATTGGTCCTAATTTTCTACCTTTAAGTCCAGCAATTTCAATTTTTTCTAATTTAAAATACTCTCGTGCAATCTCAAAAATAATCTAAAATATAAGAAAAATTCTATATTTATATATAGACAACAATAAAAATATAAAAATATCCATATTGCAATTATCCACATGATAATTTTAAATTATTGCAAAATAACATATTTTATACAAATAGGGATATACAAAATTATTTAATAAATATATTTTAATTTAATATACTAGGTACAATTATTATAAAAAAAATTTGCAAGAATGTATATATAATTTAACTTCACTTAATAAAATAATATATATTTTTTTTTAATAAAATATTATTTTTACATTATTAAATAAAAATTAAAAAATAATTATTAATTTAAGTGTTTTATATATCGGTGTTATTAAAACAACTTTAACAACGTATTTATGTATATATATAATATATAAAGTTATATATTTATAAAGTATATAAAATATATAAAGTTATATAGAAATTAAAAAATAATTATTAATTTAAGTGTTTTATATATCGATGTTATTAAAACAACTTTAACAACGTATTTAGGTTCACTTTTAATTCTTGCTCTTATTTTTGCATTTTGAACATTGATTATATTATCATATAATAAATTACAAAAAATAAAATACAACTAGAAATTTCAGTAACTATATTAATTTATTTATTAATTAAATGCAAATTTATGTTATTCTTTTTACATTTGTTAAGACAAAATAATAACTACTTTTATGGATTTTAATATTCATTAAATAATTTTATATAAAATAATATTAAATCCGGATTACCTTTAACTGTTTTAAACGCTCAGAAAACTTGAATAGTCTTTCAAAGATTAATTTTTCATGAAAATTCCAACCAAGTGGATCTCGCGTGTTGCGAAAGTAGCTTACGACTTTGCCGCGAAAAATATTAAAAACTTCTTTATAATGATCGACAGTTTTTATAGTTTGATTAATTTTATTCCAACTGTCTTCACTTTCTCCTTGAAATAGTGAACCTGGATCCAAATAATCAGAAGCCTACGAAAATTAGTGCATTTGTGTATTTAAAAATAATTTCGTTCTTTTAAAAGATTTAATAATAAAGAAAATTGAAAAATTAAACTAAAATTCATTTTACTTGTACATTTATTAGTTATAATATACAATACCAAAATATCTATCTAATTCCAATATGTATGTTATCTATTAAGTGCTACTGATAATGACATTGAAAATTCAAAGTAATCATACTGATCTAAATATTGTGTTACATTTTTAAATTAATAAAAGATTTTGATAAGTTATTTTCAAGAATATACCATTTATATACTTATCCAATTACAGTTAAATAATGAAATCTAAGTGTAGTATTTCTTGATTTTTTATTCAAAAGTTCATTTTGCTATTGAATAAATTTTCATATACTTATTCTTATGTATCTATAATTTTCAATTATGCTAATATTCAATCTTAATCGTAATTTATGCTAATTAGTAAATTGGCTAATATTGATATAAAATGCTTAACACTGATAAGTTCAACTTAATAATTAATAACAAGCAGCAAATTATTATATAAAAATTATCAAATAAAAAAGGTATTTATTTTATTATATTTTTTTTTTAAATAATAAATATTTTATATTTTACAATTATAACGTAAAATGAGTAATTTCTTTAAAATACTATACAAACTTTTTTTTAATTTCAATAAAACATGCATATATATCCAGAGATTATTTATTTTTGAGATATATAAAATGTTAATTATAAATAAAATATAGTAAAAATAAAGATTTTTACTTTTATTATTAAATTTTTAGATTTTTAAATTATGTTACCTTCATAATAATTAGATTCGTAAATTCTTGGAAAAGCGTCACAATATTTGTACTTTTGCAATAGTATTTCGAACGAGACCAAGTCAAGCAAATACAATGCATTAAAGGTTTTAATTTCGATTCAATCAACAAAAAATTGGACTGGTTTTCAATTTCTTGAAAAAGCTTTTCGAGTGGCAATAAGTATAAACAAATCTCACGTGCTTCAACTACAGCTGTATAATAAAAATATATTATTTATAGTTGTTATTAATTATTATTTGTTATGAATGATAAAAAAATTTGTTATAATTTATTTATTTTAGATAAAGCTGAAATTACAGAAATAAATTTCATATTTATATATATATTCAAGTATAATTAAAAATGATCAATAAGTATTTTTTATAAGTACTATAATTATTACAAAGAGTTATAAATTTTACCACCAACAATAGTTTTAAAATTATTTTCTAAAGATTCTAGATAAGGACTCTTAAATTTTTCTAATATTATTGCCATTCTCTTGACTCGTGGATCTCTCAATTGATCATAAATTAACTCCACATTATTAAGTCTTTTTCTCCAAAATGTAATTTCTAGAAGTGAATAGTTAAGATATTTATATTATACATTATTATTATTTTTTTTATTACTAACATAAATGTATATTTTCTTTATAAATATTAATTTATCGCTATAAAACGGCGTTGTTTATTCAGAGATGTCACTCTATTTGATTCATACTCAGTTGTTAAGAAATTGAGGTAAATTTTCGGAATAATTAATCAAAATAACAATTTTAAATTATTTAGCATCTAAATTAACTATATTATTAAGTATTTTATTAATGTTCATTAATATTATGTTTATTTTCATATAATTTTTTTAATTGATTTAATAATCTATTTGAATAATATATTAGGAACTAGTTACAAAATACTAGTTATATAAAATACATAAATATGATTTAAAATATTCCAAGAGTTCATGTACTTGTATTAAGTTATTGACGAAATCAGCTTAACCGTAAGTATTGACTATAAAATAAAATTATTCAAATATTAACCATCTTTAGGCACAGGATATTCTTCTGGTATAAAAAATATAGAGAGAACCTCGCTAATATTTTTTGACCACTTCACAACAGTTTCCTCAATGTTCGCCTTTAGTTTCAATGATACTGGATCTTCTCCAAAGATCTGCTCAATATCCATCGGCATTGGCAACATCGTTTCTCCACCAATTTTACTTTTAATCTTTAGCAAACAATTTTATCATTGATAATTGATATAATATCAATTATGAATCTTATTTTTAAATCTTATACAAATTATTTTTTAATAAATTAAGATAAATTTTATATACTTTGTATACATGATAGGACATATTTTAAGTGATCAAATTTATAATAAATTTATTTTATCAACAACTGCAATCAAATGAAGAATTTTGAAACAACTTAAACTATTAATACGTAGTTGTACAGTGTAAAATATAAAATTTTTCTTTCAATAAAAATTTATAAACAGGAAGAAATTAATTTTTTCAGAACATAAATAGCTACGATTACCTCACATATTAAATTACGAAGTTCATAAATATGCCTCTTTACGTCTTCGGCAATTACTGCTGGCCATTCATGGCGATTTTCTGGATTTGTCAAAATAGGAATGAAAACCTAAAGAATTTCCGAACATATTATTAGGATAATATTAATTCTATATGTAATAAAAGACGATCAGCAATCAAATGTGAACATAAACTTGAATAATTAAAAGCAAAATCAGAATATCGCTAATTATATCGACTCTTGTTAATTACAAATACCGGTATTCGATATAATTCACGTTTAAACATAAAAGAACGAATGTTGCACATAGATTGTAGGACTGAAAGGAAGCTATAATTAGAAAATAGCAACGAACATTTACCAAAGATGATAAAACAATAATAAAATTTACCGATTTTTCAATCAAATTAAGTTTACTATAAATTTAATTATTCGATAAGAACTTTATGTAAGTTTATTTTTTGAGATAAATTGCTTCTATAAATATAAAATGAATTGTTCTTTATATTTTTAATAAAGAGTATTTTAGAAAAAAGGGTAATCAATTAAAAATTTATAACATGCATCTACTTCAGAATGAATATTTGTTTCAATAACGTATTATTGGATATTACTCTCGATAATAATTATTTAAAATTTAAAATATACCAGTTATTTTGTTACAACTTACATCTTGTACAATAGTGGCCAATTCATCAAAAGAATTCGGCATCATTTCGCCAATCAATAGCATTTCTTGGCAATTATCACCCGTAAGTACAACAGAATCGCGTTTTAAGAAGTAACAGTATCGCGTTTTATAATTCAGCTGTATAAAAGAAAACGGAATCAAGATACCAACTGGAGACATTTCTATTAACAGCATGTTTTCCGTTGCTATCTCAAAAAAGTGCAGCATTATATTCTATAAAAGATAATTAGTTAAGTTTATTCATAGCACAATAATGTTTAAAATTCATTATTAAGTAAATGCACTACAATGGCTGATAAATAACGAAAAATTGTCAATATAATGCTAATATTGGTAGTAAAAATAAGAAATGCATATATTTTTACATTAATGATTAATAATTTAGTTTTTTTAATTATTTTTCTATTTTCAAAAATAGAGAATATATACTATTTAATATTTATTATATAATTATATATTATATATAATATATTCCATATTACATATTATGTTTTAATATACTACGATTTTTATCGCATAAAAACGTAATGCAACGATTATTCCTAAACTGTAAGTTATTCAATAAAATAATATAATTAATAATTCCACCTTATATTTATTATTTGCCTTTAACTGGAACCACACATCCATTTTCAGTTTATGTTTATTAATCAAATATTGTAGAATAAAATCAAATCGAGGATCCTTATCTTTATCGTAAACTTCACCATCGTCCATTATTAGGTCTTTTAAATAAAGTAATTGCGACTCAAATAATTAACGACTTATTCTCAAGTATATTAAAAGATATATTTTTAATATATAGTTAAATAAATTCGTTTTTAAGTACTTCATTAATTAAATTTATTAATATTGAATAAAAATGAAAAATGTCACATAATAAAGCGAAGTTATTTCAAACGTTATTTTACGATTTTCTTTTATTTGAACATTGATGCATTTATGCACATACAATTTCTTTCTCTTTGAAATAATTACAATTAAATATTCTTAATATAATTTTCAAAATATATATTATAAAATAAAAGATTCATACACTTGTAATTAAAATGTAAAAATATTCATATATTTTATGTTTGACTCTTATCTATTTTTTGTTTTTTTTTCCCTAAAATAAAAATATTTATTAAAAATTATAAAATTGTCATAATAATTTAAAATTCAAAACTCTACCTTTTTTTTCTTTAGGCTCTTTTTCATGGCATATATTTGTCGCCACCACCGTTGAATTATTTTAGCACTTCTATTAGTTACAAAAATCTTATATTTTTTATAGAAAATTTGAAATTCTTTTTCTGTTTTTTCTGATATAATTTGTTCATAAATAATTAACTGTTTATCCATTTCAGACTGAAAAATTTATATTTCAAACATTCAATTTGGTATATACACACACACACACACGCACGCACGCACACACACACATATATATATATATATATATATATATATATATATATATATGTATATATATAGCAAACATTAAATAATTTGCATAAAATAAAATTAATAACTGTTAATTGCGATCTTTCTTGATCTAAAGCTTCATATACAGTTATCAACTCATCATAAGTTTCTTGTTTATCGCCAACTTCAGAGTCAAATTTCATAATTAAAGATAGTAATTGAGATTCAATTTTAAATCTATAATAAATAATAATTAATAAAATATTATGTAAAAATACGATCATTAAAAAATACATATTCACAAAAGTAAATACTTTTTCCCTTGAATCTCGGTTTCTATTTTCCGATTATTTTGTTTTTCCAATTCTACTTGCATTTTAAAATTTTCTAATGTTTGCTGATGACTTTTCATTCTGTCAGTGAATAGTGAAAGAGATTTAGCTAAATTATTTTTCGAATTTTCTCTAAAATATTGGAGTATATTATTATATTATATTATATTATTTTTCTTAATCATTATACGTTAATATATTATTAATTTTACAATGCTTCTGTTAATTGATTCTGAAAATTTTCTTTTATTTCATTCCATGTTTTCAAAGAATTATTAACTCGCTCTGATAATTGTTTTGTCTCCGTTTGATAACTTGATTTTTGTTTATCTAAACAAACTATTAATTCTGTAAAAAAAATAATTAACAATTATTTGTAAAATAAAAAATACTTGTATAATGTAATATTTTAAATAGTTATACCAGACATTTCTATTTTTATTTGCTCCATATCGTTATAAATTTTACGTAAATATAGTTCTTTTTCTCTTTCTTCATTTGGCATTAGTTTTGTTTTTGAAATAATAAATTCCATAAAATACTTGATTTGACGCATAAAATTAACAGTAGATCTTTTAATATCATTTTGACTATTTTTGGATAGTTCATAAATAATTTCATTAGAAATTAAAATCTAATGAAATATTAATAATTAGTTTAGATACTTATATTTTATGTAAAGAATAAGTATTTAAAATAACAATTTTTCTAAAATATTTATCAGTATCTCTTGTATTATAAATTATTTCAATATCAAATATTCATTTCAAATTAAACTAAATTGTTCAAAAAATAAAAACAAAAAATCAAAGTAAAATTTATTTTTAATGATAATAAAATTTTTAATTTATAAATTAAAAAAAATTAGTTATTAAACAATTAATCATATAATACAACATATGGACTAACATAAACAACATGAAATTACTAATATTAATTTAATGTATAAAAGATAAAGAAATTATATTTAATAAATTATTACTTGTTTGGTAGCCCTTATTTATATTTTTTATTTATTATTAATAGAAAATCTTTAAATAATTAAAATAATAAATAAAACAAGAATTCTAACAATTTTATTCAAGTGCAGATTAACATAAGTTGTCGATTTAATTTTTTAATTGCTTTTAGTTTTTGTATAAGTTTATTTCTTCCTCTAATGAAATAACGCTACATATATTTTTCTTTTTTTAATAATAATGCACTTATTCAAAATTTCATACACTGCATAAAAATTAAACAAAACCAGAAGCTTACTCATGAAAATTTGGCAAACCTTAAAATTAAAAGAATTTGGTTTTTAATTGGATTTAATGTGGAGAATAGATGGATATTGAAATGAACCTCTCAATGTATATTCATTAATATTATGTTTAAAGAACTTGTATAAAGTTTAATTTTAAGGAATAAAAATAATTGTTTTCAAATATTTATACAAATTATTCATCGTGGTTATATGTATAATAATATTAATAATATGTAATAATAACGTATGTATCTTAAGTACTTGAAGAGCATTATTAACTCGAATATTTTCTTTCATAGATCTACATGATATATTAGATTTATTAGAATTCTTACAATCCATTTCATTTATTTTCATATTAGTTGTTGTATTTTCGAAAATAACTGATTTTTCTAGAATTATAAAATATTTATAAAGATGAAATTTTTTCTGTTACACAATTAAATAAACATAAATAATTCATATCACAATTGTGAGTAAATGTATTAAGAATTATTTAAACATTACATTTACTTACGTGATAATTCATTTTGATTACAAATTTTCTGAGAATCTGAACAAGAAATAAATGCAGAATTTATTTGTGTTAATTCTTCCTGCATTAAAACTTCAGATATTTTTGGGCTTGAAAGTATTGCAGGTAAAGTAGCCTAAATAATATAAAATTAATTCTAAAAAAATTAAATTAAAGTAATTTTTTTCATAAAACAAAAATTCTATGCTTACAGCAAACTCTAATTTCATCATTAAAATTTCAAAAATGTCAATTAATCTATTCAAAAATACTGTTACTTCTATATTTGCAACTTCGCATCTTTCAAAATGATTTTTTTTTTTTAAAAAATCTTTCTTAATTATAAGACTGGAATTTACTATTAAATCTTCACTTGGAGGGAGTTCTATTTTCGACATTTTTTCTTTGAAAAAATCCTGTAAAATTAAAAAAATCTTTTCAATATAGCCTTTATTTGTTTCTTCTCTTTTTTTAATAAATAATTCGGAATCAAAAACTATTTTATTGATTTATACAATTTTGTTAATTTATTTTATAAAAATTTTTTCATCTGTGTCAATAAATATACAAGGTACAAAAATAAAATAACAAATTCAATATTTTTAAATGTAAATATATATTTTCATAACATTCTTTATTGAATTTTACAAGTCATATAATTTAGGTTATAGATGAATTATTTTATAATAATTAATAACCTTCGACTTTATATATCAGATCGAAAAAATAATTTCACATTATTAATTATAAATATTTTAAATCTAATTTTCTATTTCATGTCTGCTCAACTAATTTATAACAAATACTAGATGCACACTTGAAACAAAGTGATCCATCTTAAATGTTATTTTTTACTTAAATTTAGTTTTCGAAGTATACTCGTATGTATATACTTATTTTTTTATATCAATCACGTAATATGTAGCATGCATGTATTATTTTTAAAAACAATTAACTACTCTGTTTGAACTATCGATTTCTTACAGTATTTATATATAAGACCTATATAAATATACTTAGAACAAAAATATTTTGTACTATATATAATTTTATGTTTACGTTTGATACAATATTATCTATGAGGTCGTAATGTAATTATGACACTATCTACAATATTAATAAAGGATATAACATCTGAGATAAAAATGGCAATATATAATGGAGCAAAGTTAAATCAATCAATTAAATTCAATAAATATATTTGGAAAAATAATAATTGTTTTAATTAACAACATAACAAAAAATATAGAAATAATTGGATTATTATTATTTTATTTATGTGAAAAATCTTTTTTTAATAAAAAATTATTTATTCAGATTAAAAATTAAGTACTGTATTTGTATGATTATGAAATATTCTTGTCTATAAACTGCATCACAACTTAGAGTTAATATGAATAAAATTTAAAAAATTTTTAAACAAATTTTATGCTGATTGAATTAAATTAAGAATGATAGAAATTCAATTATTATATCATTTCAAAAATAGAATCTATATATTCAAATAAAAATGACTGCTAAATTAATTAAGTATGTAAAATGTAAATAAAATATCAATATAGATACTAATTAAAAGTATGATAATCAATTAAAATAAAAATAAATAATAGACTTAAAAATACTTTTGTAACTTAAAAATATTCTTTAGTATGCATAGTGAAAAGAATAAACTGATCTTGAATCTTTAATTATTTAAAATAAATAATAAATTAATCAGAATTTTGTTACAAATCATTTATTTTAATAATATTTATTAATTTGAAATTGATCATTTCTAATGAAATAAATATCTCGCAAAATATGATTGTTTTTTTTATAGTATAGTGTAACATAATACAAATGATCATAGATGAACATACTGTTAGGAATTTTAAAAAGGTGGCAATTAATTAAGTGCATTATTTGCAACTGTGAATGCATGTATAGATTTTTTACAGTAATTGAATTCGTGTTGAGAATTCTTATGAATAGATTCGTCACTTTGAGTTCAAAAAATTCCAGATATTGCCAAATTTCCTAAACATTTATACCATTAAATAATTCTACTTTCTTCGCAAGGACCAGTCACGCTTTCCTTCATGTTTATTACGAAGTGAAGGAGTACTCTATGTGTGTTTATCATCCTCTTCGACAATCCTCGCCTTTTCACGTGAATCTGCTCGAACAAAATACCAATCAGAATTCCGTTGTTTTTCACGAGCTTTACCCCTATACAAATATAGAAAGAAATTGTATAAAAAAAAAAAGTTTGTACAGACAAATTGTACGAATACAATTTAGCAAAGAGAGAGAGAGAGAGAGAGAGAGAGAGATAGAAAGAGAGAGAGCGAGATATATATATATATATATATATATATATATATATATAAAGTCAGATATATACATGAAAACGTATTCTTAGTGTAATTACAAAAATAAAATTATGTAAAAATTTAATATTAAAACATTTAAAATAAAAATTTTTTTTATTTTACTAGATAAAATTAAAATAAAAACAAAACTTAATCTTATTAAAAATTACACTAAAAATTTGAATATATAATTTTAAGACTTGAAATTCTCAAAAAATATTTTTTAAATATATTTTTATACATTTTTATTTGATATGTGAATTTAATTATTTTGAAGCTTTTTAATAAGTTTAAATTTGATATTATATTAATTATTCAAAATTTTTATTTTAAAGTATTAAATAATATTATTTTTTTTAATTTAATATTGTATTATGCTTTACATTTAAACACAAGGTATAATCCATATTTACAAATTTAAATAATTATATACCTTTGTATTTGCCAATCACTATTTGCTCGATATTTATCCCTTTTTTCCCAATGTTCATCTTCTTGATATTTTACATATTTTGATTCCTTTAAATTTTCTGGCTTTAATATATATTCTTTATCATTTTTATATCTTTCTTTTTCTTCTTTATTTCGAAGATATTTATCTGAGTAATTTTCTACGTTTACAATAAACTTTGAGTCACCTTCATTAAAATCATAACTTTTCTGATGCTTCGATTTTTTTTGAGAATCATCCTTTTTATGATCAGCTTCGTAATTAAATTTATGATTGTTTTTATTAAATTCAAAATTATAATCAAACTCCTGATTAGTTTTTTCATAAATTTTTTTTCTACATTCATGTTCCTTATTATCAAATTTACAATCATAATTGTGTTCTAATTTATTATAAATATCTTTATCAAAATCATATCCCTTTTTATTTTCAAACGAATTATTAATATTATTTACAAGTTTAATTTTTTTATTACAATCATTTTTATATTTATCAGTTTTTTCATATTTATATTTTTTTTCTTCTAGAGAATATTTCTCTTTCTTTTCCTTTTTATTTTTTTTCCAATTATTATCAGTTGTTGCTTCTCCTTTAATAAAGTTTTCTTCAGGATATATTTTTGTATAGGAATTATTTTTTTTAGAATCAAAAAAGTTTTTATAATCCTTAATATTTTTATAATTATTTTTATATGCATTTTTTTTTAATTCTAAATATGATTTTTTTTTAGTTCCATAACCTTTTTTATTTTTCTTAGTTACATTTGAGTTTAAATTAATTGCCGGATCTGAATTTGATTCGTTACAATTACTTAAAAAATAGTTTTTGTTTAAAATATTAAAAAATTTGTCATTAATTTTATCTTTATTATATGAAAAACATAATCGATTATGAATTTCAGATCCTACTTTATTTAATCGTTCTTGAATTTTCTTTGTAAACTTTGAAAATATAGCGTTAAAATCAAATAATAAAGATTCAGAAACTAATTCCAGTTTTCTTTCAACATTAAGAAAAACTCTAAAAATGTAAGAAAATGGTTTAAAATACTATTTAATATTAAATTATAAATAAAAATAATCATACAAACCGATTTTCTGGTAAATCTGTTTCTACATTGCTTTCCAAAATTTGTTTGAAATTTTTTTTTAAAATAATCATATCTGAAAGTATCTTGGGTGTTTTACATAATTTATTTTCAAATGTTAAATTACTGGTTGAATTGATTTTGGTTATTATTGAACAAAAATTTTGGAACGTAATTTCAAGCATTTCAAGTTTATTATCATAACCATCTAGATTGAAAATATTTTCTATATTCAATTTTTCAAAATTTTTATAATTATCACCTGAATATTTTGATTTGTTTTTTTTATACTTTTTATTTATTAATTGATCCTTTAATTTCTTCATTTGTTGTATATTTCCTTGAATTTGATGTAGAGCTCGTTTCACTGTTTCAAGCATATACATATTTTATTATATAATTTAAGCTTATAAAAATTATTTAAATAAATTACCATCATTTAAATCATTCAATTTTTCTTTGATTCCAATAAATTCTTTTAATTTTGCTTGAATTTCATTATTTAGAAAATAATTTGGTTCATGTCCTTGAAACTCAATTATTTGACCAGCAATTATAATACCACTTATTAAGGCTATCACAGAGCATGTAATTAAAGCACTTGATGTTATACTTCTATCCTAATAAAATTATAATTATATATATACATACAAAATTAAATATATTTTTATAATATAAAAAAAGAAAAAAAGCATATAATAGTAAAACCTACTATTAATTTACTTACTATTTAATATTTAAAACATTAAATATTATTAAATTTATTGTTATTTTTCTTACTTAATAGAAGAACTAAATATAAGAACTCTATGTAACAATGTTGTATATAAAATTAAAAATCAATTACTGATGTATGATTAGGAGATAATGTTGCTAACTGAGTAGATTGCTTGCTTTCAATTTGCCACTCCATTATTTCAACTTTTCCATCATTTATAAGTTGTTCTGATTCACTTTCGTCTGAGAGTATAGATACATCGTCTGATTCTATTTCTTTTTCATGAACTTCAATATGTTCTATGCTATTAAGACGATTTTGTTTTAACTAAAACATAAAACATAAGATGAAGTATTTAACAATTTATATGTTCCTATTATATATTCTACTAATGCATATATATTTTATCCATCAATTATATTTACAAAAAATTAAAAAAACATACCTTAATTATACATCAAGCAATTATTTTAATATATAAAATCAAAAGCATTATATAAATAAATATAAATAATAGAAATATAAAGACATGATCATATGTATAAATAATAAATAATACTATTAAAAATATTAATAATAAAATTTAATTCAACATATTTATATTAAAAATTAATTTAATAGAAGTTTCAGAGCACTATATTATTACTTTGGTTTAAAGATAGTATTAATATTTAATATATACAATTTTCCTTACATTACAATCGTTATCTGTATCTACAATTTTATTAGAATCATTAAGGACTTCATTTTTTTCTTTTTCTTTAGATATACAATTATCATTAGATTCTTTTTTATAAATAATCGTCCATTCTTCAGAAGACGAACTGTCTTCAAGGTTGTCATCATTATCCACCTTGGAAGTATCAGCCATTTCTCTGAACATGAAATAAAATTTTTATTTTAAACGTGCAAAAAAAATACTATGCAAAAATGTTTAATTAATTTTTACTTCTATTGTTTAACTATTAATATTCACAATTTTTAAAAGTAATTTAAATGAAATTTAAAGTTTTAATGTTTTACATTTACTTGTGAATTTTTCATTTGGGAAGGTGTTAGATTAAAAAACTAAAAAATAATCACATGCCTATTAGCATTAATTAAATAGAAACATTAGGCTTAAAACTTTCAATGATAAAACTTTCGATGCTGAAATAACCTTGAAAGTTTTAGAATTTTTTAAAGAATTATATTGGACGAACACAAAAAAGCAAAGTAAACTTTACCTCTTCCTCTGTTCTCCGTTGCACAAACTGTACTTGATTTAATCCAAATAGGAATCACTAATTTTCCATTTCGCAAAATTTTTACGACATATGCTTAATTTTTCCTCCGAATTTTTACATTCTTTTCATGTACGTGTATATTTCTCTTTGCAAGTGCAACGCATAAAAATAGTCATTAGCTTATTCCTACAAATAATAAATAATCTGCATGCATGCGTAAACAATACAAGCATACCTATTGAACACATGCATATGATAACTTCTAGCTTGACCAATCAACAGTATTATTGTGGTCGCGGATAGATTAAAAACAATAAGTAAGATTTGGCATTTTCTATTTTACGAAATCAGACATGAGGAATAAGGAATGAAACATAGTGCATCGAATAAAATGTTTATTTTATTTAAGAATTCAACTATATCTTATTATGGCACATAATTTTAAAAATAAATATTTTATGTTTAATTATATAAAGAATCTTTGTTTCAATAATATTAGGAATACTCAGTTCATATTATTTTCATTATCTAAATATGTTAAGTAATTCCTAATATAAATATAATATAATTATAAACTGCATTAAATGACCAATAAACGCTCTGTAAATTTAACACTGGCAACAATGCAATTGGTAGTTGAGCTAACCTAGAAATGCCAGTTCTTCATTTATAAAATTAGAGAATTTTTTATCATATGAATTTTTACTTTATAATCTGCGCATCAAAGTGAAAAATTGTGGAAGATGAATGCTAACATTTAAGTAAACATTTTTAAATAATAAAATCTTTATCACCGGTAGCGTGGATGATTATGATTGACATTATTCAAGGTTATGGCAATGGTTGACTAATATTGTCGCCGTGAATCTTTTATATAGAATGCTCTTTTGGTTGTGATGGTTTCAATTAAAAATAAACCTCTTTTGCATAATTAAAGGCTAGCAAATTATTGGTAAGGTTCTTTTCTTGGCATTATTTTATTTATATAGAAAGTTTAATCAATTTTACTTATTACTGTATTATTTAAAGTCCGCGTCACCGGCTTGAAATAACCTAAAAATATATAATGCGTGTTTTTTCCTTTAAAATATAATAATTTAAATGATTTTATTTGTAAATTTATGAAATTCAACTATTTTTGAAGATAACATATTATTTTATATGACTATTGCTATCGTAATTGAAAAATTATTATAAAACTAGAAACTTAATGACTAATTTTTGTTAATTACAAATATAACTGTTATTATCAATATATATTATTATACAGTTTTATTTTTAATTATATTTTAACGTAAATATCGATTATACAATTATTTCTACAATTTTCGAAGTTTTGTAGTAAAAATATCTTTATTAAAAGGTTGGAAATGGAGTCTGCAGCTAACAAAATAAGTGATAATATTGAGCAAGACAAAGTTAATGTATCAACAGATCCGAATGAAGCAATCATGGAAGAAAGTACACAAATATTAAATGAACCAAATATAAAATTTAATGAAAAATATGATCAATCAAATAATGAAATAGCATCTGTTGAAAGTACAGAACCACTTTCTAAAGATGTCACACAAATTGCAAAATTTTCAGAAGTAAGTAGGTCAAAAAATACAAATCAAACTGTAGTTAACGATGTCGAACTAGATCAAATTCAAGCTTTAGAAAACATAAAGGATAAACAGGGTGATAAAAAAAACTGTATTCTAAATAAAGAAGATAATATAAATGAAAAATTTAGTAAAAAAAATGAAAAAACCAATAAAGATGAAATCAATAAAAGTGAATTAGAAACTAATCAGTGTGATAAAAAAACGAATTTAAATAAAAATCAATTGAATAAAGATAGAGAAGATTTCAATAAAAATCTAGAAACTTTGAGTAAAAAGGAAAAGAATTCTAACAAAATGGATTCCAATTGTGATGAGACTGAGAAAAAAAATAAAGATAATGTTGAAACTGGCAACAATTCAAAACAGTCATTGCAAGGTAAAATATCAGAACAAACCTTAGAATGCTTTAATATGGATATAGATAATGTAAATGTAAAAGATCTGAGAAATGAAAAAAATGAAGAAGTTGAAAACACTGAATTTATTCAAATCAGCCAAGATAAGGAAGATACTCAAATTGAAAATCAGCCTGAGGCTGAAGATCCATTTAGTTCAGATAATCTCAATATTCGAATCGATAGTGTTGAATCAATGGAAATAGACTGTGGAAATGAAAAACGTTTAAAACTTAATGAACATTTCAAGTTAAAAGAGAAGGTTTGTTGATAATGTGGAACTTATTTGTAATGTTTTTTTAATACTGATATCATATTTATACAAGTACATTAAAATCTGATTTAAAAGCATTTCAATGTATTTTTAAAATATTTATTTTACTTTATTTTACTGAAAAACATCTTCATTTTTTATTATAGGAACATTTGCGTTCTAACCAAAATAAAGCAAAGGTTAATAAAGGAGAAAAATTATCTGAAGAATCTTCTGAAAAAAAAGGTGATAGCACTTCAACTGAAGTCTTACCAGGACAAGATGATGAAATTTGCATAATTCCTGATAGTACAAAATTAAATAAGACTAATGAAAACAATAAAATAAGTAATGAGAACAATTCAAAGGAAGAAAAAGAAATGGTTATTGAAGGACAAATACAAAATATAGATAAAGTCTTGGAAGAAAATAAAAATTGTAATAAAATACTGCATTCAGAGTTAATTAAAAAGGTTAAAGAAGACGCTATTCTAAAAGTATCTGCATTAACTACTAGGAAAAATGATATTCAAGTAAATGCTGATAAATCATCCGATGGACTATCAATAGTTACTTCAAATATTATTGAAGTAGATGATGATGCTAAAAATCCAGAAATAGAAGAAATTTTATCTAAAGAAGTATGTAAACAATGTAAAGAAGAAAAAACTTGTATGATAAAAGTAAAAGTAGGTACAAAAAGTTACAATGTTTGTTCAGATATGTGCAAACTAGCTTTTATAACTGATAATAATAAAGCTACAGACATACCCAGCGAAGCAGTAAATTCTAAAAGAGAAAAACGTTGTGCAAATTGTCTTTTAATTGTAGAAGCAAAAGATGAAAGAAATTTATCGTGGGAAACAATGGAATTTTGCAATGAAGAATGCTTGGGAAAATTTCAAAATAAATATGGAAGCTATTGTCGAAATTGTAATGGGTTTGTGCAACCTGTTAGTTTAGGAAAATATTGTGTACGTTTTGGGTACGATGTTAGACAATTTTGTTGTTCAACTTGTCTAGAGGAATTTAAAAAGGGATTGAAAGTGTGTAGTTATTGTCAAAAAGACATAAGTGCTGGTACAGAAGGATTTTTGGCTCCTGTTGGTGATAAGGGACAATTTAAAGATTTTTGCACTCAAGATTGTATGGAAAAATACTCAAAGATGAATTCCTCTGAAACACCAGTACCTGAAAAAAAAGTTTGTGGTGTTTGTCAAGAGGTAAAAATGTGATTCTGTTTATTATATAATTCAGAATAAATATTTTATGAATTGTTAATTATTTAAGTAAATAGAAAAATATATTCAAAAGAATCGTTTATTTAACTTAAAATATAATTACCTTAGAATTTTATAAATAAATACAAATATTTATAATTAATGTTTAAATTATTTCATAAATTATAATTATTTTGTATACATAGCTATATATATAATAGTTTATTTAATAACATAATATTTTTAAATGAAATTGTTATTAATTTATTTAATATCTTATTAATAAAATTTTGGAGTTTACGTTTTAAAGTATAAATAAATATATAAATAAATATGAAATTTAATCATTGGTTTATTTTTAAAGGAAAAAGTCATTTATTGTGAAGTTCAGATTGACAGAAATCCATCAGTACCAATTTGTAGCGAACCTTGCTTCGCTGCCTTTAAATTTGTGAATAAAGCAGATCCAGATCAATGCTCTACATGCAAAAAGTATTTTCAGTTACCTACAAAAAAAGGTTTTGTTGTATTTTATGAAGATGAAGCTCATACTTTTTGTAATAAAACATGTTTAAATGTTTTTATCATTACAAATCGAAAGATTGTTCCTTGTAATTGGTGTAAAGTAAAAAAGTACAATTTCGATATGATTAAGAAGGAATTAAAAATTGGCCAAATTATGATGATGTGCAGTTTAAATTGCTTAACTTTATATCAGGTAATAATGATTATAGATTTGCTTCTTTGTTAAAAAGTAAATAAATGTTTTTCTTAAGCGACTCATTTATACTATAAATTAATGCTTTTTACTTTATATATTACTTTATATATTTATTAAATAATGTCACTATTATTATAGAAAAATTAAATATCCATGTGGTATTTACTTTTTGCTTTAAAGTATATTATCATAAATCTCAATATGATAAATACAATTTCTTTTTTACTACCTATAAAATATTATTCTTAAATGTATCTTAATTTTCAAAATCGAAGAAATGTACTATATATAAAGTATATAAATTGTAAGGCAATATTATTTGAATAAAAATTTTTGTTTATATTTATAGTATTATTAACCATTAATTCTCTATGGTTATATTCATTTAATAATTAGCCATACATTATTTGTTACAAAACAAATATTTTATAAATCTTACATATTTATAATCATTGAAACCTTTTTGACAAATCTATTCAATTATTTTCTGTTTCTGTCTCTATTCTGTTACGTATAGTATAAAGTTATAAAATAGAAATGAAATAATTAATATAGTTCAAAATGCTGAAATGGAAATATTCAGAATTTTTTTAATGAAACTGAATTTAAAATATTGTGGATAATAAACACGTCGAGTTAGAATAAATGTTGGCATTTAAGAAGTATTACCACTTCGGTTTTTCCTATTTTTTAAGTAGCTGTGTATTTATTTCTAATTAAACTTTTTGCAGTTCCTGTAGCCTCATACCGCTTGTACAAAAGTAAATGATAAAACGCGCTCACTAAAAATAATAATAAGCTAGTATAAAATTATTTGACAATGGTGGAAGAAAATTCTTGAATAACAACTTCTTATTTTCTTATTTGTTCATTCAGGTGTCGATCAACGCGGTCTCGGCACGCCGCATCAACTGTGACTATTGTAAAGAATACTCACAAGCCCAATATCACCTAACAATGTCCGATGCAACTATAAGGAACTTCTGCTCCTATAAATGCGTTATGAACTTCCAAGCTCAGTACACTAAATCGCCAATAACGATACCCACTAGTGACTCGAATACTGATCCTGTGCCCACGGGCATACCGAAGAGAGCTATTGCATCAGCACCGACATCCGCTACATCCGCAGCCACGTCGGTAGCGACGGCAGCTCTACCCTCGACCTCGGTCACCGCGCAATTACCTCGACCTATACAACCTGCGCCTCCACCTGATCAAACCCCGAAGAAGACACTACCCGTAATATCGTCGGTAACGAGCCTCGCAGCGATTGCAAACGGGCAAACTCAAAATAGCGTACAACAGACCATCGGCACCCCTATGCAGCCCATTACTCTACAAGGCACCCATTCTGTACGTAATATAATTGTAATTTATATGATATTAAATCCATTGCTCCGGGACTTTACTGTCTTAACGATTCAATAGCCATTTTGTTTTGACCAAACTTTGTCACAAAAATCTGGTTGTTCATCACAAATTAAATAAAATAAGCCATTAAGATATTACAAAAGGCATTTAAAAAACGATGGAAGCTTTTCAGAAGTATTTCACAAATATGATTAATTAGCGATTTTATTAAAAAAAAATTTTATTTCATATATATGTGTGTATGCATACGTATATGTAGATGTATATTACAAGTATACATTTGCACCGATTGAATCAGCACATTTGCACATATATATTTTTTATATATTATTATGCAGCAAATAAAAATGTTAGGCCGAATAAATTATTTTCAAATTTAGTTGTATAAAAATTTGAATAAATGTAATATTTCTTTCATTTTTTATGATTTATTTAAGACGTAAATGGATAAAACCCTTTTAATCGATTAATAATTTAATTTTTGATAAAAAAAATACCATTTCAAATTATACAAGTTTCTCTTATTTATATTAATGCACTTTAAAAAAACATGAATCAGTCGGTACTGGTTAGCATAATCTTAGATCCAGGGTATTCTATATCTATAATTCAATCATGTATATTTCACATACAATTGCCGTAGGTGATCTACAAACAGCAGGTGGTGACACGACCGACGTCGCCGGTCGAAGTTGGCAACAAGATGACACAGTGCAAGCCTCAGGTGCATACGAAGGGTGTCTCAGTACGTCCAATACCCTGCAGCCAATCGAGCCAGACCGATGGCATCGACCGCTTGGTGCTACCGATACCCGTGCCTCTCTACGTCCCCTTTCCCGTACATATGTACAGCATGCCATTCCCTGTACCCGTTCCCATACCTATACCCATACCTGTACCCATCTTCATACCAACGACGCGCAACAGCGCTAAGGGGATATTCAAGGAGATTAAGCGGATACAGGAGAAAATACCGTCTGACCCTTTCGAAGCCGAGCTGCTCATGATGGCAGAGATGGTAGCTACAGAAAAGAAGAACGAGAGCGACTCGGATTCAAACGACGATGCGAGGTAGGACGGATGATGCTGGTTTTACTCCTATTTTTACGTTCCTTTCATTTTATTTTATCCTGATTATCTTGTTGCATAACATAATTTATTTGTAGGTGGATTGTACTGCGTTTGTACATGATTTTTCACGGTTATTCTTTAAAGAGAAGCTATAAAAATTTACTTTCATATGTTACTTGTTTACTTAAGATAATGAATAACAATAGATTTAGATTGATAACGTATCAAATGTATAAACTTTATTTTAATTAAAATGTTCAAAGTCGTGAATTAATCTAAATATTGATAATATTCGTATAAAAAGTAATATTTTCCGTGTATCAACTTGTATTTATACTATAGTTTGTTTTAATCTATGACATATCAGATATTATGTATTCAAATATTTTAAACATTTTTTATTTTTACATTTTGTATTTTTTTTTAACAAATTAGATAATTATTGATTTATATCGCGTGGATTAATGCAATGTATTTTACGTATTTTTATATCTATAATAATTATTATAGCTTCTTTAATTTGATACAAAATAAGTAAAATGTTATTGAAAAGAAATTGTATAAACATATGTATACGCGAATAAAACAGGATGTAGAAAAATACTGTTTCTAGATTAGATACAACGATAAAAAGATCAATGCGAATCAATTTGAAAGACGATTAGAAATGTAGGAAAATTTGTTAGTTTTCTATAAAAATAATTGTAGGTAAAGCCGCAATAAGATATATCCGAAAAATGCTTAATTACTTTGTCGGTTTTAGCCGAAATTTTGATGATTAAATAATTAATAATTAATTTTAATTTAATGATCGAAGTGCATTTGTATGTTTATTTTTAAAATTTTTATTATATTATGTCTTCAGTACTGAATTACCGTGATAAATAAAATTAGATTCATCATTTTTTAATTTAAAAATCTTTGTACTACAGTAATCATTTTCTATACTGAAAATACATAGAAATATATAAGTAGAAAAATGTACCCTTCGAATAATATAAAGCTCTTGTGACTACCTGAAAAACATTTAAAAATTCTTTTAGTGTAATTAATGTGAAACTCCACTTATAAAATGTATTTATATAGAACAATCACACGTGATTGGGTGCAATGTACTTGAATAAATTTAATAGCAACTGTACCTAATAAAATATTAATCCTTAATTCTACAATTATACTAAATTTTATAATAAGAAAACGTATGTATATACATATATGTAAACAAATATTTTTATGATCTATTCAGTAAATATTTTTTAATTTAACAAGACAGACTAAATAATATAATATAAAATAATTGGTTTTTAATTATCCATTTGAATATTTTCAATCATCAAAAAGGATGTTTTGTCTAATTTGTAAATTTAATATTTTAATACGGACAATGAAAAAATATAGGTTTATTCAAAATTAATTGAATTGTTCGACCATTCCCTCACGAATAAAAATATATTAAATAATAATAATGATAAATCCAACACTTCTAGTTTATCAATTACAGTTAAATTATATTAAATACGTATAAAATGTATGAATATAATAAATGTATTCAATTTTTGTATATTATAAAAAATAAAACAATGTTTTATTAATATTTATATCATATTATATATTTTATATTAAAATTTTTTTTAGATTAGCAACGCGTTTGAATGAATTAATTTTTTGAAGCGTTGGAGCATTGTAAAAGAAATACTTTGTAGATGTACTTTTTTTTATGTTTCATATATTTTAAAACTTTTAATATCTAATTAAATTTAAAACTTTTAACTTAAAATAGGTTATTAATTTTTAACGCAAAAATTTTTTTCTTCTTACAAGTTACATTTTAGTATAGAATTATTAGATATATCAATATTATATCAACGGCATCATTAACGTTACATATATCATAAATATTATATGTATAAATTATTGATTTATTTTATTTTATTAAACTTACTATCAATAATTTGTTTTTTATAATCAACTAAATAAATTAATTCAATTTGAAGAATAATAAACGAAATTCAGGAGTATTAAAAAAAAAATTTATTTCAGTTATATAAATTTAAAATTAATAATTATAAAATTACTGTCCTTATAATGTAGTACACTAAAGTCAGTTTTATTATTTTTTTAATTATACAGAACTACTATTTTAGATATACGAAATAAAAAATTTTTAATAAAAAAATATATTTAAAATTTTTGGTGAATTAGATATTATTTAAATGTAAAATCAAACGACATTAGATTAAATAAATTTAATATAAATTGTAATTAATATAATAACAATAATTATTTATATATAAATACTGTCTAAAAAGCACAGGTTTTAAATATATTTTAAAGTATTTACTTATGTTGATTAATCTATGGTTAAAATGAAAATATTAAATTTATTGCAATGTAAATGAAACACTCTTAATAAATTAACACCAAAGCAACACACATTAAAGCATTACAAATTACATTTGCAAAGCAGTTTTAGATTTAAATTTACGTTAAATAATCCGATTATTATAATGCAGTTGCTTATTATATTATACTACATGCGTTAATAGTGTATTTTTATTTAAAATTCATATTTTAAATATAGTCGTATCCAATCATGTGGTAAATTTTAGGTAATTATAATTAGATAAATATATATTGTACTTTACTCATAGAATACTCTATAATGAAATAAAAAAACTAAAGTACTTAATTTGTAAATGTATAAATTATAAAGTAAGTTTTCTTTAGTTATATCTAACGTTTTTTATATAAACATATTAAATAATCATTCACTAATGGTAAGTTAGGTAAGTTAGGTGTTATTTATCAAATACTGATTTTTTAAATAGTTAATATAGTTTCATGTAATATTTGTTACAATAAATATTAAGTTTTTAAAATTTACCTTTCTTAAAGAATTAAGCATTATTTTCTAAAATTATTTTAAATGAATTTTACAATTTATTTTAATTATACTAATAATTTTAGCACATTTTCAATGATTATTTAAAATAATTTTTATAATGAGATATCTGTATGTATTCATAAACACAGTTTGTGTTTATTATCATCACAGCATATACGGAATACATCAATATAATCTTAAAGTAAAATATTGTGACATTAGTCATATTTTAAACAGTATACTTTTTTCAATGTTTAATACGAAGTAAAAATGTACAATCATTTTAATCAAATCACCTTACAAATTTTTGAATCTACATATTAAATAGTTTAACAGAAAAACTCGTTAATTGAAGCATATCAATATCTGCAAATACAATATTTCAGTTCAGAATATTTTTGAGATACTTTAATGTAATTTTATTAGTGATCTACTTTGTAATATTGTAATTTTATAAATTGTTTTATTTTGTTAAACGAACATTTAATTTACCTAAATTTAATGCAAAATTTATTAATTTTACATAACAATCGAATAAAAATTGTTAAAAAAAAATAAAATAAGTTTTTTATTTTTAGAGGATGTTGATTAATGGTATTTGTAAATAATAAATATGTTTTTTGTATAATTCAACTTTTTTTTTTTGAGTATTTAAATTTTTTTTTTTTTTAAAGATTGCAAATAGAACATAAAAAATACTATACCCGAAAAAGCCAAAAAAAAAAAATTAAAACACGAGCTTACATTTATTTTAATTTTAATATTTTTATTTATGTAAATAGTGTGTGAGAATTATTAGGAAAATGAGAAGTAATTAAGATTTTTATATGGGTCTACACTACTTTCGTGCTGGATGGCCTTTCAGATTTAAGATTATCGTATACAAACCCAATATTATTCACCGAAGAGGACTATTAATTATATACTAATTATTCCATTCTATTAGTCCATGTTATTCCATTGTTTGTTCGAATCATTTATAATTAATCGCGCGGTGATTGTTTCCTTCATCCTGAATCGGCAATGCTACCTTATCCCTAGCACGAATCCTATTTATTAAACTATCGTATTAGGTTTCATTGAAAAGTTCGCTCAATTTCCGTATATTTTATTAATGATTTTATTCATCTATATGCATGTTTCATTATATCGAAAATAAATTTAATTTCTTTTAAAATTGTTGGGAATTATACTTTTTCCCAACTTTGCTCATTTTTGCAAATTGAACAAAAATAGAATTTACACGGCATATAATAGATGAAATTAGTCGCAGTATTAACACGCATTATCCTGTTGACAAGATAAGTAGTCTAAAGGGCTATTAATACAATTTCCAGGAATCTATCCTGTTAAAAATTTGTCCGTGTCTAAATATAACCAAAGTGATATTTCATAATAGAAAAATTCACTACCAGACTAACGCACCATCTTAGAGGAAAAATTTACAACGACTAGGGGCTATAATAATAATCGAAGGATATAAATACATTAAGTACTTTATACGAACTTTTTGATTGAACTGCGAGTGATTTACTGAGTGCATTAAGCTAGATATTAAAAAAAAAACAAAGGAAAACTGCACTGTTTATTTAGGGAGGACGGTGACATAAACGACGGGCCGCACACGGACACGTACAGCCCGGAAGGCGTCGACTCGTCGAATGCCTTCGGCGATGACATGCTCCAAATGGCCTTGAACATGGCAACCGGTGATCTGGACGAGTCCGCAGTTGATCTCGAAACCGCCCTCACGCCAAACACTATACAAACGCCTCAGCGCTCGCAAAATGACGTGCCTACGGAGAATGACGGTATGTATACATACGAACGTTAATTTTTCTTTATAATTTTTTATGTTTTCTATCGTTGGATGTGAAAAAGTTGCTTTAATCTGAAACAAAAGCATTGCATTTTATCAATAATTTAGCACGAATAATCTTGCCTTGCCAAACATGAAAATGACTTTACTAAAAGCAACGAGAATATTAATATTTATAGAATCTCGGGCTTAAAAGTGCTGTATCTTATTATAATTCTATTTATATAAAAGTTGTAGAAAAAAATTGTATAAATTATATAAATAAATTATATATAAAAAGTTTTATAAATAATAATATATATAGTAACATGGGAGCAGTTGCATTAGAAGAGGGAAGATAAACTTAAGTATGAATAACAAATGTAAAATATTAAGTAGTGGTACAGAAATGGCTTCAGAAAAATGGGGTTTCGTAATTAAATGATTATATTAAGTTATACAGATATAAATAAATATAAATAAATTTGGGTTAAACTATGAGGAAGGCATTTTCTGGGCGATTAAATGGCTACAGTCAACTACAGTTCTACTTTGAGAAAAAAAAATTAGTACTATACAATCTATATTTACCTATATGCATTTTTTTATACTTTACTTACACATAACTGATGATTCTATTCTATTTAAATTATACATTTCTTAATGTAATTCAACAATGATTAGCAAATGATATACCAAGAGAAGAAATTAATGCACCATCAATTATTAGTTTGTCAAATAAATAATTAAATACCTTTTTATTTGAATAATATAAATATTTACCAATGTACTATTGTATTACTTAGGAATGGAAATAATTGATTTTATTGTTGTTAAATAAAATTATGTTTCAAATTCGATAGATAAACTTAACAATGTTAAAAATGTGTATTTCATTTATAGTATTTAAGCAACTTTAGAGGGCCTAATTACTACGGACACCTTATTAATGATAAATTTTCAAAAAAAATTAGCTTTATTTTATAATATGAGAAATATATTTGAGAAAAATATATGTATTTAATGTCATTTTTTCTCTCAAGAATAATACGTTAAAATTAATTCCTAAAAATTTGTTATTTGTACAGCAAATAATATTTTAAACGAACGTATACACATAAGAAAATATAATAATATAATAATAAATATTAGTGTTACTATCATAACAACTATAATTAATTAATTTAATAAACAAATAATATAATTTCATCATTCTATCTAAAAAGAAAAAAAATGAAAATAACGATTATACAAGTTTATTATAACTTTTTAACGTTCGATAAGATATAACAGCATTTAAATAATTATTAACTAATCAGATTGAAAGTTTTTTCAGTGGCGTGTTCAAAATTGAAAGAAAATTGATTTGATAACATTTTATTTTAAATTATTACCTAGATTTCACATCCTACAAATTATTTTAAGAATTAGTTGAATAAAAAAGTAGGATTAAATTTTTAAAACCGTAAATAAATTTTTTCGATATTTTCAATCTCTTCAAAGTGGAAAGGATTCTTAAAGTATTTGTTAAATTTATGCTGTTTTTCGTTGAAATACATGTTGTTTTTATAATAAAATTGAATGAATATTAACTAATATGTTTAAAATTATTCGTTTGTTTAGATATATATTGAATATAATGAAAGTATATTTTTTAAATATTCTTATACATACAATCAATTAGTTAAGATGTGTATAAACGTATTATTAAATTGCAGCAATATTTAAAATTAATTACAATGAATTTGTATAAAATAATCTTACGAAAGTATACATAATAATTTTTTAAATTAACATTACTAAAACAAAAAATATAAATCTTGGTTATATATAAATTGGTTTAAAAAAATATAAATCTATTATTATATAATTGAAATAACTTTTAACTGTATAAAGATCAAATTATATTATACTATGTATAATCACAATATAATTACAAATAAATATTAAACAAAAAGAAATAGATAATTTATTACGTTCTTTTAATTAATCAATTTAAAATGTGCAGTTCAACCGGACAGGGTACATGCACCAAGGGGGCGAAAGCGCGGTACGTCGTATAAAACTCGTTCCATTCCAAACAAAAAGGGTAGACGAACTTCAAGTGTAAACGACGTTACAACTTTACTACCGACGGATTCTCAACCCCCAAGCCAACCTAGGTTCATTGAGCCCATCGAAAAGCCCGACGCTAATATGGCATTAAAATACACATTCGGCATTAATGCTTGGCGTCAATGGGTATGTACACAATTGTAAAGCAATAATTTTCCATATGTAATCAGTATAGCGTAACCGAATGTCCCTACTAAAATTAATTCGTTCATGCAATCAATATGATACATAGAACATAAAAAATAACTCTGGATTAATCATTTAAAAAAATAGAATATATATTCCATACCCCTGGTCCCCTTTCATGTATCGTATATGTCAGTTTGTAAACATTTAATGGTATTTATGTTGAAACTATATATTCCAGATGTAAAATATTTCCCTATGAATGAGCTTTTAGTTTTATATTGTCGAAGTTTGAGCTGTTACTTATGCAGATTTAAATTAACCGTTACAATTTAATTTATTTCTTTATTTTTATATAAACGATTTAATAAACGATTCAAGAAATTTAAATAATTCAATTATTACGATATCATTGAACAATAAAGATTGATGCTTATTAACATATGAATATGTTGTTCATACATTTATATCGTTATTAAAATAATTTGTTTATGTTCTCTTGAAACGTATGTTTAAACGTATTCATTTATTCAGAAACTGATTCAGAAAAATTAATAATCGTTGAAATGTAATTGAAAATATTATGAAATAAAGTTCCTTGTTTATTCTTTGAATACAAGTTATTTGGAACTATTGTAAAACTATAAATATATAATTCTTTTTAACGTAAGTTTAGAATCATTTTTATTAAAATGTAATCAAAGTTAATTTATTATAAACATATTAAAAGTATATTTTAACCTTATTAAATGTCAATTAAGTAAATTCTATTAATTATAAAATTTATTCAATTTAGTGTTTATTCATAAATAAAAATATATAAACAAATTAATAAATTATTGTGAATAAAAAAGTACTATTCATATTTCAAAATATCATAAACATTATTTATTGTTCATGTTATTAGGTTATTACAAAAAATGCTGAATTAGAGAAGCAAAATACATCGACAAGAAAATTAAAATTATTTAAAACAGATCTTCTTCAACTTACAGCAGATGAATTAAATTATTCACTTTGTTTATTCGTAAAAGAAGTTCGAAAACCAAACGGCGCAGAATACGCACCAGATACAATATATTATTTATGCTTAGGTAGGCTTTATTCCATTGGTAATGAATTAAACAAAATCATTTTTATTAAATTTGTAATGAAATATTGATTATTTATATTTTAGGAATTCAACAATATTTGTTTGAAAATAATAGGATAGATAATATTTTTACAGATGCATATTATGAAAAATTTACAGATTGTCTTAACGAAGTTGCCAAGAAATTTACTTCTCTTTATAACGATGCATGTAAGTTATAAAGAAAGTTTTGAATCGTAAATAATAAAATACATTGGGCTCACGTTCTATATTTTCATTAGTGTACGTTGTTACGAGAGTAGAAGAAGAGCATTTATGGGAATGTAAGCAACTAGGCGCCCATTCCCCACATGTTTTGCTTAATACCCTTATGTATTTTACTACGAAGCATTTCAATTTAGTGGTAAGCAAAGTTAATTTAATGCTTGTCTTATTTTATTGTATTCCAAAATTACCGACAATATCACAATGAAAATTACTATCGTTAAGCTGTAATTAGTTTAGTAATACTTTGTCTTTTATATTATCTTTCTATGCACAATAACATGCAATTTCTAATGATATTTCAATATTTATTTTCTATTTTTTAATAAAAAAAAATTTAATTATTTTATGCATTAGACATAGATTAATTAATTCTCTACCTTTAAAATACTAAATGAACATGTATTTAATTAAAAACAAGGTAAATTGAGAAATTTAATATTTGAAAAAATTTTTTATTATAAAAATAATTCAGTTAACGGATATTAGTATATTTAATATTATGTATATAAATTTAATAATTTTATATTTGAATTAATCAAAGAAATTTGTTATAGTCTGTTGAGGAACATATGCAGCTTTCCTTTTCTCATATAATGAAACACTGGAAACGAAATCCAGCTGCTCAACCAGGTGCAGTTGCAAGTAAAATGCCTGGATCAAGAAATGTATTATTAAGATTTTATCCACCACAATCTACTCTGGGTAAAATTTAAAAACAAAATAGATTAATTTTATCTTATGTAAAATATAAATATTTTTTAGAAGCTAATTCAAAAAAGAAAAAAGTTTACGAGCAGCAGGAAAATGAAGATAACCCATTACGGTGTCCTGTAAAATTATATGAATTTTATCTTTCTAAATGGTCAGTTTCATAACAATTGATTGTTAAAATTATAACATCTCATAGTCGAATTAATTTTATTTAATATTTTAGCCCTGAAAGTGTAAAAACGAGAAACGATGTATTTTATTTATTGCCAGAACGAAGTTGTGTACCTGACAGCCCAGTATGGTATTCAACATCTCCATTAGCTAAAGAACATCTAATAAAAATGCTCTATAGAATTAAAATGGTAAAAGAAATAAATGTGGCTCTTTTATCATGTTGATTAGTTTATCAATTTTTATCTTGTTTAAACGATTGTTTCATTTTTATTTTAATGAATACGATGTGTAAAATATTTACAAAATTTTTTATTATTCATAATGATTCTTTATACTCAATATTTTATTTGTTTCTAAATCACATATCTCAATTCTTTAAGAATTGATATGTTTAATTTTGCTTTGTATAAATACTTTATTATGTTAATTGTTTTATCTGCACAAAATAATTTTTTACAAAGATTTTGAGCAATGTGGTTTAAGTTTTTATAATCCATGAATTTATATTAAGTTACAGTCGTAAATTTAACTAAAATTAACATAAATAACTTATACATTTTTTTATATTACTTAATTGATTATATTTGTACACAAAAGAAAAATGATCAAATCAATTAGAAATGACGTAAAAGCCAAATAATTTGAATAAGCTAGTAATTCTCTTTACATTGAGATATTGCAAGCATTTTTTTGTATATAAAAATATGGCTTTCAATGAATTTTTATATAATTTTAGTATAAAATCATCAGTGACTGAAATACTTTGTAATATAAAACAAAATTGTTTCATAATTAAAAATGTTTTTTAATTACTTGTATCATTTGCCTATATTATAAATAACTATGTAAGAAAAATGTTTAATAATAAAATTAAAAAGAATTTATTAGTTACTTTATATAATATAAAACTACATAATATAAAATGTTTTATTATAATCTAAAATCTAAAATAATGAAAAATATATAACAAATATTTTATCCAGTTTTTATTGGTTTTACAAGAGATCTTGTACGTTTCGATTTTAAACGATGAATTTCATGCTCTTGTAGTGATGAGTAAATTTCTGCAAAAATTTCTTTTTGTTCTTCTATAGGTATGGTTTCTCTGAAAAAAAAAACAAATTATATAAATTGTAAATAAAAATTGGACAAGTAATTTTTTATAAATGTTAATAAATAAAATTTTATAAACTATTATTTAGTATATTTTGAAAAATAATGAAATATACATAATTTGTATGTAAAAAAAATTATTTTAAATAATTACTTGTATTAATTTTATTTAGAATATTTAGATTATGCAATCTGCTTTTATTTTATTTTATTCAAATTTTAAGTATTAATTTGAACTATAAATTTCAAAATTGAGGATCACACTAAAATTATTTTCTAATGAAAATTAATGCTAACTTATATCAAACTATACATTTCTTAAATATTAAAAATGAATAAATTATAAATAATGTTTTTAAAAAGACAGTCCATCATTAACATTGCATTTGAAAGATATAAAACTACAAATCTCTTATTTATATATTAAAATATATTTATAGTTACTTTTTGAATAAATATACTAATATTTAAAATAATTGCAAACATATTTGTAGTTTGTACAGAATTTAATAAAATAAGTATCTAATTATATCTTATATCATTTATAAAGTTTTATTATTCATTAAATATTAAAAAACAAATATATGCGTATTAACATTAAAATTTGTAAACACAACTTTCAATGAACAAACATCGATTTAAATATTTATAACTTTGATATACCTGTACATCTTCATAAGGTCATATTTCTCCCATGGTTTTGTATGTATTTTATATTCTGCTTTGATCCTTCGTTTTTCATTCACCATACTTTTACAATCAATAATACCTTTCATGTTCATTCTTTCCCACCTTTGAAGCCAAGGCAATGGATTTAAAGGGACTTTAATTTCATTTATGGGTACACATGTACCATGTGCATGAATTTTTGCTCTCATATCCAGTGGGAATGTGCTATATTCTGGTGGTGCATCGCGGAGATAAAATAACTCTTCGTCTAATCTTTTTTCTAGCCTATAAATAATAAATATAAAAATTTATTTTAATTTAGTAATTTATAAATTTCATTGTAATTTAATTGCATTCGTATTACTATATTCACAATATTACAAAATAGTTATTTTGAATAATAAATAATACAAATTTTAAATAACATTTAATACTTTGTACCTTATAACCTCAATCTTCTGAATAGTTGGATCATATAAGAAATAAGAAATTTCAACTCCCATTTTATCAATAACATTTCTTAAAATAAATGATGCTCTTAAGCCTTGTCCTGTTCTGCTGATGCATATTCCTAAGAATCGATTTTGTTTACCAGGAGCATGTTGATCTGAATAATTTACAGCTAAAATTGAACCTACGTAAAATTCAGGAATTTCTACATTTGATCTACGTAATAGCATGTCTCTACGCTCCAATTTTTCTCTTATTTTATTTCTATGTAAGGGATTTGGATCGGGTAGAAATTCTGCGAATTTAAAACGATAATCAAGCAGTTCAAGAGGTAGTTTGGTATTGTCCAACCGTTCATTGTTGGATTCTTTAAGATTTTCATTAATTTTTTCTGACACTACTGTTGATATTTTTCGACTATCATGAAGAACTAGAATAAATTAATATAGTCATAAATAGATATAATTATTATTATTAATTAATTTATCAATATTTGCACAAATTAAAAAATATTACAATGAAATACAGTATATTTAAATAACAATATTTAATTACTTTTATTTATAATTATATATACTTACAGTATCTTAAAGGCTTTTTAAATTGTAAATTAAGTCTTATTTTTCCTGTAATAGCCATTTTTTAATATTTTTATATCAAACAATAGGAGAACTAAGAATAAATATTAATGCAACATTTTTCAATCATTCAATATAGTATTCTACAAAATTTATGTTGCCCACGAATAAGTGAAAACAACGTGAGTCAATGCACACCGTATACGTGGGTAAATATTTAATATATAAGAAAAATAATATATTGAAATGAATTTAATCTGATGTTTATATTTATATTTTATTATTTAAGAATTACCTGCATTATTTTATTTTCGTTTTAAAAATAATTTTTTCTTAACAATATTGACAATATTTTAATTTTAAAGTCAGCGCCAATTTTCATTTTTAAAATTTGACAACGTTGCATAATAACCTTACTTTATACGTATGGGCTATGCCAACTACCTTTCATACAATTCTATTTCTTGGTATATAAAAGTTTAATAAGGTATTTCTGTATAAAGCGCGTGTAATAGTAAAATTTTATTTATAAATACTTTATTAATGATGGAAAACATTTAGAAATATTCAATTAATTTAATTGAAATTTGATTATATAAAAATTTTTTAATACAATATACGTTTTTTGATCATTAAAAAAAAAATTACAAACTTGATCATTGATCATTATTTTTAATCATAAATTCATTTTTTTCAGATAATTAATTAAAGCATTAATATGGCTCGTATACCTGACGAAGAATTAAAAAAGGCATTTTCCGAATTACATGATAAATTAATTGATACAAAGCATAAACTGAAATTATTGGATTTACAAATTGATATTCTTCGTCGATCAAAACAACGTGCTGAATTAACACAAATAGAAATGAGAACACTACCTGCAAAGACAAAAACTTTTGAAACTGTTGGACGAATGTTTTTATCTCAAGATGTAGATACTATTAAAACAGATCTTAAAAAACGTATGAAGATGGCAGATGAAAAAATAAAGACTCTTGAAAGTAATAAATCATATTTACAACAAAGTTTAAAAGAAAGTGAAAATAATATAAGAGAAATGGTTCAGAGGAGACAACAAGAAGCCAATTAGAATAATAATAAATATTAAATTGGTATAACTTTTAAGTTGAGATTCTAAGTAAATTAAATTCATTAGTTCTTTATTTCAATAAATTTTAACTTTTAACTTATTAAATTAGAAAAATTTTCATTTTATATTTATTAAATTTTATTACATAAAGTCTATTCATAATGTCATACTATAATAATAATATATTATATTTTATTTTGATTATTTTATATAAAAGTAATTTTTTACATTTATTAATACAATTTATTTACTGACATTTAACTGTAATGGATTATTAATATTTCAAATTATATTTATTATATAAAAATTTGATGCAAAATAAATAATATTGTAAGAATGTTTTTCAAAATAAAAAGAAATTATTTATGAAGAGGAATAAAAAAAATCATTTAATTCAGAACATTTCAAATTATTAATGTATTAAAATATTTTGAAAACAGTTTAAATATGCATTTACTATTATATTTAAAAAATCTTATAATTTAAATATTTATTTAAGGTTAAAAATGTATTTTAAAATAAATATTAATTTTAATTAATGGAAAAATATATAGACATTGGAGAAAAAAACAATTTTTTTCTCTTTATTGTTAAATCTAGAATTACAATACTGTAAATATTAAAATTATACAGTAAAAATTTATCATTTTTATCCACTTTTAGTTAGACATTCTAAATTAGCAGTTTTCAATGTTCACATAAAAATAGTTGTTTATACGAATATTTATAGAAGAATTTATTAATAACAACTTATTAAATTAACAATAACAATAATATTAATCAGCATAATATTATGCCAAATGATAAATGTTTATAATTTAATTCGAACCCACAATTTTTTGCAATCGCGAAGTAAAACATTTGTAGAATAATAAAAAAGACTCCAGGAGTATCAATAAATTCATTTAATAGTTGTAAAAATGAGAAAATTATTTACGAGTATGGTTTTTGATCAAGTATTATTTAAATGCAATATACAAGTATATTAATCCATAGTGCCAAGGCCTTGGTAAAATAATTCGGAATTATAAATTAACTCTTTAAGGAGGCGGAAAAGAAATGGGAATGAAAGTCAATTATTAACTTCGTTTAATTAATTATTGTAAGGAATATTTTTAAAGCGAATTTCTCAGCGATCAAGCAACTGCACAAATAGCGTAATAAAAAAAAGCAATTGACAAATTGTGTATTGATATTAGTTTGCAAAATTTTAACTTGATTACCTATTTTGATTTTCCATGCGGCAATACGATGATTTAAGGTGATCTCTGAAAATAGTTTTTATTACCTCATTAAAAGAAATTTCACAGAATTACTATTATAGATATATCGAATGACTCGGTAAGAATTCATATGAATGTTTAAGTAATTTCTAAATTATGTCAAATATTCAGAGCAGAAGTAAAGATGCTTCAAAACGAACGGACGGATGTTAATATGATGTGTCGTCATGATATCCCTCGGAAAAAATGAAATAATGAAATAAGCTTGATTGATTAAAAAATCATAGGTATCCGAGTATTGTTATTGGTTTTCTTTTAACAGTATATGATGATTGAAGAGAATTTAAAAAATGCTTGTGAACCTGGACTTCAAGCTAGAACATTAATATATTAGAACTTAAATTTGTATAAACGCATCGACAATTTTGAAGAATATAATTATACCGATTGCTACATATTGTCAAATTTTGAAATTTAATAACATTAACACTTTTTGAAGCAAAATTTTTCAACGAGAGTTTTTATTGATTTAATTCGATAGACTATCAGATATAGTATGCGATATTGAAAAACGCCAATAAACAGTTTTTAAATTATGTGACATGCATAACATTAGTAAAATGACGAGGTCAACGGCAATAAAAAATTCAAGGTTCTTTGAACTTGTTTATGAATAAATTAGGACTCGCCTTGCAAATATAATAGCCAACGAAAGTGACCGAATGAAATGTTTTAAATAATTATGAAAGCTATTTAAAATACTCATCATAGAAGTAAGAAAATAGCAAAATGTCTCATTGTTTGAGACAATTTCCTGTAGTGACAATTTTAATAAATTAAAATAAGCAAAGTGGCAAGGTTACTGGGTATTTTCATACATTTTCTTTGCCGATAATAATTTGCTAATAAAATTTTATATTTACTTTGTTTAAGTAGATTGTTTGTATTTAATTAAGTGTTCGACTAGTTTGGTAACTATACTTGTATGCATAGTCGAAATTGTCCACGGCATCATTAAATGAAAGAGCAAAATATTACTCAATTAGTTGAAAAATATTTTCGTTATAAAATATTAAACTATTAAGATCCAATATTTAATTTTTAAAGCAATTTACTTAAATTTAAATTTCTTTATATTTTAAATATTTATATTGAGCACAGAAACTATTGTATTTATTTATCCCATAAATTTTGACATAAATCTGTGTATAGTTATAAATAAAATTAAATAAAAATAAAAATAGTTATAAAGTGTATAGTTCTAAATACAATGGTAAATGTTTTTAATGCGAATTTCGCATCTTTTTAAATAATTTATATCCGCGCATAAAAAGATGAACGCGTTTGCAAGAAATTAAAATCTTATCAGTTTGTTTAAAAATCCAACAAAAAGAATACTTTACAATGTATAAAGTTAAAGTGTTCAATGATAAGTCAACATAAAAATAATACACTGATATTTTTAAATTAATGCATTTACATAGACGCATTTATTATTAAACAATTTTTTTAATCAATACGCGCTATTATAAGTAAAACATATGATATATATATGCGTGTGTATATATATATATATATATATATATATCAATACACGAAACTTAAAATACTAAATATCGACTTACATATTTCAAGTGGTCATATTATTACACTTGGCAAGGCTGCATTTCATAAACTTTAGTCATTTCTGACCTTATTTTCTACCATTTCAAATGCAAATAAATAAACTTAAATTTCCAAATGATTAAAATAACAACTTCCAGAAAAAGGAAATTCTAATAGAATTTTATGCATATATTTTAAAAAGTATAAAAATCTTTGTAAGTTACACTTGCAAATTTCTACAAATTTTAGAACTGATTCAACATTAAAAACACTAAATAAAATTACAATGACCTCCCTCCTCTTTTAATAATAAAGATAACTTAAAGATAGAAATTTTTCATAATGTCAAGAATGAATTTTAAAAAATCATAAAAAGTTGAATTTAATATCCCAAAAAATATATTAGAATTTTTCACCCTAGATTCGTTATCTGCTTTCCTTTAAAAAATCGTCCTTTTACAAAACTGTCTTATCAGGTATCTTGTTTTAAAGGTGCTGCAGATTATCCACTTTCATGCTCGAAACTGTCAATTAAAAAATGACCGAACAATGAAATTTCTTTTTCTTCGTCGTTCATAAAACTATTCGCCCGCTGACACACCAATCAAAATAAACAACAAACGTGTTGTACGCATCTATGATTACGTTTTATTTACTTCGCAATCTTACAATAAGCCTTACACACCAAACATATAAAACGTTGAACAAATCAGTTAAGATAAAACATGTTTTTGACTTATCGTACACGCTTAAAGTGAAAGTGAAAAATTAAGCCTCCGCTCGAGAGAGAGAGAGAGAGAGAGAGAGAGAGAGAGAGAGAGAGATTTGACCAATTGATTAGTCAAAAACGACTCATAGCAGAAACACAATTCTTACATCAATGTGCCAAAATAATGACGTTTGACACTTTGGCTTTCATTATAAATTCACGAGTGCTTTAATTGTAATGTGCGTATTCGTTGTCCTGGTGGCTGTAGTAAGAACCATCAGTCGGTGGTAGGTGCAAACATATTCATCAAAATGCTTTCGCCTTTCGCCTTTCGTCTACTTTCGCCTACTTTTCACCTACTTTTGATAGTATGAGCGGCTGCCGCGGCTGTCCTGCGGCCGCTAACACCTTTTCTTATAAAGTAAATAATGGACGACAATTATAAATCGAAGTAAGATTTTTACTAGCTTTATTAATATAAGTTGAAACAGTGTCTGATTTTAATACGCTTTTTGCTAAATTTTCAGAATAACTTCAAATGATACTAGTAAGGTCGAAGAGGTTAATTTCCTTGAAGTTGTATCTGGTTTAAAAATGCTCGCAGTTGATAGGCCAGATGAAAAAGAAACATCTTCAACATCGTGTCAGAGGCGATCTTTAAGAGCTCGAAAGCCAGCAAATGTTAATCTAGAGATTCTCACGAGAAGGTAAGAAATTAATTTAATTATATTGCAAATTTTGTTATTGTAAAAGACATTTTATATGCTGTTCAGTGTTTTCATTGATACCTTACTGTAGTATTTTATTATATACATTATATATATATATATATATATATATAATGTAATATATATATATATAATAATGTATATAATAAAATAATACAGTATATAATATAAATAAGTAAATAAATAAAATAAATACATATATAAAATAAATTATAAATAAAAATTTAATGACGGTAAAATTAATTTTGTTTTATAGATGTACTTTAAGGCCAAAGAAACGAGTATTTTCTGAAATGCATAACGAAGACCAAATTAGAGAATATTATCTAGATAAAACTGTTAAAAAATATGCCAATTCTTTAGAGACCATTTTTGAAGAAAAAGATGACATGAGTCAAACGACAACTTACATGAGTGCAAAGCGATTTAAAAGAATGATTCAGTTTACCCCAGAACCAACAGATTCGAAATTAAAGAAAAGAAGGGATAAAGTCAAAAAAGTTTTTGGTTCCAAAGTTAATTACAGAAAAAGAAGAAAAATTTCTATACAAGCCTTGCTGGATAAACTTAATGGATTACATAATGATTTACCTGCAAACTGTCCAAAAGAAATAAAACAAAAGGCTGAATTATTATAATTTATATTTTGTGTGTATATAACTTAAAGCTAGCACAAAATTTGCTTTAAGCTTTTATTCAAGCAATATCCTTGAATTAAAAGTATATCTTGTATAAAAAAAGGAAACTTGATAATAATAGAATTTAAATATAATTTACTCAATAAGAACTCTAAAAATGTACACATATAATGTCATTGAAATTATCATGTAACCACAAGTAAAATACTTTAGATATTATATTTTTTAATATATTGTATTCATAATAATTTTTTATTAAGGGTCATTAGGTATTTTATAATCATATAAGTAATAAATATCACCCATCATAAAATAAATTTAGTTGTATATTAATAATTTTTTCAATATAAATTCACAAGTAAAATTATTTTCTTTTTTCACAATTAAATATTAATTAAAGTTCATTGATATAGGTTTATAAACATTTTCAAAGTTAATGAAATAAACGATATTAATAATATATTTAATTTATTTATCAAATATAAAACTTTAACCAAATGTGCACTAAGTAATTGTATTGAAAAAAATTAAATGCCTTCATAAGTTTAACAGTTCACTGTATGTACACATATTCATGTATTAGTTGTTACTAATATACATGCTGTTGCATTCTCAGCACATCCCTCGTATTGCTTAATAATAAATTCATTTTCTTCAAATTCTATATCTAATCTAATGCAGGCGCAGCGGTACTTTTTGGACTTTACATCATCATAAAGCATTCTTGGAGCACCTATCCAATTTCGTGCGATTCCTCCACTGTCAAGATAAATAAAATAATTCGCTAGTTAGTGTATAAATTTAAATAAAATATTTTTAAAAATACCTATTTTTAGTGCACCAAACTCTTGTTCCAGTATTTACATCCCACTCAATATTACATGGTGGATATTTGATTTTTTTCTGTTCTTCATCTAAATCACTTTTTTTACCAATTTGTACTTTTTCCTCTAACTTATATCTTTCATTAGTGGGATTTCCATCGTTATTGTAATACCTTCCAATCAATTTTCCTATGGACAACATATACATCTTTTGAATGAAAATATAATAACAATAATTAATTGATTAAGTAACAAGTCAATAAAGTAAAAAATTTTCTTTACCTTTATATATATAAGTTTTTCGATAAAACTCCAGCCAAGTTATTAATGATTGAATTTGTTTATTGGTAAGACTAGAAATATCATCGGTAAGTCCATTTTCTGTAAAATCTCCAGTAATAAAAGCTGCAGAACCATCGCGGCCTAAAAATGTTATATTGTAATCCAGTTAATCTGTGATTATATTACTTTCATGACAATACATAAACTTAATGTACCTGTAAATGCATGATAAGTTTCACCAGGACCATAATGTTTAGCTCCTTTTGTTACATCAAAAACTTGACCTAATATCGATAAATATAAGCCGTCATTTAAATTTGTATATTTTTTTAGTGCACTCGTGGTGAATAAAACTTCTGCTGCATTACTTTTAACTATTTTATTATGATTCTCTTTAGAAACTGTTTTAAAATTTTCATAATAATAATTTCTTAGATACTTTTCAAAACTTTTATAATCACTGTAATACAACATGTAAAGTACAGATGTAAAGAATATTAACCAAATATATTTTGGAAACATTCTTAAAGTAGAAATAAAAAGTTAAACATTTGAATAAAATATAAATAAAAATTGAAAGAAAATTAATGTGTGTTGAATGTCATAAGTAAGTTTTGCGCCGCGTATAAAAATGATAAAAATCATACTTTCGAAACGGTTAAAATACGTATTATATTGCTATTGCCTAAGTATTATACCTATAAACAGTACACAGATTCATTGTTGTATTTGTAAAATCTTGATGCTCTACAGAAAAGATCTAAAATAGAATTTATTCAAATATGACAACAGTTTTCAAATAGAATAAAGGTAATGAGGAGGATGATGAACTAAAAATACAGATTAACAAGTCTTAGATATTTCTTATGTATAAATGAAAAATAGATGTAGAATATAGTTTATTTCTTTTTTTCTATAAAATTTTGACATTATCTTGTCGAGATGTTTAGCAAAATGCGCGCGTACACGATAGCCAATCAGCGCAAGAGTATTTCTTCAGTGATCAACTATCAATATAAAATAACTACCTGACAGGTACATAAAACTAGTATAAAAAAAAATAAATATACTGCTTGACAGATGTGTAAAATTTTTATCATATAAAATAAGGAATGGACACAAACGTTTTGTTAATGACTTTGTGAATTTGTGATTATAATTTACAACATGTTCGATATTTTTATACTGCAAAAATATCAAGTAGATATTAAATATATCGATTTTCTATTAATAAATTTCTATACAAATAATATAATCAATGTAGGTGAATATTAATTTGGGAAGTGCAAATTTATTTAATAATTTTATAAATGTATGATTAATTTAATTTTTATGATTTTGTTTACTTAATGTTAATGGGAGTGTATCTAGAGAATGAGATGTTAATTTGAAGGATTGATTGTAAAACTAGATAATCCAAGCTGGCGTTACCTCAAAAACTGTGAATTAGAAATTACCAAAAGTTAGTCAGTTTTATAATTGAAAGTTTATATTAAGAAAGCTGAATTTCAAACAATTTCAAACAATATTTATTTATACAGTCAATATATTTTACATACATAATATGTCATTGGGCAAATTTTATTTACAGTCTTAAAATGAGATTAAAAAAAATTTTAATTATTAATCTAATTTGATCCAATTCTGATTTATAAATTATTACGAAAAGGGATTATAAATATAAGATTGTTTGATCATACTGCGCCATTATTAGTATCTAAGATTAAAATGCCAAGCTCAAATTTATATGCTATTAATAATGAAGGCAGAGTATTTTCACTTTCAACTAATGGCACCATGTGGAAAGAATTCATGTATTTAGGTCTTGAATTTAAACAACTATCGGCAGTCCCTCATTTTATGTGGGCTATTGGCGGAGATCGCCAAGCTTATGTTCATGTTCATGGATTAGATATACCAATAAGAATTAAAGAAGAAACATATGAGAATGAGGTCAATTATAATATCAAATTTATTAAAAGAATTTATATTTAATATCATATATATTATTTTATAATATTTTAGCGCTGGTTACCTTTAGAAGGATTTAGTGGAAGACTCCTACCAACGGATAGATATCATTTTTCTAATCAAGATGGTTCGGTTGATCGAAGTCGTGATAAAGTGAAATTACCATCAATGGCATGGCAGTGGGAAGGAGACTGGCATATTGAAACAACTTTAGATGGTCAACCTCTGGATCATGATGTAATAAATTATATAAATTTTTTTTAAATAATGTTATTTCATTTTTCATATATTTTATTTGAAATTAGGGCTGGACCTATGCTATTGATTTTGTAGCTACTTATAGTACAACAAAACAATGGAAATCCTGTGTTAGAAGACGAAAATGGGTTCGTTATCGACGATACAGTGCCATGAATTCTTGGTGTGCCATTGCTCCTCTTCACAAGGATGCAACAAAAGTAAAAAATTTGCTTTTTTTATTGGTTGTAATTTTAAAATGAAATTTAAAAAATTTTTTAGGAACCTTTTATAGATGTTTCTGTCGGGGGGAATCAAATGCCTGGTGGAAATCCAGGAGAACTCATAGTTTGGGCAGTAACTGCATATGGAAGGGTTTGTGTTATAATTAATGAACTAAGAGACAATTTATAAGAAACAAATCTTTAATTTTCTCCTATTTAAACCCCGAGAATTATTTTGTTTAAAATATATAATTTTAAATTATTTTTTATAGGTGATGTTCAGAGTTGGTGTTAGTACAACATCTCCAGAAGGACAACGTTGGAGTGCAATTAAAATGCCAGCAGGAAATGAAGCATCTCAAATTAGTGTTGGAGTAACAGGTCTTGTGTGGTTAGTATTATTAAATGGCAAAGCATTAATACGAACTGGAGTTACTAGAGAGAACCCAATGGGTACGCTATATACGTTTAAGTATTATGACATTTATATAATAAAAATAAACTGTATTAGACTATTTTACTCTGTATAAAATTGAAGGCGATAAATGGGTAGAAGTAGAACCACCACAATCAAACTTACGTTTAACTCAAATTAGTGTTGGATTGGATGCTGTTTGGGCTATGACACACGAAGGAAGCGTTTGGTTTCGTAAAGGTATTAAAGGAGAAATGGCTGGATTATGTGAACAGTTAGCTGTTGGAACTGGTTGGGTAGAAATGTCTACTAAAATGATTTTGGTCTCTGTAGCTTCAAATGATCAGGTAAATGATCTCTATAATAATGGTATCTCTTATGACAGAAAATTATTTTTTTTTTTACACATATAATCAAGTAAAATTTATTTTCAAGGTTTGGGCTATTGGATATGAGGATAGATGCTTATATTATCGCAGTGGCATAACTCGTTCGGAATTAACAGGGAAGAAATGGAAACTCATAAATGTGCCGTTTCAGCTAAGCAGAGCAAGTAGTAATGCAAGTTTATCATCTAGCAATAGACATAGTATTTGTGGTACTCCACTACAACAGCGACAGCAGGCATATGGCTCTTTAGTAAATTCATAGATTAATTAAATGTATAATATGTTTTTTTATTTATTAATGAAAAATTATTTAATTATTTTAAATAGCAAAATCAGCGACCTGTTAGTACTAATGAAGTTTTAATTAAAGAATGGGAGGAACAATCTAGATCGGCACCCACACCAACATCGTTAAAACTTTTTCAAAAGAATAGCGATGTACTCGAAAACGATGCACAGAAATCTGCGAACAACGAAATTTCTCAAAATGATAGCGCCGGGTATACACTTATATATAAAATTTTAATTTACATTTATATGTTTTATTATAACTGTTTATGCTCTTAGTTCATCAGGTTCTTTAGAAACAAGTGAATTAAATGAAAATAGTGTGGCAAATATAACAATATCTAATGAAGCTTTGAATAAAAGTGGAGAGTCGATAATTATTTCTGGAAAAGGAATGAGCAGCACAATTAAAGTACATAAATATTTATTAAATAAAAATTTTTCTAACATTATAAATATAAAATTTATTACTATTAGGTTAATCCGGGATCATGGAGTCCAGTTCATTCAGTTGGTTCAATGGTTGGTGCTGAAGCTCATCCTGAAACTGATGAAAGTATATTTGATCCAGATTTCACTGGAGATTCAGGGGTATTTGGAGAAGATGAAAGTGCTACTGCTATTTATTGGGCTGAATGTGATATGCTCTGGTGCAAAGTTGAAGCTGGTGCATGTTTAGTAGATCCATATAATCCACCAAAATGGTATTTAAATAATTTTAATTTACATTTAACCTAATTATAATATGAATTATATATGCAAATAAAATAAAATTTTATGTCACTAGGGTGATCGAAGGGAATGGTTCATCTCATACTAAAATAGCTGAATCATGGAGAATAGATATTTTAAATGAATTAAAAAATAGACTCAAAGGACTTGATTTCGATATTTCATTATATGAAAAAGCGATTGAAAAGTTAGTAAATATTGTTATTTATTTTTTATATTATTATTATATTGCGTTAAAAAAATCTTTTTAATTTATACTTAGATCATCTTGGGTAAAAAATGGCGAGGCTAAGTGTAAATTAAAAGGATTGTCCGCTTATGAAGATTGTATCGTTGAATTGGAATGGATAAGCAGTGATAGTGGATCCTGTGATTACGGTACTTTAACAATATTAAATGCTGATGGAGTAACAACTTTAGTAAGTGTATAATTTATTTATTTATTTTATGTAATAACATTGAAGTTTTAAAACTAAAATCTACTATTTTGAAGGTACAATTTTCTATATCAGAAGTGACGTGTATCCATTGCTGCAGTGAACCAGGTAATCCTCGTTTAGCTATCCATACACCTCTGTTAAATAAATTAAAAATATTGAGGCTGCAATTTGGTAGTGACACAGAATTAGAAGATTGGATAGCACATCTTACATCAGGTGTATTTTTTGTAATTTGTATAACTTATCCTTTTTAAAGTTAAATTTTTAATATAATAAAGAGATCATATTTTTACAATTCATAATTTTTTATTTAAAAATTATTTAGTATCATGTAAAATAAATAACGCGTATGGACAACCAAGTTCAAAAGCTATTTGGGCAACAACAGCACTTGGAGATGTTTTTGTATACGATCCTATGTTAACCGAGGTAAATTTTATATTTTTTCTAAATTATTTAAATATTAAATTAAAAAGTCATAAAATATGTAATATTATTTCTTTCCTTATAAAAGGAAAGTCATTACTTGCAAAATCTTTATACTCAAGATTTGAATGTTGTTGGCACAAATTTACCATTTGAAAGTGTTTTACAAAATGGTTTTGAATCTGGAAGTTCTTTAAATATATCAGTATGCATTCATGACGATGCTGATAGGTAATTGAACAAAATCTGAAATAGTAAATTTTTTTTTTATATATTTTTGCTAAAAATATTACTATATAATCTCTTTATATCAGGATATCATTTAATCTTGTTTGTCATTACACTACAATAAATAAAAATAAGCAGAGCACAGAAAGCAATGGCGTAGCTTTTCATTTTAATCCACGCTTAAACGAAAATGTAATAATAAGAAATACATATGAAAATAATCAATGGGGTGCTGAAGAGAGAAGTGGAGAAAGTCCACTTAAAGCTGGCGCAAATTTTTCATTGTTAATAAATTGTGAAGATCGTGGATATAGAGTTTTTATTAATAACGTCGAATTTACATATTTTTGTCACAGAATACCTCCTCAGAACATTACACATTTACGTATTAAAGGCAAAATGACATTATCTAGTGTGCTTTATAAATCCAAGTCTGTAAGTTTTAATTATTCGCAAAATTAATTTTATTTATATATTTATATTTATAATATTTTTATATTTATAAGTATGATGTTGTATTAAAATAATGTTTAATATTTTATCTTATAGATAATTATTGAACCAAAATCAATGTTTTGGAGACAAATAGGTGGGCATTTAAAAAAAGTAGAAGTTTGTAACTCAAATGTTACATGGGGCATTGGCTATGATAATACAGCTTGGGTGTATACTGGTGGTTGGGGTGGACTGTTTTTAAAAGGTATAATTGCACGACTTAAATTTTTTTTTTTTTTGCTTTTAATAAAATTTTATTCTAAATAATATTTTTATAATTATTTGTAGGCTTAGACTTTAATAACGCTGGAGTTAACACAATGATCGATACACATAATTATTTTGTTTATGAAAATCAGCGTTGGAATCCAGTAACCGGATATACATCTCACGGCTTACCAACAGACAGATATATGTGGAGTGACGCATCTGGTCGACACAAACGTACTCGAGAAAATACAAAATTACTTTCTTGTCACTGGCAATGGGTAATCATATGATTTTATTTTGCAAGGAACGTAATAAATTAACTCAATTAATTTCTATAAATTATAATGATTGTATTTGATTATGAATAATAAAAATGAAGCATTCATCAATTTATTTATTAAGATATTATTAGTTTATTATTTATGAATATAGGTTTCTGAATGGATATTAGATTTTCATACACCTGGTGGAGTAGATCGCGATGGTTGGCAATATGCAACTGATTTTCCATGTCAATATCATGGAAAAAAGCAATTTACAGATTATGTCAGAAGACGACGTTGGTTTAGACGATGTCAATTGATAACTAATGGTCCCTGGCAAGAATTAGGAAATACGAAATTAGTTGATGTTTCTTTATATGTATATAAAATTTTGAACTTAAATATAAATTTATTACTCCACCATATATTTAATATTATTAGCATTGAAATTCGCACTTTATTATTAATTTTTTGCTTATAGGCTTCAGAGGATACGGATTCAGATTCACCTATTCATGTTTGGGCTGTAGCTTTAAATGGCGAAGCATTATTTCGACGAGGTGTTTCCGAAACTTGTTCGACGGTAAATTGATATTACAAATTATTTCAAATTATTCATCATTAATAGAACAAAGATAATAATTTATAAATAAAATTAGGGCGTCTCTTGGGAACATATACCTAGCGATCAAGCTTTAGTGAGTATATCAATTGGACCAAACGGACAAGTTTGGGCAGTTGGTAAAAATGGATCATCGTACTGGAGATTTGGAATTACGAAAGAAAAACCTACAGGTATAAAACAATAATGTAATTCTTAAACATATTAATCCTGGATAATTATTATAATTACATTTTTAAAGGAGAATATTGGGAAAATGTCGAACCACCATCTGGATCGCATTTAAAACAAATTGCTGTTGGTATAAATATCGTGTGGGCTTTGGATACTTTAGGAAGATTATCGGTTCGACGTGAAATAATTCCAAAATTATTTCCTGAAGGCACTTATTGGCAAACTTTGCCAACCCTGATAAACGATCCGATTCATATAGGTGAAAATCCTTTTCATTTTAAACGTATATATTTATCAATAACTTAAAAATAATTTGATACAGAGTCTTAATCATTTTATATTATTGGTAAAATTACTTTGTTTATTATGCAAGTTTTCGGATTGATAAAAAATATTGTTATTTTGAAAAAATTTTCAATATACAGATTTATCCATAACAAATGCTAAGCAAGCGTTTCGTTATATTTCTGTTGGCCATATACCAAATCAAGTTTGGGCAATATCAGGAGCTGGAATTCTTTGCAGAAGAGTTGGTATTACCGATGAAAACCCAACTGGTTTTGGTTGGACTACTGGTATAGGGGTAAGTCGATAACAAGAATAAATCTACGAACACAATATTAGATTCAGAATAAAAAATCTTCATCTTTTATTTAGTGTTAATTACGTGTTATAAATTATAGTGTTTAATATTATCTTATTTTTTAAATTACATAAATTACAAATTATGACTATTAATATAATTAATAATAAAACTCTAATTTTACTATTAATAAATTAATAATAAGATATTAATTTGAATTTCATGACGTATATACCTTTAACATTAAAATATTAAGTGTTTTAATAAATTTTATTTTCATTAATTTGTAGAACATATATGATTTACGTAAACATTTTAACGTTGTACTCATATTTTAATAAACTTGATTATTTTTTCGATTATTTTGAAGTAAAACGTAATTAAAAGAATATCACGATTAAAACACTAATTTAAATTTTTAGATCATTTTTTTTTATATTTAATATTGTATTTAACTGTCCAATATAAACGACTTATTTTTTCTTATTAGGCAAACTGGCAATCTGTGAACATCCGAAGTCTTACAAATAAAATGAAGTAGATGTAAATGAAGTCACGTATTTACATTATTATCATTTATCCTCCATATTTGAATATCTGTAATAATTCTTTCACTTTATATTATTGAAATTCTTACTAGTAGAATGATTTTAGTTATTATTATAAACAGAATTCAAAATTTCACTATCAAAATTTGTAAATAATAGTAATTATGGTAAATGTTTAAAATAATATATTGTGTAGTAGTTATGCCAAATACAAGTTATAAATATTTTTAAACTAAAAAATAATTTTATTAATCTTATAAGATAAGATTTTATGCTTTGCTATTATTATTATATTATTATATATTTTATCACAAATATCATACTTATTTATATAAATCTAATAATCGTCTTTGCAATTTTGTAAAAAAATATTTTGATTTGTCATTAAAAAAAACAAATAGATTATAAACAGAAAATTATATAGTTTTTATATAATATAATAGACTGAATTTATGTTATATTTTATTTGTATAATATGTAATATTGTTTAATAATTATAAAATGATAATATCTCAATTCGAAAAAGAATACTTTAATAGCGACTTCAATTAAAATTATTGTCTTAATTGTTTTGTATACTATAATTCTGTAATATGCTGTCACTTAAGTATTATTTGATATGTAACGATATTCATACATATACTCGCGCGCAGACACATACTATATACATTATTGTGCACTAAGAAATAATGGATAGGCAGTGTATATACGCGCACGTGGGTGCTCGCATTGAAATAACACGTATACACATGTATACGCCCTATTTATGATTAATATTAACATAACTAATTCTATATAAATAATATATATTACATAATCAGAATCAAATAAATATTCAAAATATCATTAAGTTAAGCACCTATTAATTTAATTTATTATACAGATATATTATAAAATTATACAATTGAAATATAAACATTTTCTTAAGTACATTGTTCACAATCATTACACTACATACATGGAAACGTTTAAATTACCATGTACACATATAAATTATTATTCATATGAATAATTATAATAATAGTGTTCATAAAAACGTTACATTGATAATGACACGTTTTCTTCGTACGATACATTAAAATATAAAATAACGAACCAACACAGCCCAAATTCGAGAATCTTAATGACTATGATATTGTATATTATTAAAATATCTTTATTGATTAAATAATTTTAAAAGAATGTTTTCATTGCATTTATTAAATATTTTTTATATAAATGGTTTATTATTTAACATTGTAAAATATTTAATAAATAAAAATTTAAATACAAAAATTTCGTAGAATAAACATAATTTTAGAATTATTAATTTTAATAGCAAATTGAACACATTTTTACTAACGTGTGGAAAGTACTGTAGGAACATAAAATAAATGTTCTTACGGTATAAACAATTGTAATTCGTTTTTGTTTTAAAATGAAAAGAAAAAGAAATTACTATAATATTATTTTCAATTTATGTATAGTTTATGTATAAATATATACATTTATATAAATTTATGTATAAAAATTATATATATACATATATAATTATTTTATATTTAATAGTGTTTTTAATAAGATTTTATACAATTTAATATAAATTATTTATAATATGAAATTGATTTTTACACAAATAAAAAAATGTCTTTCTAACAATACAAATAATTTTTGAATTTTTATATTTTAATTTTAAAATATCATAAATTTATTGCATTGTTAGAGTAATTGATTTCAATCAAATATATAACAAAGTAAAATAATATTTTTATCTATTTTTACACAACAATAAAAGTAATAATAATAGTCGTAGAGTAGTACTGAAGTAATATCAGTAGTAGCAGTAGCAGTAGCAGTGTAGTAGTTCTAGTAGTAGTAGAAGTAGCAGTAGTTGTAGTACAGTTGGGGTAATCGTTGTATATTACCAGTTGTAATAATAGTAATAGTAATAGTAATAGTGATGGTAGTAGTAACAACAATAACAATATAATAATAATGATAATGATAATGATAATACCCGTTATTCATCTATGTGTATTTACACACATACATGCATACATACGTATATACAACAATAAGAATATATATATATATATATATATACATATATATATAAGTATTTCATATTAATTTCTTTGAAAAATTATTGTTGTCTAAATTCAGAAATTAATTTAGTGTTTTCCAAAAAGTGTTTGAAACTTTCTCTTTTTATTATTAATAATACTGCTGTTAAATAATATTCTATTACTTATATGTATGCGTACATAAATAGCATGTACTAGCACTTAGTAACAATTTGAACTTGATTAGCGTACTTTCGTTCCAGCGCCTCCTCCTCTAGTCGATCCCGTTCACCTTGTACACTGTGTTTAACTCCGTAAAAAAAATAAATACAGAAACCTAAACATATAAAAGATATATAAATTATTGTACAAAAAAATCTTGAATTATATTATCATTGATGCATCATTATTTTATAATATTTACATTAATAATTACTAATAATATTTGTGAATATTAGATCAGCTTACAATTTTTAAAATAATTAAGTGAATTGTCGAGTTATAAATATTCACATATATAACGACTAGTTATAATTTATTGTATTTAAAAAAAAATATTTTATATTAATTAGAATTATTTAAATTTTAATTTGCAACACTAAGTTATTTCATACAATCAATAAGTTAATTCAAAGTATGTTATGAAATTTTAACTATGATAAATAATAATTTATAATTAATCGTTCATTCATTTTTTATAATAATTAATAATGATATTGATTTGTATTATTATTTTAAAAATTATTTGCAAAATTAAAGAAATTTCTAGTTATAAATAAGATTATCTTGAAATATTGATATTTAGAATTTTCTTTTTAAAAACTTTTTAAAATATATTCAAATAAAATGAAATTTATAATACAGGCAATAGCTTTTTGTTATAAATTAGTTTAGACAAAGTTGAATTTTTGAATTCAGAAATTAATAATATTTATATAATAGAAAATGAAGTATTTAAAAAGAAAAGAAAATTGGTCAATTCAATACATAATAAGATATATAAAGTTATTGCTGCAAAAGCAAACTAATCATAATTAAAAAAAAATAGTTTACCTATGAGCATCCATATAAGAAATCTTATCCACGTAAATACATCCAATTGCAGCATTAAATAAAGATTTATAATAATACTAATGCACGGTATTAGTGGTACTAATGGAACCTATATCAAATAGATAATATATAATTTTCAATTATTCAACATACGCATAAGAATCTGCGTATATTTGTAGCATAAATTTGTCGCATCACGTGCATACCTTAAAAGATAATTCAACTTCTTGAACGGGTTGTTTGCCTATTGCTATGGTACAAAGTACAGCGAATAATAGCATTATCGTAAGTGTGATTATTAATATTGTTTTAGAAAATAAATTGGAGTTGTTAAACATCAAACCAATAATGAACATAACGATGCCTAAAATAAAAAAATAATTTTAATCTAGATGTACGTTTGTATTAAATGTAGATGAAAAGTTAGAATGAGCTGTTGTATACCAAAAAATAAAACACCATATTTTGCAATTGACGTCGAGAAATCCGTTGGCTCTTTCTGGTTGTGAAGATTGAATATTTGTTTGAAATAATAGAAAGATTTAAAATATAAGGAATTACTTGTTTTGTTGCTGGATGCTTTCGTAATCGATGTTTTCTTTTGGTATCTTTAAATTATTCAAATATATTAACATTTATAGATAATATAATTTTTAACATATCATACTAACTAATTATTTAAAAAGGCTACTACCAATAAACAGAGCCTACATTTTTCATTGTAATTTATTATTATAGATCACTAAAATCACAATGTATTTTTGCACATAATTTTTAATATTATTGCATTATTATTACTCTTATATTTTTAAGCATTTCTATTTTATTTCTTAATAAAAAAATTATCATTTTAAATTCTTGATTTTACCAATATTTAATACTTAATAGTAAATTTAAAAATTTACAATATAAAAAACTTTCATATTAATTTATTCAAATTTTAATATAAATAATAATATAACTTTTAAAAATATCACTGGGTATTTTAAGGTTGTAATCGAAGATTAATTTTAGAATATACTAATTTGGAAAGGAAGAATTACCTTAAAATTAAGACTGATACAGCTACTATTGTATAAGCTAGAAGTGTTCCAATTGACATCATGTTTATAAGTTGTTGCAAATCAAAAAGAAGAGTCATTATACCTGTTGAAAAAATATAAACTTCTTATAAAAGAAAATTCAAGCTTTTGTATTTAAAAATTAATCATTAATGTATTAATTAATTAATAGAGAACCATAATAATATTTACAATAATAATTATTCTAATTTATAAAAAATTCAGTTTAATAACGAGAATAATGAGATGGGAATATTATATAATTTTAATAGAAGTTTCTTAAAAAATTTATAAAAATTATAATTTTTAAATATACTTCAAATATATTATAAATTTAAATATATTCGTTTTATATTGTTAACATTATTATTTATTTCATACAATGATGAAATATTGCATTGCCACTGGGTTATCGAAACAATAAAGTCAAAGTCTAACGTTGGTTGAAGTATTTATTCAAAATTTAGTGAATTAATATATTTTCGATTTAATATATGGCATTACGAAGAAAACCGAAACATACTTTTCATTACTTATGTAATTATTTCATTCAATAAGTCTAGCCTACAAATCTTTAGCATACCGATACTTTATTAGGTATTACTGATGAATTAAATAATTATTATAATTGAATCCGGAATATGCCAAAGCTATAGTTAACTAAATTAAATTTTGATTATTCGTATGTTTTACTTTTAAACGCTGTAATATATTCGCATGGAAAATATGTTTTAAAAAATATATCTTTAACCATATCTTTCAAACATTTTTCTAAGTTAATGAGGCTTTCTTTATTTTGTATATTAAATTACTTTTTTTTTTAATGTAATATATTTGAGACCATAAAATATGGTCACAAATTTCTTTTGTTGAAAAGCCTCTATCAACTATACGGTAATGACATTTAAAAAAAAAAAAACTGATTATCAATTATTAATTAATTTTTTTCAAATTTCTGTGTAGAATAATCTTATGAGGAACGATTGTTTGTTTAATGAAATTAAGTTAACTGATCAATTTGTTACATTTTTACTAAATATTTGGTAATGGTATTTTCAGACTATTGAGGATGACTGTATATTCCAAACTTTTGAACGTGTATTTAATGTTTATATATTTATATATTTTATTTTATTTTATTAAGTATTTATAATATTTCACATAATGTGATGAAAATCTGTGTGAAAAAAATCTCTGGTAATGAGAATTTTAGTAAAGAAAAAAGTAGTATGTCGCATTAAGTTACTATTCAAATATGTTGATGCTACTTTTTTAAAGGCGAAATCCAATATCATTGACTAACCAGTAAGTAAGCCAGAAATTATTGTTCCAAGAACAGGTGTCATGGTCCTTGGATTAATAATAGCGAGGAATTTGAAGATTATTCCATCGTTGGCCATAGCATAGAGCACACGAGGAAGAGGGAACATGGCTCCGAGTAAGCTGGTGCATAAGGCAAATACTGCGCCAATATTGACGATCCACTTAATAGTTGTCCAACCAATTTGATCGTACACATAGGGGAATGGAGCTTGCACATCCTGCGAAAGCATTTTAATATTTAATTGAAGATTCCTATTAGAGTTTTTATTATTATTACCGCATTTTACCTCTCATTTGAAAGGGATCGCAATTTTAATTTGTCAATTTTCCCTGCGTTTAATTATAATGTATAAAATACAGATTATGAACAATTGTTTCACTTACTTTTTACTTAGTCTGTAATTCTAATAATATATATTTCACATTGTTATCGACTGTAGAATCCCTTAATATTATATTAATTTACAAATTTGTTTATTTATGAAACCTCGTTAATTTGTAAAACTTTATATATGATAAACTATTTTATTAATATATTTTAGTAATATTTTTATTATAACTATTGATATTAGCAATCGAGTACCATCTAGTGAGTATTATTTATTAATAACAAAAAATCAATTATTTCTTATACATTATCATTTTTTATTCCCTTATTTTTACCCTCGTCATTAAAAAAAAAAAATAAATATAATACAGTAGAGGATATTTTATATGTTTAGATGTTATATTATATTATTATACATGTATAAATATCCTCGTGAAAACTTTTTAAAACAGTGATGCAATTAAAATGAATTTTAAGTTTTATTGTAAATTAAGATTAATCTTTTGAAGTATTATAATGTGTAATTTCATTTCATCATTGAATATTTCTTCGATTTTTAAGTTTCTCTAACATAATCAAGTAGATAGATTTTTTTAGCGTAAGCGCAATATCGTACTGTATAATGCTTGAATTAGAATCAATGATAAAGGCGAACCTGATCGTAATAGGGCCACATCATAGTAAGTACAGTGGAGATGCTAAAGTAAGCTAGAAATATAATCGTCAATGAAATGATAATAGCAATAGGGATGTTTCGTTGAGGATTTTTCGCTTCTTCGCCAGTTGTCGCTACGGCATCGAAGCCAACGAATCCGTAAAAACAGATGGCCGCTCCTTCCATCACACCTTTTATTCCAAAAGGCATAAAACCTCCTGAACCAGGATTCGTTACATTCTGAGGTATGGTCACTGGATCTATTGACCAATTACCTACGTCCGCTAAAATTATACATAATATACGTTATATATAATAATTTTTAAAGCATAATTCCTGATAAGATCAAGAAGGTTAAATGAAAATGGCATTTAACAATAATTACATAACACAAATGCATTATTGCTTATACCGAGTAAAATTAATGTTCGATAAAACTATATCTCTCTATATAAATTGAGAAAACTGGTTTAAAAAATATGTAAATGTAATATTTTATTATTAATAATAAAATTGAATAGATTACAATTATAAAAGTAAAATCACTTCAATGTTAATAGAGAAGATATTTTAGGAAGTTTTTTTTTTTAGAAAACTTGCTAATATAATACTGTATATAGTCATCAATTATATCGTTCATTATTATAACGATTTCACAAAAAATATATTATAATATACATGTTCAAAAATTACTTTCAACATCTGATTTTATAGTTGCAAATTTTATTATATATTTATATGATTTTTATATTTAAATTACATTCCTATACTTTTTTATTTTCTAATTTATTTTTCTTTTTATATTTTTACATATTTTGCTCATGCACGTGTAAGGACAGATCAACCATTTTAAGTAATATTGTTGAAAAATAGCTAGATTAATATTTATACATCAATAATTAAATTCAATTTTGATAATAAAATTCCATTTTGACAGAGCAAATATCATAATATCAGCTCATCTTAATATCATTGTCTACCTTTGATACTTCCAGAGATTACGATAATCGTAATGGTAATCAAGTTAATTGTGGTAAAAATATTATTTAACATTGATGATTCCTTGACACCAATGCTAAGAAATATTGTTAGCAGAATAACCATGAAAAGAGCAAAAAAATCCGGATATTGAGAGAGAAAGGATACATGGATTGGCATCACGGACTGCAGCGCACTTTGTATTGTGTAGTTTGTAAGAACGTCGATGTAACTACTTACACCTCTAGCCATACTTGCGGTACCTATCAACAACGAACAAGCTATTTCATTATTCAATAGTATTATTTATCTGATTAATATGTATACTCTATAATATATTGCGTTTAATTAATACAATCACAAGATAATTTTATAATTTTTTCATGACTATATAATCAAAAAGATATAATGCTACATTGTTTACTAATGTAAACGTTATAACTATACTGGTAATACAATTTTATGTATTTTATTAAGTAATTAAATATGCATTTTAATCTTACGCAATATAAAGGTTTATGATAGAATATTATTCTTTTAGACCTTATATTCCTTATATAGTACACGTTAAAGTAACTTTATTATCTACGATTTTATTACTTTATTTTTTCATATTCTATTTATTTATATACAATTATAGTTAAAATGTATGTATTTACGATCGATGCGAAGATTTTAAATTTTTAAACAAGCTATAATTCAATCAGTTATATAAGCAACAGACACTATTAATATTACACATATAAATTAAAAAAGAATTTGTTTTAAATACTATCTAAGAATATCCTACAATGACAATTAAAATAATCTTAAAGTAAAAGTAAAATTTACCTATAACATATTCCAGTATTAGATTCCAACCAATTACAAAAGCAATAAATTCTCCCACAGTTACATAACTGTAAACGTACGCAGATCCTGCCTTAGGTACTCTTGAGGAAAATTCAGCGTAACACATTCCTAAATGCATATAAATGTACATAATAATAATAATAATATGTTTAAAGAAAAACTAAATGTATGAAGTATATGCAAAGTATAATTTAATTATAGAATTAATTTAATTGTTATAATTATCATATTCGATATTGGAATATATATATATATATATATATATATATATATACATAAAATAATATGAATAATGCTATTTATTATTTGTATAATAACAGAAATGCATTGACTTGTTAATAAGACAAAAATATGGCATTAAATTAATACAAAAACACGAAGTGTGAACAAATATTGCCGTAAATAGGTATTCTTACAGTAATATCATTGTCATGACAAAGTTATAAAAGGAAAACATAAGCGTGATATTACCGGCGAAAGCCGAAGCGACGGCAGCTATGAGGAAGGATATACAAACAGCCGGGCCAGCGGTTTCCTTAGCAACACTCCCAGCCAAAACGTAGACGCCAAGGCCAAGTGTCGAACCGACGCCGAGAGCCGTAAGATCGACAAGTCCCAGAACTCGGGCAAGTTCACTAGATTTGTCCAGCTCACTGTCCACCCGCCGCCTCGACAGCGCCTTCCATATCGAACATCCTTTCATATTTAATCTCGTCTCTTTTTGTTCACCGTCTATTAGATCTGCATTTTCATATTATTATCGTTTGAGATTTTAATTCATAAAAATGGTTAATATTCTATCTTTAACTATTGCCATATGATTTTAAGCAATCTTCTAATTCCTATAGATGGTTATCGTAATGAACTAATAAGCAAATACATTAAGCATGGAATGTTGGTTCACAATGTACAAACAAATCAACATTATTTTAAAATGGAAAGTCGGAAAAAGTTTTGTGTAATTTTATAATGAAAAATCATTCTCCTGGATAATATTACACTATTGTCCATTATACATACTTATAATTAAAAAATTAGTAACTTATTTTAAAAACATAATTATCGAAATTTAAAAATGTCTCTTCAATACTAACTCAAATACCATATATATATATATATATATCTTAATTGAAATAGAGAACTTCAATATACTTTGTAAAGTCATTATAATTTATAAATGTTTCAATAATGAAACAGCTTTAAGAGGAAAAGTCAACATAATACATTATTTAAAATATTTATTATTTTCAATAACATTATTTATTAATAGTATGCATTAAACTGAATCATATATTCATTAGTTACATGCATACAAATAGCCATTGAATTGATTATCATTGATTATAATTGATATTCTATTCAACTTTTGTTTTTTAATGAATATGAACATGAATTTAATAGGTGCGAGCTAAGATTATTAACAATAAATTTGTTATAAAATATCTTACTCTCATTTTAATACGACAATTCAAAATCGTACACAGAATTTTCATTACTTAACATATGTTTATTATTTGTATTGAAATCATCAATAATCTTTGTAATGTTTATTTAAATGCTTTTAATTATATTTTATATTACTTAAAATTATAAATTATTTTGTATTAAAATTGAAAAAAAAAATTGAAAACGATGTTTAAATTTTTAATATACATTCGTATTAATCATAGACTTCGTTTTCAATATTACACCTTTCAAAAAATCTTTAAAATAATTCCAAAATACTAATAATAAATTCAACGATATACAATATAAAAGTAAATATCGTAATTTATTTGTTATGACAAATTTAAAAAATCAATTTTCTGTTCGGTTCGGTACGATTCAAATAATTAATTAAAATAATAGATATATAAAAGTCGACTGTATTATTTATAAATGCAAGTTTTAATTTTTACATTAAATGATAGATTTTAAAAATTTGGCTAAAAAAATATGCTAGAATACTAAAAAATAATTGCAATTAATACAGACATTAATTATTCTTACATTGAAAAAATTGTCTAACAAAGTTAACTTCTTCCCTATTATAACAGTTATCGATCTAAAAATTTTATATTAATTTTGTTTAGAAAAAGTAAATAAATAGCAATCATACTCAAATTTTTTTTAATATTTTAAAAAGAAATCAATAAAAGATATATAAAAAATATTTTTTGTTAAAATTATATTTGTTTATAAAAAAATATAGTTCATTTAAAAATATATTACTGTTTATGTATTAAAATAGCAAATTTTAATATAAAAATTAATTTAGAAATATGAGTTTACTCGACTAAATAATTTTGTCCTTAAGAAATATAATTTTTTTAAAATTTCACTTAACGTTAATCATTAAAATTAAATTGCCTAAATTAATTTAGTTTAATAAAGTCGGGTAAATATTGTGTTTATTCTAAATAGGTAACAATTTTATTTACAGACATCTATTTAAACTACAATATTGACAGAAATAATAATGTTGATGATGTTGATAATGAGAGAAATGTAGATTTATGTTTCGATATAAGAAGAACATTGTACTTAAAATAATCGATATTAAAAAATATATTTAATTGAAATTAAATTTCATATTTAAAAAAATATCTGTATGAATATTTGAACATAAATTTATGTTTAAAACACTTTAATAAAATATCTTTTAAACAAAATATTAAATAAAACATATAATTATAAAATAATAAATATAATTGTAAAATAATACAAAAAATTATAAAAGTCAATTACAAAAAATAAGCTTAAGCTATTTAAATATGTTATTCATAAAGTATACTCATAGACTACTAACATGATTAATAAATAGTAGTTTTTAAGTATGTTTAAGCCTTGAGAAAAACATTAATCTATTTAAATACTTATTCTACACAAAAAATTTTATTTCACTCATTTGTAGTGAAATGTTCTAAAAGATCAAACTTGATAAGTAAACATTGATAGATTTAAAATTTCAGATTAGATAAGTATATTCGTACATATTAAATATGCTGCTGAGAGAAATACAAATAAAAATATGTAATAATCGAGTAATTCAATATTCATCTGCAATGTTGCTTTGGAAAATTTGAAACACATAAATTTCAAATTGAAAGAAACATTTATATTACGATTATTTTTAAAACTATTTATGCTAATATGTAAGTAATTAAATTAGAAATTTAATTAATTAAACAATTTTTTTTTTTAATACTAAATAGAAAATTTAAAAGATAAGTTAGAGACCATAATCATTTACTATTATAAAACATTAGTAGTGATTATTAAGATTTTCAAAATATAAAGATAAAAAATGTCATCTAATGTTAAAATCTAGTTCAATATAGTACAAGTATAATAACGCTCAGTTATGCAATTTAATATGGCTATTTTGTAATAATTTAGCTTTATTTTGCGAAACCTACAGTGCAATTTATACGACCGTGGCCTATATATCAAATCAACGACATAAAAATCTTTCATAATTTAAACGCTTTAATACTAGTTCGTACAATAAACATCTAATAAAATTGCAATTACTTAAACATTCGATTAGATGCTTTACTTCAAATTTGTTTTATTTCAATAAAAATAAAATATTTGTATATGCTTAATCTATGAATTATTATTATAATAAAATGTATAGAAGTACTGTAAAATGCAATTACTAATTTATTTGAAATTTTTAAAAATATTTTAAATATTATTTACAAAAAAAAAAAACATTGCAGCAGAATTATTATTTTTGATGTTCAAAAAATTAAAGTAAAAACTTGCGTAAAAAATATTCATTTCAAATTATTGTATTTTAAAATAAAATTTATATAAATATTTTTATATAAATTTTTGTGTTTCATTTAGCTAACCTCGATGTATAGAAAATATATCGATACTAAAATTGTGAAAGATTTTACAAAATCACCTTAAAAAATCAATGTTTTCACTATTTTAAGTCATTGTATTAGATTAAGATTATTATCACACTTATTATTATTTCACATGAACGCAGAATTTTCTTTCTCTAAATTTATATATCTTATTTTTTTGATAATATGAAATTGTAAGAAGAATTTTAGACGATTTTTCAAATTAAAATAAACTTTAATAATGTAAAAGTCGAATAGTATATTCTTATTCAATAATTTTACGATTATCACTTTGTAATAAGTTTTCATTGACTAGATTATTTTTTAATTTTTAATATAATATATGTATTTAATTTGTAATATTATATATCTTATACATTATAATAATTATTTTATATACACATATATATATATATATATATATGTATTTGTTGAAAAAATACCCTTAATTAAATAAGGATAAATATTATTTTGTTTAAGCAATTGAGACTATCCATACTTATGAAATTTCTACGAATCAATAACCTAGCTTTATAGATAAAGTATATAATTTTTAAATATATTCTTTATTATTGTTTTTAATATGATTTAAATTGAATAAAGCATTTAAAAAGTCTTTCACTTTCAAACTAAATATTCATTTTTATAAAATAATTACTGTGCATAAACCTTTCAATATACTACATAAAAATAATAGTAAAAATATTTAAACTTAACATTTTACACTAAACGTACAAATGAAGAAACTTCAAAACATAAAATTAAATTAGGGTAATTAATAATAAAGTCATCCACAATTTAACACATACAGAAAAATATATATTTTAGTACTAAATATATATATTTCATAAAAATCACTTTTATTTAGAAATGAAGGAATTCTGATATTATTGCAAACATTTTTTCAATATTATGCAAGACATTGGAAATTGAATACTACTAAAAAAGACATATTGTTATTTAGCATAATAAATAATACAATTATTTGATTTAAATATATTTCTAAGGTGGTTATTAAAAATCAACTGGTTTTTCTGTTTTTATCTTTACGAATCAGAAGATTGTCATCTAAATACTTTTTATTTTAATCTGATTTTCTCTTTTATAATCTTAAAGAGATAATATATTATGCGATATATAAGACAAAAATATTTGATATGTTAAATATTTTCTGATTAATAATTGATAATATGAATGCTAAATTATCTTTAAACTTGTTTAATTCTCATATTTTTATATTATTTTAATATTATCTTTTATTTTTATTTCGCAATTCAATCATACTAAAGACAATTTAAATAATCTAAATAAAACGATTTAGTTTCAGTTTAAGTAATTTGTTTTGCATATTTATCTCCGTATTTTTAGTTAAATCTTCTTAATATAAATGCATTTTTTATGAAATAATACAATTTTAATTTAAAAAAGATTCAAAATTTGAAAAAATGTATTTTTATTGTTTTCGTATAATATAGGCAATTGCATTTGAATTTTTATAAATTATGTATTGTGTATTTGATGTTTTAAATCAAGTATCCCGACCAATTTTTTATTGTTGATAAATGTACAAGAAAATTATAAATTAATGTTAAAGTTAGGTATCTAAAAAATTTTGTTTAAGAAAATTTAATTGAAACTTTTTAAACGTAAATAAAAATAAGTCATTTTATATTTTGAGTTTTCTTTATTGTTTTCGAACTTGTAAGTTAATAGTATAAAACTAAAAGTAATGTAGAGATTTCTAACGAATTAAAGAATAGTATTCTGGTATGATTAAATTGTGGAAACTGCATACGTAAATATATAAATAATCGAGTATTTTTTGTTTTTTATGAATATCTGTTAATCATATATATATATATATTTATTTATTTGTTTGTTTAAAATATAAGGAAAA